CAGACAACTGAACAGTTTAAGGCCCAGCATCGATCCCGTCCCAGTGTTTGTTTACTGATTTCGTGGTGGCCGGATCCAAAATGAAAGTTGTTTGCCACTCCACATCGGAGGGCCCTAAGCAGGAGAAAGCTTGGTTGCTATGTTTGGCCCATGGTGGGCGACAAGCTGGGACACCTGCCCCTGTTGCTGCCACCTCTATTTTATGCTTTGACGCATTTATCAATTTTATTACTTTAGTATTCTGAACCGACATCCAAAAAGAACGCAATTAGTGGCAATAGCTGAGGCGTATATACACATATTATGTAGTAGGATTGTTTTTTGGGGAATGGTTCATAGGGCTTTCTACCTCATTACAGCCGAGCCTTTTCCAGGTGCAGTCGTCCTCATGTTGCCGGCACTCGGTTGCCAGTCGATGGATTTTTCTGCCCAGGGTGGTGAGCCTTGCCGGCATCGCGGCCTTGCCCAGCGGCTCGGAAGCTGCGGCCAAGGAAGTGCTGGAGGCGCCTTTGATCATCCGGCGCGGTCGGAGGGCAAAAATCATGGACCCCTACAACGCTTTGGTGCATTTTGCCTGGATGTTAGGACTTTAACTTTTTGCCACTTAAGGGGTTTTAGCAGGGCAGCAGAAAGCAACCGAGAAAAGGCTAGGGGGGCTATTCCGGAAAAGCCGAAAACAAGCTGCCCCCCCCTCAGTTCTTTTTTTTTAGGGGTCCATGAAAAACGATAGGAAGCCAGTGGTTTCTCCCCCATTCTTGTTGGTCGTTCTCTTGAACAATCAGTCAGTGCCAGAGATACCATTATTTCTCTTGAACCATCTCATTCTTGAGTTACCTGTATTTTTTGGGAGGTCCCCTCTTTCAGACAATCAGGGAAGGGCTTTTTCTAAGATGATGTTAATCTTCCAAACTAATCTTCAAAACCCCTCCTTTGGCAGATACGGAACCTTTTAGCAGATGGTCGCAGAAGGGAACAAAACGCAAGCCCACCACCTCTAATTTACCTTTCGCCTACGCAGGGAGGTTGGATGTATTCACACCCGCCTTAGCGAGCTCTCCACAAGACTTGGACGAGTGAGTCAGCACAAGTTATCTCCGCTTATGACTCTGTCTACTTTGAAAAGGGTGCGCGCTTGGCTGCATCTCAAACTGCATGACGCAAGAGAGCAGCATGTTTTGGGATGTTTGCCGGCCGTGTTCCTGCATGACCTCAGGTTGTGATTTGCAGGGTGGCTCAATCATTTGGAGCCTTCCCTTTCTAGAAGATTCGCAAACTACAAGCACATTTGCGTTTTCCCCTGGGCAAGAAAATGAGGTTCGGTCCAAGCATCCTGCTATTGGGAAGGGCATTGATGGACTCGCTGAATCTTAGCCACAAAACCCGGGGGCCACAAGACCCAAATTCTGTCGAGGCATGCCCAGTTACTTTTAGGGGTGTGCCTTTGATGCAGTTGGACAACATAACAGTGTGTCCGCAATTGGTCGTGCCCCCCCGAACCTAGCTTGCCCTGAGGGAACTGACCTTTCAACCTGTTGGCCTTTTGATTTCCGCCTTTAAACTTGGTCCAATTTTCGATCATGGCCCCAAAAGGCTTGCCTTTTCACCGTTTGACCAAGAAAACTGGCTTTTTCCTCAAGCGTGTACCTTAAAGCAGGTTTTCCAGGTTTAAGCCCACGATTTTGCCACGGTTGGCCTTGGCAAAGAAACCGCCCCACCCGTCTGGGATGGTATCCGCCAGGTCCTAGACGGCACCATGCGGCTCATGCAGGCCCTGGCGGGCGCAGAGGCGCCGGGGGTGGCGTTCCTGTTCGCGCTTGCTTCGGGTGGGTGCGGGCATGGGAGTCAAGCGTGATGGTGGCTTTCCTGTTGGCGGTGTTTATTTGTGAGGGACCTTTTTTGAGGTGCTGGAAAACCTGTTCCAGGTATATACTGCAGCTGGACAAGAGTGGCCTCAGAAACGTCCATATGAGCAACTGGTGGCTTGAGTCCTTTCAGTGCAATTTCGGGCCTGGCGTGATGATCTACACCTGGTTCAACAGGAAGTGGTGATATGGCCACCATGGTCATCATGAAGTGGCGGCACATGGTTTGCTATCGTGGTGTGGAACATAGTGGTCACCCCCACGTCGGTACCAATGCCCCAGCTGGTTTGCAGGCTCCTCAGCTCACAGGGTACGCTTTGGAACGAGCTTTGGCTACCCTTGGCGTTTCAGGGAGATGATCGCGGCGTGGCAAGGCTTTGCATTGAACAAGTGATGACGCCTTCACTTGTTTCGATTTCTGCACAGCACGGTATTTCAGTGCGCTTTCGTGGGTATTGCGCGTGTGCTCCCAGCTACGTGTCCTCCTGTGACAATTTTCCAACATGAAGCCACAAAAGTGGCGCTTGTGCCCATATCGAAAGTACCGGCTGTGGTTGTGTTACCGTCGGCGCACGGTCACCTGACGTTTGCGCATTGATTTGGCTGTGGGTTTCTCCGGGAGGCGTACTGCTCGAGGCTGCACCTGCACCTCAGTTTGCGAGTGTGTGGCCTTCGGCCTTTGGCTTTTCATTCTGCCAGTGTCACCCGAGAGCGCCGGTCACTGTGGCAAGGCGAAACCAAAGACGGTGGTCTACTAATATTGGTGTGGAGAGGACATGGGGCGACCACCCAGCTTCCTCACAAAAGGCTGGAGGTGGGGTTCACCCCAGTTTTACCCCTGGGCAAGCAGCAATAATATGGATCTGGGTCTTCTTGGGAGCTGCTTTGAAGGTAAGCCAAAGTGAAGTTACCCATGTGAAGGTTCCAAATCCATCTTTGTCAGCTTTTAATTTTAGAAAGTGCAAAGTGTAAAACGAAGCAAGGAAACTTTGAGGGACGGTTTGCACAGAGAACCTAACTCGAAGCCTTTGTCATTTGGAGGGATCCCAAGTTTGGAGACATGGCTGGGGGTAAATCCCAATGCTCAGGATGTTCACCGAATTGTGCGCAATGGCGGAAGGGCATGTTGACAAAACAGGGAAGTGGTGGCCGTGGATTTGCAGAGCTGCCACTGTGGATAGTTGTATATGTGTTCCGGTGGAACATGGGCCACATCCCCGACCTGTGCTTTCCCTGTTTCTACCTTTCTGCAAGCTGTGTGTGTGTGTGTGGTTATTAGTTTGCTTGCTCGTCTGATTATGTGGTGTTTTTGTTCTTGTGTTTTGTTGTGGTTTGCCCTGCCGTGCTTGGTTTGTTTGTTTGGTTTTGCTTGCTTGCCTGGTTGGTAGGTTGGTGGCCTTTTTGCTTGCCTTCGTGCTTGTTTTCCTGCTGGCCTGGCTGCTTGCTTGCTTTCTTGCTGGCTTTTGTTCCTGTCTTGTTTTCTTGTTTGATTTTACTTGCTGTCTTGCTTGCTGTCTTGCTTGCTTGCTTGCTTGCTTGCTTGCTTGCTTGCTTGCTTGCTTGCTTGCTTGCTTGCTTGCTTTCTTGCTTTCTTGCTTTTCTTGCAGACTTGCTTGCTGCCTGGACGGCTTGCTGGGTTTCTTTCTTCTTTTGCTCTGAGAGGGATGGCTGCATATGCTGAATGTTGGAGTCATGTCAAAACAAAAACAAGGTGACATGATGGCTCCTTGTCAGCTTCATCCTCCGACTCAGCTTGTTTTGGACTCCGCCAGTCGAATCAGTGTGATCGCAAGCACGTGCAGCGTTGGAAAGCGAGGTCAGTGAGTTCATCACGGCGCCGGGTTGGAAAACGCAGTAGGAGCACCCGACCATTAAGATACGTGTCAAATAAGATATGTACATACAGTACATTACACTACCTTACATTACATGACATACCGCCATGCACTCAAACAGATACAAAGAATGCCTGAAGGCGCACACTTACATGCCCAAGGTTCCAACCCCTTCACTTGCCGCGTCAGGGTGTGGAGCTTTGGTTGCCCAGCTGCCTGGCCAACGCTGTGGCGGAGGGCGATTTGCAGGGCCTCGGCGCGGAGTTCCCAGCGAGCCACGCGGGGCTGTGGGGCTTGGCCAAGGCAGATTGGGGGTGAGGGGGTGAGGGGAGGCGCAAGCCAAGGCGTTTGGGTCAAGAGAGACATGTTTGGCATAGTTGGAGGTGCCGGGCTAGATAAAGTAGTTTCCACTCTCTTCAAATCATGGCCTCAAGGGTTTAATGAGATATATCCACTATATGCCCAATGATCAAAGCCACGGGTGCCTTTCCAAACCCGGGCGTCAACCTCAGGCACCCCCAATCTACCCTATCCATGCCGTGAAACCCGACTCCCCAGATGCTAGATGAAGCTTTTGAGCTGGAATGGTGCCAAATCTGGCTCTTGTTCACATGGCCGTGGCCGGAATCTCTGGGTAAATGACGCTTAGTAGGAATGGTTCCAACCCAAAATATGTGCGGCCGCATGGTTGTTTGTTCACATGTATTGAGGCAGTGTCGGGCTTTGGTTGTGGCTCACCTGACCAATGTGGCCTAGATGTAGATGCCCTTTCATGTTGGGGCTGTTTGCTTGTCCGCAATTGCCCAGTTTCGTGAAGGCTGAATCAAAGAATGACAGAGATTCATGGCCGGTGCTTACGTTCCCAAGGTTTCGTGGTTGTGTGCTGCCGCTGGCCTCAAAGCAATATTGCCAGTTCCCCCCCCTCCTCTAATAAAGGAAGCAAGTCCATGGCTAGACGACTTTGTGCCGCTGGTGGAGGGCAGATACCAGCCCACCAGTGTGCAGGTTGCAAGAGTGTCGCAGACTTACCAGTTGCTTGCATTTGCTTGAGAGTTGCGTGTTTTTTTCTCCATTGTTTAGGTGGCCATTGATACGCGGGCGGATGACGCTTTAGTGAAACTTGAAGATTGTCAACGGTTCAAGTAGGGCCATGAAGAACCATCAGGGGTCAGAACCGTTCGTGAGCTTCTCTTGCGGATCGAACGCAGGCCTTCCGGAACGAACATCCGGAGTTGCCTCCTGCCGTCACCTTCGACCTGGAGGAAGCGGTGTGCAGGCGACGGGCCAAGAATGAGCCCCGCTTTCGAAGTGGGCGTGCGATGGCTGGGACCGAAATCGAATTTCGGCAAATGGAAGGAACAAACATTGAAGCTTTCAGTCTACACCAAAAACCAAGAACACCAATACCAAAGGCATATAAATTGAACCTACATTTTTGGGAGGATATCCTTTTGAGGATGGTTCAAAAGCAAAACAAGCAAAACACACATTTTGGGCGGTCCCCGATCGAAAGAAGGCCATACTCTGCGCGTTCTCGGGAGATTACATAATCTCAAAGCCTGCCTGTAAGTTCCACAGTACTGAAGGAAAGACAGACACAAAGAAAAAGAGAGACAGAGAGACAGAGATAGAGGAGAGAAGCAGGGAGAGAAGGGAGTCAGAGAGAGAGAGGGACAGAGAGAAAGAGAGAACGTGAGAGAAAGAGAGAGAAAAAGAGAGAAAGAGAGAACGTGAGAGAAAGAGAGAGAAAGAGAGAGAAAGAGAGAAAGAGAGAAAGAGAGAAAGAGAGGAGTGAAAGAAAAAAAAGAAGGAAGGAAATACAGAATAGCATAAAGAAAAAGAATAAACGTCATCACGCTAAAATGAATATAGAAAAGAAAGACATGTCGAAAAAGACAAACAATGAATGACAGAAGGAAGGAAGCAAAAATAAAAAGATAGAACAAAGCAAATAAGTAAATATATAAATTCAAAGAAGAAACGGAAGGAAAGGAGGGAGTGACGGACGGAAGTAACGAAAGAAGGAAATACAAAGAGGAAAGAAGGAAATACAAAAGGAAAGAAGGAAATACCAAAAGGAAAGGAAATAAGGAAATAAATACAGAAAGTAAAAACACACAGAAGAAAAGCAAACAGACAGAAAGCCGGAAAATAGAGAAAGAAAGAAAGAAAGAAAGAAAGAAAGAAAGAAAGAAAGAAAGAAAGAAAGAAAGAAAGAAAGAATGAAAAAAAACAAGAAACGAAAGGAAGGGACGGAAGGAAGGACACAGCGGAAGAAAATAGAGAAGGACCAATATGAAGACCGACGTGCAGAAAGAATGAGAGAGGGAGTATAGAGACTGATATAGAGATATAGCGAGTGTGGAGACGGACGATAAGAGAAGAGAAAGGACGAGAAGAGTAAAGAAGAGACGAACACAAAGACAGCAGAGGTGGAGAAAAGAGGCCAAAGAGAATAGAGAATTGAGAAGACAGCAGAGAGAAGCGAGGGCGTCCACAAATAAACAACTCAAATAACTTGTGACACAAAGGTTCGAGAGCCAGCACGCGCCGTCTTCAAGATGGCTAGCATCGCCTCACCAGTGTGCTTGTCCTTTCTCGGCGTTCTGGTTTGTTTAACAGATGCACAAGGACGAGATGCCTGCACAAATATGCAAAATGGGTTTGTCTCCAAGCGGACCCCAATTTGAGGTGTTTTCCGTTTGAAAGAAGCCCGAAAAACAAAAGGCCCGTATTTCTGGGCACATCAAGCGGAGAACCGCCTCCTGGAAGGGTGTGTTGAGATGGCGCGCGTCAAAAGAAGAAGAAGCCTTTTCGTGGTGGGTAGGGAGGGAACCCAGACTTTTGTAGTTTGGCTCGGCTCTCGCACGGTCCCCCAAGGATATGCAGTGAAAAGCGGTGATGCCACATGCTTTGAAAGGGAAGGCTTATGGAACGGAATAAGAAGTCTTATAGAAAGGAATAATAAGGCTTATAGAATGGAATAATGGACATGAAGTCTTCTCATTCTTTGTTATTCCTTCTCTATTGGCGTTCTCATTCCTTACGGTTCCTTCTATCTTCCTTCTCATTCCTGCTTATTCCTTTCTGTTGTCCTTCTCACATTCCTTCTTCTTCCTTGTATTTGCCTTCTCATTCCTTCTTATTCATTCTCCTTGCTATTGGCCTTCTAAGTCCTCCTTATCCCTTTACTTGCTTGTCGGGACAAGCCTCAAGAAACTTGTCGCTGTAACTTTTGTTTCTGCCGTGGAAGCATCGTAACTCGTCATGGTAGCAAAATCGCATTTTTATCGTGGTTACACCCCCCCCCCCCGTGTTGAACGTCCTCGGGCCTCGACGCTAGCTTCATGATTGCCATGGCTGTGGGGATGCCGGGGTTGGACCCCTGCCAGAGCGAAATAACCTACTTGGGTTGCATGCCCCTGGCTGTAATTACTCTCTGAGTTCTCCCCTTGTCACCCCAAGCGAAAGCGGGGGCCGACCGGTTAGTTGACCATCGGTCCCCCAGTAGTGCCCTTTCTCTCCCCTTTTTTCTAGTGGGAGGGTTCCCCCACTAGACAGGAAAAAGTTGGTACCAACTCTACAGGAGGGTCTACCATTGGAGGGTCTGTGAGTCCAACAACCAATTAGACCCACTTTTACCGTTTCTTTTTTGGGGGAGGGTTCAACTAAAATAGACAAAACTCAAAAAAGTTGGTACCAACTTATTCCAACCTCTCTACTGGAGGACCTGTTCGACCATCGCAGGTCCCCCCAGCTCTTGGCGCAGCAGCTGAAGAGCCTGCAGCGCCAGCGCGCCGGCGGCCTCACGGAGCCCGAGCTGGCGCTCCGCGGGAGCGAGGGCGCCTCGGGCGGAATTGGCGGGAAAGACCGGAGGAGGTTGGGGGTTTTAACAGGTTTGGTCATAGGTGTCCTTCTTAGGTTAGTTTGGTCAAAAATTGATGGCACTGGTTTAGATGGGGTACAGGACTGGGTATATGGCTGTGGTTGTCAAAACCGTTTTGGGATCCCATTTTGGTTGGTAGGTGAATTCACCCATTTTTGAACCTATTTTAGTGGGGATTGGGATGTTCACTGGGGGATAACCGGGCCATTGCCATATGGTATATCAGTGCTCCTTGCAACCATTTGAAACATGGCTTTTGCCAGCAAAATAAAGGGAAACCACCATTGACAAGGCAATGTTCAGATGTGTAATGTAAGGATCGCTGTATATGGCTGTGGGTCAAAACCCTGTTTCCCTTGTGAACATCAAAATAGGTGGTAAATGGATGTTCATCCACCCCAATTTCCCGAAGTTGGCTTGCACTTCACATACCAACCAGAATCAGAGAACAAAGCAGGGACTGGGGAACATCGATCGCTGTTTTAGGATTGAAACCCTTCGATTGCCTTGGCAGGGTTGGCATGGGTACGGCCACCTTTGTAGTTCTTACCTGGATTTGGGTAGACCATTTTACTCACCTGGTGTTGGCTCACGTGATTTTGGTATGGGTCCGGCTTCGAATCCCCGGAGTTCGATGGTCCAAGGTCCGAAGCTGTGGATGCCTCGGCTCGCGGACTGCACTCAGCGCTTGCAGCAGGCCAAGGGCGACGATCCCACCTTCGGCCCGGAGGGCACGTACGTGGCGGGGCGCCCTAGGCTCGGCGAATCAGAAGCAGCGGAGGTTGGAGCTGCAAAACTGAGCCACAACTTTGGGGAAAACGGACTTGTGGGCTATTTTAAGGAGTCTTTGCGGGCTAGAATCAATATAATGAAGCCACCTTGAGAAATAGACTAGGGATTTTTATACCAGGCTTCCCTAGTGGGACGTTCGGATGAGCAGCAGACCTTCTTTCGAGTTTCCAGAATCTCGGCTCACCGGGTGTGTTTTTCGGCACGTGGGTCTGAGCTTCTTTTTGGGGACACCTTGGTGGAGATCATGTTCAATGTGGAGTCCATCACCCAGGAATCTGGCGGTTGCCTGATCAAGAAACACTGCCATATGTTTTGGGAAATAGTTTGGACCTGCAGCCTCACCCAAACCCCCCCTCCCAACCAAGCTGAGTGAACCTTACCCAATCAGCACCAGGCTGGCAAGTCGGGCTGACATGCGCCAGCGCACATATCACAGCAGGCCAGCGGGCATGAAGCCGTAGTGCAAAAGCAGCATGGCAGACTGTGGATGGACGAAATCCGTTCGCACCACCGATAAAAAGAAAAGAAAAGAAATAAACATGGAATAAGTCGATTCCCCTGCAAATTCCGGAAAAAAAAATCCGCGGTGAGAAGTCGCTCAAAGGGATTAAAGGAGATATCAACCACACCTACCGAGTTTGGCTGCATTTTCCCATGAAGAAGGTTCCTTTCTTGAAGATCCATTTCTTTGTTCGGGTCAGCAAATTTAATGTTAATTTACCCACGTTGCTTCGTGTCCGCAAGTTGCGCGGATGTCTCTGAGTCCATCAAAATGACATCCCAAAAGTTACACTTTGAATTATGTTTTAGGGGGATCTGTCCAGAAGGGAATTGTCAGCCTCAGCACTGACTCAGCAGAATTTGAGAGCCCATCAAACTGTTGCGGTGGTTTCTGAGGTGACAGGCGGCACGGGGGCTTTGGGCCTGGTCTTCGCAGAGTGGTTGGTGCAGCAAGGCGGGGAGCTTTTTTGGAACGTTGATACCACCTCTGAGACAGCATTTGAATGACGGCTTCATCGGGCTAGAGCTCAGTTACATGGATTGAACAACAAAAGTTGGATTGAAACAAGGTTGCTGCAAACCTTGAAACGAAAGCCTCAAGGTCCTTGTGTCATTTTCCTGAGATATCGAAATCCAAAGCGCGCCGCTTTTTCAGCAGATCCTTGGGCCTTGTCATTGTAAAGAAAGAATGGGCGAATGACTAAAGATGCGGGATACATTGGTCCCAAAAAGAAGGGCGAAAACGGTCATGTCCTGGGTTAGGTCCGGATGTCTGATTCTGGGGGAAAATTGGTGGTCCGGATGTCTAATGGAGAAGATTGGTGGTCCGGATGTCTAGTTTCGGGGGGGATTGTGGTCCGGATGTGGTCCGGATGTCGAATTATGAAGTCGGTGATGAAAAAGAACTCTTAGTTGATAGGAATCTGACTCGCGAAAGGGCCCCCACCCGCAGAATTAATGGATGCCCCGAAAAGGGACCAATTGCCCTCCCACCAATAAATATGGAACCTGACAGGGGGTCCCTTTAACAGGAAAATGGTGTTCAAGGATCCCCTCTCTGGTTCCATGTTAATTGGTGGAGGGTATACTTTGTTAGTTAGCCTAAAAGCAGCGAATGATGAGTTGCAAACTGCTACTGTTGCAAGCGGACCTTGCGCATGCAAACAAATTTTGTCCCCCAATAAGTGAAGGATCCTTCCAGAGTCACCCCTGCACCCCCCCCCCCCCGGGTTTGCCAACAGCGTAAAACCTAACTACGGCAGTTCTTTTTCCCAAGCCAACCAGGGGCTGATGAGTCCTAACCAACATGGGATGTTTCAATCCTGGGCTTGAATTCACAAGCAACTGTTTTGTGGTTGTTTATTGTTTTGTGGGCTCCCTCCCGACATAGATGTGTGAAGGCACCTGGAAGTTGTTTGACTTCTAAATTATATTATCTTCCAGGTTTCATGTTACTTGCTGGTGCGGGGAATGAACCGCTTCGGGGATTCCCTTAAAGGAAACCATAAGAGAGGGTGTCTCTTGGTCATTCCAACTCATTGCCTGCCTATCAAACCAGCAAGGTTAGTAGGTGGGGTGCCCTCCCACCAATTAACATGGAACCTGACAGGGGGGGGGGGGCCTGGAGGACCGTTTTTCTTTTAAAGAGACCCCCTGTCAGGTCCATGTTAATTGGTGTGTAGGCAACAAAAACCAAAATCCCCCCCGTCCATTTCCAGGCGCGCGAAACTTGGCGCTGCTGAGCCGCAGCGGTCAAGCGCCTGCGGACTCCAAGGCAGGGAGATGCGCGCGAAAGCAGCCCTGGTTTCAGGACCTCCTGTTGGGGTTCGCGGAAAAAAATGGAAGAAAAAAGACAAAGCGAATGCACGAGAACAAAAACCAGGGTGGTGTTTTGAAGCTAATTTTGGCCCACACTCCAAGGCGCCATGGTTCAATGTGTTCCCTGTCAAGGCAATGCAAGGCAGCCTGCTTCAATGTGTTTTCAGTGGGGATTTCGGGCCCCTTCACGGGCCTTTTCTTGGGTCCACCCCTTTGGGAAAGTATGGAGAATATGGGTGGGCGAGTTGGAGAAGTTGGGCAGAGAAGCGACCAGAACCGGTGGTTCAGACCAATGGGCCAGTCCGGTTGGAGGGTTGGTCACAGCGTGAGGACAGGTACCGAGCTGACGAAGCATGGTTAAGCACAATGCTATCTTCGCACCAACGAACATGGATCCTGGCCGAGGTTTCACCGGAATGAGTGGGACCGGAAGCATGGCTGACTGCGGGGATGCGGGCCGCAAGGGCAGTGTTGGGATGTTGCAAGGAAGCCCACTAGCCTTGTATGGGTTCCTGAAGACAACAACGGGTTGATTTCTTTTTGGTGTCCCGTTCCATCCTTTAGGTGTAGCAAACCCAACCAATTTGAGGTGTCCCCCACTGCCCACTCCGTGCACCCATTTTCTCCAATTGGTTTCCTTTTTAGACCACCTCAAGAGGGCACCCTTCAACGGACACACACACACACACACATACATGTCTTCCACGTCTTTCCCGCATAAGCTTCAGGCAGCCCTTCGGAAGTTGGAGAAGCAGATGTCCAAGCTGGAGAACGCCACGTTCTCCACGCGGAAGTGCGACATCAGCAGCCTGTCAAAAGGTCCCCAAAGGTCGCTTCAGTATCCTCCAAGGGGGTTTTAACAGGCGAAACCGTGCGTGCGAGTGAATCTTCGAGAAGCTCACTCTCTGAGTTCCGTTTCGGACCTTAGTCACTGTTGGGATTTTGGACCATTTTCGTGGCAACACGTTTGGTTGTGTTTTGGCCAATCCACTTGGGAAGTGAGGAAGAACAAGGAAAGGGGGATCGCGGTTTGATCAATGGATTGCCTACGGCCTGGCTCTGGAAAGCAAATCTGCCCTAGTCCCCGCAGCTGAGAGCGATGCCAGATTGCCCGCCCTGAGGCACTCTAGGTGGGCTGCCCTGGAATGTCGTCTCTAATTTTCCCCAGCCAGTGGCACTTTTTCCCCTATTCCTTTTGTGAAGGGAACCAAAATGAGCGAATCTGGGCAAAATGTAGCAACCTCGCAAACTGGGCTTGGGATCACACAGTTTGAAGCTCCTTTCATACAGAGCCCTTAGTTTGGTGAATTATAATAGTTCATCCAGACCGGTGAGAAAACGTGTTCTTCGTTTTTGGTTGTGCTACTTGTCGGTGTACTTGCCTTTGATATTGCCGTTTCTCAAAATAGGGCAACCCGCATGGGTGTGAACACGGTTTTCCACTTCAGCGAGGTAGTGACTGTTGGGAGGCTCCCCAACTCCAGACAAGCCATGTTTGGAATCGACAGTTCAAACACCGGTGTGCTGGGACGTCCCATATTCAGACACACCAATAATCCATGCCCCCTTTACCCTCCGAAGCTCCTTGGGTTCCACGCTCTTGAGGCTCTGCTTCCGATGTGCGGCGTGTCTTCACCGCACTGTGCGATGAGAAGTATCCCGGCACATGGGGGCCTTGTGTTTGGAGGGTACCCGCTCAGATATTTGCATGGAAACCACAAGGAACCCCCTTCATTTGGGGTTCGCATGTTGAGGAGCTTAGTTGTTTGATCCTAGTTTGTTGGGGCATCCGTGTGTTGAGGAACCGTTTTTTGGTATGGTGGTAGCCTGTTGGTGTCCTTCAACAGCATCCAAACAGCACCATCCTTTTTGGACCCATCTCATCGTTGTTGGACTCACTTCACGGCGAGTGCCCCAGTGGTCGAGGTAAACAAGGTGCGTCGCTCGGGCCGTTTCTTTGTGGACATGGTCCCCCCACTCTTAGCACTGGTTTCTCAGGGATGGTGCCAATCCAAACCTTGTGGGCCGTTACCGTCCTTGTGGTTTGGGGGAGCACCGGAGCTGATTTGGGTCTCAAGATCAACGGAGCAAAATGTGGTCGACTTCCAGAGGGGTCTAGCACCACATTTGCCCTGGGGGAGGGAGACTGTAGAATCAACCACCTGTGGTTTCGCCACCTTTTGGGGGCCAAAAACCAGGTTTGGGGTTGGAACAGCATGGTCCCAAATCAACCACAAATCGGTGAGTCATAATCATAACCAGGGGAATTGGAGGGAGTAAGGGACAACCCTGCCATGAATGGGTGTGGCGTCTTTCAATTCTTTACATTTCAGGGTAGACAGTTTTAATGCCGGACTTTGATTGTGACTCGGGCAAACCTCGTCCAGTACACAACCAGCCAATAAGCTTCGGGCTTGCCGCTTCTTTGTTTTCGGGAGGTGGCCAAAACAATCCCCAGCTCGCATTTGTGATTGTTGACAGTCAGAGAACACCGAGGTGGAGGGACAACGTTTGGGGACCATCTTGCAAGTGTCCTTCGTTTTTTGTAGAGTTGGCAAGCTCAACCTGTTTGTTTGCGGGCAACACAAGTCAAGAGCCAAAGAGTCTGAATCTGAGCCTTTCTGGCCAGATTCTCTCAGCGTGCGCAAGCGTCCGAGGCACGTGGTGAAGGGCATCGTCCATGCGGCGGGCACCTTGGCTGACGGCCTTATCAAGGACCAGACCCGTGAGAACCTGCAGCTGGTGTGTTCCGCCAAGGCCCGGGGCGAAAAGGAAGATCCTGAGAAAGAGGGGGGGAGAAGGGGGGGGTTACCTAACGGAGGAAGGGGGTAACCTAACTAATATTAGTCCAAGGGCCCTTCCTCTTTTCCCAGTCTCAAGCTGTTCAGGCGAAGCATTGCAGCTTTGCGCAACTGGGTGGGCGGGGTAAGAACAACTCATGAGGTTCAATTTCCCCAGAAGGGCAAGCAAATTGGAGCACCTGGGTGCCAACTAAGCATCATAGATTAACGAACTACTAGAATTCACCCAGCAACATGTGTCAATGTCCCTTAGAGAGAAGCTGAAAAATAGCTATTTTGTTGGTCTCCATTCAAAATCCAAAGATCCAACCTCTTTGGTGACCCAAGCCTCCGTTTCCGTGCCAAGGGCACAAGAATGTGGAGAATCGGCAGAGGGGATGTGAGAATTCACGACCGAGCACAAACTACTGTGGCCAACTTTTGGTGTGAGCAAGCGCCACTCAAACTGGCTAAACAGCACATGACTGTTTGGGAAGCTAGCTTTTAGAAACCGCAAAGGTATCCCTTCAAATTGTGTCTTTTCAGAGCTGTTCAAGGCCACGCAAATTCTGTAACAATCAGTCTGAGAGCATGGCAAGCTGAAAGCTGTGGGAAATTTGTACGAAAGATCATGTCACATAAACCCCATAAAAGTCAGATCGAGAGCACGCCAGACAATTAAAGGAAATCTGTGGGGAAAAGCATTATGCTACGTGCGTCTTTTTGTGGCTATGTGTTTTTGTGAGAACAGCGTACCGTGTATTGCAAACTTTGCATGGACAAAACATTGGCAGAATCTGGTTCTTCAGATGAAGGTAAAAGGATTGTGTTGCACCCAAGAAGCTTGCTCAGCAGTTGGCGTTTATAGCAGACAAGTATTGGTGTTTCTTCTTGGTGTTTGTAGTAGTTGCTGGTATTTTGTGGCATTTGTTCCTGGTGTGTTGCGGTTGATTTTTGTTGTTGTGGTTGTGGGTGTGTGTGTGTTTTTGGGTGAGAACAGTGGGCTTCATGAAGTCCACTTAAGCTGGCAAACAGTGGCTTTGAGTGGCATAACAGGGGTGGCTAAAAAAAACTTAGCACAGCCAAGGCCTGGCAGCATTTGGATTGAGCGAAGGAGCTCATTGTGTTTCCCAGCTTTGCCCACTTGGTACAGGCAGGTTGAAGCTCTGAACACCAAGGCTTGCAACAGCAGGTGTGCACTACAGTGGGGAGGAGCGTGTAAGAGGCAAAAATGAGGTTATTTCCACTGGGCTGGGTAGGCTACTTCTGGGTATGTTGTTCTTTGCTCAGCGTGTTGTTGTTTTATTGGGCGGTTCCTATCGTTTTATAGCCTTTCCTAGCTGTTGCTTTGATTTCCATGGTTTTGTTGGGGGGGGGGGGGCTTTTTTGTTTGAAGGGTTTGCTAATGTGACCCTATGCCGCCCATTTGTTTGGGAAACCAACGAACCAACAGTTGGGGTTTGGGGGAAACCAACTTGTTTGTTGTTGGGGGAAGCTCCCACTTCTGCTGGGGCAAGCAACTGACTCAGCAACGTTTGGGACACCAACATGTGTTTGCTTCGAGGAGCTCCCCATGTTTTTGGGTAAAGCCAACATGTGATTTTTGCTTGGGAAGTTCAGACTCATTAGTCTGGGAAACCAGCGAAGCACTGGGTGTTCGGGGGGAAGCCAACATGTCTGTGTTGTTTGGGAAGCTACCCACATGTTCGGTAAATCGACTACCCAACGGTTTGAACTTGTGTGGGGAAATCCACTAAACAACATGTATTTGCTTGGGACGCTACCCATTCGGTTTGGCAACATGTGCATTTTCAGAGGACGCCAACATGTTGTTTGACGCGCGCTAGTGTGTTTTGGGACGCCAAGCTGTGCCGCTGGTCCTGTTTCGGACGAGTGGAATCCTTGCAACCCGCCAGGTGGATGGCACCTTGCACCTGCACTCCGCCGCCAGTGAGCTGAAGCTGCCTTTGGAGGATTCGATCAGGGTAGAGTGAGCCGGAGCGGGGAGACCTACTCCAAATCCAAATGTCCAAGCGGTTTTTCTGCGGTCCCCCTTTCGGGATGTGTTTGGAGTCACCTTATGCCGATTTAAAGTGGTGGTTGCTCATCGTTTGTAAGACACGGTCGATGTCAACAATTACTGTTGCTGCAAAGAGAAGTCCGCCAGTTCAAAAAATGGTTTTGCCATGGTGGAGCCCCTAAAAAGGCATGGTTCTTTTTGTGGGTTCCATGCTTCCTCTTTTGGGCAGCTTTACGTCGACCAAAAACAGGCAAGCTTTCTCCCACAGAGTAAGCCACTGGGAAATGAACTAAACTGTGGTCCCGCACACCCTCTCTTTTGGGGGGACAAACCAAAATGGTTGGTTTCCTTTGGGTTCCCCCAATCCAAAATGGATCCCGGAGTTTAGGACAGAATCTTTAAAGGGGAGTTGCATGCTTCGACCTTGACAGAGAAGCGGCATCGTTTTGGGTCAGTTTCGGACTGGCAAACCAATCTGAGCACAAACATGAGATTGTTTGTGTCTTTGGCAGGTTCCCTCTTCCGGCAGTTTCCTCTTCTTCTTTATTTTTTTTTTGGGGGGGAACAATGGACACCTGGCCCCGTGTTTTTCGCAGGGGCTCCCATTTTGAGGCATCTACATCATGGGAAGTTGGTTGGCCAACCTTACGGAGGGGCAGTCAAGCAGCTGGTTCTTGGGAGTGGCATGCTGTGCCTGCCATGTTGTCCGGCGTGGTTGTCCTCTCAAAAGGCACGCCCCTGCGAAAGCTGGGTATTTGAGTGCTTCTCAAAAGTAGGCCCACCCAAAAATGGCTGTGAGTTGCCCTTTGAAACTCTGGAAAGATTGATGCCTTATTCTGAGACGACACTTTCATGGTTGTGGAAGCTTTGGTTTGGAGCTTCTGCAATACCAAGGGAACACCCTATAGGTGATAGAGTGCTTCTCGGAACCAGCCACTTTCGTGTCGAAAGTGCAGCTTTTCCACAAACCCGGGGCCAGGCCATGTTTCAATCGTAGGAGTTCTGGCTGTTCTCCTCGGTGGCTGCGATGATCGGCTCCGTGGCGCAAGGTGCCGTGGCCGTGATGACCGGCGAAAGCGGTCCCAAGATGTTCCCGGTGTTGCATGGAGTCTTAGCACTGCTTGGTTGGCAGTTGGGGTGGGGGTGATGTCTCAACGAGGAAATTTATGTCACCCTTCAGCGCCTACTTAGGCCTTATTGGTGTCCCAGCCAGCTAAACCCAGTCCGGTGCCAGCCTCCGTTCAGCCAACAACACGTGGATTCCCAAATTGGGCAAGTATGCAACATTTCACTGGTCTGGCTTAGTTCATGTTTGTACACCTGGGATTGTCGAAATTTGGGGTCATTTCTGGCATCCCTTGAAACCAACATAGTCGTGCCTTTTTTTGAGGGTACCCCCCGTTTTGTGGTTTTTAATGGAAACCAAAAGGACATGCACCAGTTTGGGAGCTCCTCTACACAGAGACCCCCAAAAATGGGCCATCTAATTGACTCCTCTACAAAAAGACAAAAGACACCTAAATGGGCCATCTTCTTGACACGGCGACTTGAGGCAACTACTGCGCCGCCAACGCCTTCATGGACGCGGTGGCCGGGCGGCGCCGGGCCGCGCAGCTGCCGGCGGTGTCGCTGCAGTGGGGCCCCTGGGCGGACGTGGGCATGGCAGCCCGCGCCGGCACCTCCGAAGGCGCCGAATCGGCACCCCGCGGCGTCGGCGTTTTTCGCGCGCGTGTGGCTCATCAGCCGTTGGTTGTCGGTTCTTCTGGGAGTCCGACAGGTGGTTGAAGCAACTCTGGTTTGAAGATGCGGAACAAAAACCTAGGGGCTGGCCCAAGCCTGGCAGGGGTCTATACAGCTCATGACCATAAAGCATCCAATGGAGAGCAGGGGAGTCGGCACGGTTGAGGTTTCAGTGTCGGAAGAAGCGAAAGGGACTGGGGCCGAGCAAGCAAGGCTCGTTCCAAGTTTGTCAGCGTGTTTGGAAGAGCTTCCTCAGTCCGCAGTTTCCAATTCCTGGCTTCCAGTCCCTTTTCTGCTTTGGTTGAGCTGTGGGGTTGACTGAAAGGTGGTAACCAGAAAACCGGAACAATGACTTCGGTTTCTGCGAAATCTAAGTTGGAAACACTCCAAGCCTTCAGGTATGTGGCAAAATGGGGAACCTCCCCCCCGAAACAAAAGGTTGTTCTGTTGGCGTCCTTTCAAGCCAACCTAAAAACGAGTACCCGCAAAAAACAAGGACCCGCGCTGGGGAAGCCATCATCTTCCATGTTGAAGGTTCAAGGTCAAAGGAGCAAGCGAGCAAGAATCCTGGGCCTCAACAACAAAGCCCAAAGACCCTGAGATACCACCGAAGGTGCTTGAGCTTCCCAGGTGCATCAGAAGGGGGGGGGGGTCCCGGTGTCCCCTTCCAGGCAGCATCGCGCGCCTGGAGCTGTCGCGGGGCCTGGAGGCCATGGCCTTGGTGCTGGGCGCCAAGGTCTCGCTGCCGCTCTCAGGCGGCTGGGCGGGGCGAGCGGGGCGGCTGGGAGGGGAGGTGACCTCGGGTGGGGGGTGCAAGGCTTGCTGGAGGTGACATGGGGTGGTTGAAGTTGGGTTCAAGGCTTGCCTCTCACACAAAGTTCCGAAGTGACGGACTGGTCAGACTGGTCATGATGGGAGTCCCCACTTTAGACAAATCTCTAGGGTGACAGACATGATGGGAATCCCCACTTTATCGGCACCCAGCTGGGGTATTCCCATTTTTGAGGGGAGAACAGATTGCACCTGGACCTGGGTCCCCCTCTACAGTTGTTGAGAAGTTTGGGAGATATTCCTTTTGAATAGATGTTGGACTTGATGGTAGTTAGGACACTTGTAGTATACCGTGGTGTTTCCGCGCAGGATGGCTTGGTAGGATATTCAAATTTCTTTCATATTTGGCTTCGTGGGAAGTTGAATTTTGATTTTGTCGGCTTTAGGGTGGGAGATTTGGAGATCTGGGAGATGAGGATGGGGCAAGTCTTGCTGGTTCTCAGCAGGGAATGAGTTGGAACACCCCATACAAACCATCCATGTCCTATGTTTTCTTTTATTCGGGAATCCCCCAAACCGGTTCATTCCCAAAACCCAGACTCGGTCATTCCCTACCTATCGTACCAGAAGTTGAAGGAGGGAAGGAATTCCCTGCGAAGGGGGTTGTGGTTGGATGTTGGCGCCAGGCACGGTGGGTGTGGCGCGCATCAAGTGGAAGTCCCTGCTGGGACAAATGCCCAAGGTGCCGCCAGCCGTGGCCCCGGACGGCAGCGAACCGATGGTTATACCCTCCCACCATGTTTTTGTTTTTTTTTGGCACCTGACGTAAAACTGGGGTCCTGGTTTGCACCAGTTTCTTTTTAAAGGGACTGGGTCCTAAGAACGTCAGGTCTCCCAGTACTTCGGCTAGTTTGTTGCTTTCTCAAATGGGCTTCTCATCATGGGGGACCCCTTTTGTGGATGATTTTGAAGGGAAATTCAAAGAAAGAACATCATTGTCTCAAAATTGGTGTCATCCATGTTTTCCCAAAACGGGAATCGGTTTGCTGCCCGCAAAGGTAGTAGTAAGTTAGGGGGGTTCTAACAAGCAGGTTCCAGCTTACACCAAGGGACAATCATGAGTGTAGCATCGATGAGGGTCACCCAGAGACAAGTCAATGCGCCCCCTGCGGAAGGAGGGCAATGCAACGCGTAAGAAAGGAGCCACGTCCAAATGCTCGTTGCGTCAGATCACATGATGAATCTGCCAATTTTATGGTGAGCTCAAAATGAGCTCACCATCATGCAGGTCCTTTCCTAGGGGATCCCTACGTTCAGGTTTTGAATATATCGCTGCCTCCAATTGATCAGCTTAAGCTTTGAGGGCTTGTACCCTTGTCTCAAAAAGAATTGGGGCATACATAGTATACATATGTTTATATATATGCCATGTTCCATGGTGGCCCCAGGGCTTGCAGTTGTTTTTGGTGTACCATCTTCCATAGCCACAGGGCTTCCTGTTTTGTGTCCCGAAGTCCTGCGCTTCTCCCAGGCGCTGAGCAGGTTCGGCGGCGCCGGGGGCAAGAAGTCGGCCGCCGCGGCGGGCGCCATTGCAGGGAGCTGAGGAACCCACGTGGGAGGTCCAGAACGTGGCTAAGATGCCCAGTACTAATTGAGGGAATGACCCCTATAAACTATCTTTGTGGCTTCCGTTAAGGGAATCCCTGGGCTCATTCCCGCCAAGATTTGCTGGTTTATCTAGCCACGTTCTGGGAGAACTGACGGGGGGGTAATCCTGGTTCCTGTTTCTTCCATGCTTTAGAACCATTTTGATAGACTTCTGGGGAACATTCCGCGTTCGGGTGCAGCCCCAGACAAGAGATCATTTCCTTGCTAAAAGGGAAACCACATTGGAAGTTGCTGTTGTAATGTTCATCCCTACTTCACTCCGGATTTGCATGGTCCGGGTGAAACTAACACAGACATTCAGCCGGCCGTGCGGTTCATAGGTGAGTGCTGACGACATCAAGGGCATCGTCGTGGGGGTGTTGCAGGACAGCGCCACATGCCCACCTGGGGAGAACCAGCTCACCATGTGGGTTTTCAGCTGATCCCTTATTTCCACTCCAAAATGGGAACCCCCCCAAAACAGGCTGTTAGTCCTATGCCAAATAAAAATACAATTTCCGAAACCTGCTCCTTCACTTTCACTTGCGAGGAAAATACCCCTCCCTGACACTGCACCAGATTTGATTGATGCGGGATACTTGAGCCACAGTCGGAAACATGTCGGGTAGATGAAGCTCTCTCAGCACCACACGTACAAAGGCGCGCATAAGCTGAGACCATGTCAGCTCGAAGTAGCCACAAGAAAGGTAGCCAGGCTGCCAACCTAATGAGGCTCGGTTGAAATTTCCAGTCCACTGTCTATTTGACAGCGACACGGGTGACTTTCCAAATTTCACACAAACTGTTGCTCTTGGATTACATTTAACTACTAACCAAAAAAAGCCACCATTTTGAGAACCAACTTGCATACCCCAAATGGACGTACAAGAACAATATTGTTTATACGTGGGTTATGCACCGCGAAATCCATCCCTAAGGCCCTTTGGGCCAAGTCCATTTGGGCCAAGTCGGCCCGTGAGTCTCTCGCAGGATGTATTGGAAGGAGCTGGCGATCTCGACCTGTCGACTCCGCTCATGGAGATGGGCGCCTCGGAAAGAGAAAACGGCCATGGAAAATGTGCTTCGAAAGCTTCACGTCATATACCTCCATTTGCTGAAATGGATATGTTGGTATTTCCCCGTGTTGGTTTTAAAGGGAATCTATCACTTGCATATATCTTCGCAGTTTTTCAGGGGTCTTCAGCAAGTGGAGGTATAGAGCATATGGAGGTTGATCAAAAGGTCCGGTCAACATGGGACCATTGGTTGGACAACCACTAAAATGGCTTGATATTTCAACCACATAGGAACATGTGGAGGGCGAACGGAATATTGACCAACCCCTATATAGGAACTCACCATGACTAGATCTTGGGTACCTGGAGCTTATCCTTTGGCTCAAAACCCACCTGACGTTGGTTGAACATCCACGTGCTTGGCTCAAGCGCGGCAGTCATTCCCTTTGGGCTGCTTCTGCCTGGCCGCCTGCTTGCTTTCTTGCTTGCTTCTCCTGTTTTTGTGCCTGCCTTTGTTTTGCCACATATCCCTGGATTAATTCTCAAACTTAACCTGGGCTTCCAATTTCCCCCTTCACCAGAAGAAATCTTGGCATTATGGGATCATGGCAGACTCCTCGCGCAAAGTTTAGGGGAGGCTAACCCCGTTCAATGGATCTGGATCACGTCACTGCACTCGATTAGATTTCGGGCAATTCGCGAAATGTGAGTAGGAAGTAGTCTTTTGGGGCGCCGGCTTGCCTTCGTCTCAGGCTTGGACTCGCTGGCAGGGGTGGAGTTCCGGAACCGCCTGCAGGCCTCCTTTGAAGGGCTCACCCTGCTCCTTGGCCTACGGGTTCGATGTGCGCAACAGTCCATTTGGACACCATCTGGACTTCTCATCTGGGGTGGCTTGCAAGGATGCTGGCACAGATGCACAAGAAAGGGGGTGCTTGGTTGGCATCCCGTCCAACGAAATTATTCCAGCTTAAGAATATGTGTTGTTTTCTCTTGGTTTTGATTTCAGGGGGCTTAAGCAAATGGAAGAACAGGTGAGGGTAACTTTCGCCATGGAGCAGCCTCGCTTACCGAGCGAGCGGTCAATGGGACTCATGGCCTCAGGTCCTCGACACTGATGTTCGACTACCCCACAGTGCCCGACCTGGTGGATTTCATCTACTCAGAGGCCCACTCTCGGAGGGTAAATCCCTTGTCTTTTATGGTTTGAGCATCACCTTTTGTACCAGTTTAGTTGATTTGCATCACCTTTTTGGGGTGATGTGTGAGGTGGGGCACCTGTGGAAGCCTGTTTTTCTGGGGTCAGACTATCACGGGGCGGGTTACGACCCTGATGCGCAACTCCTGGGTGGTAGCCTGTGGCCCATCTTCAGATTCCAGGAGCTGACTATCCTTCGGCCTGGGAAGTTCTTTGGGAATGCAGGAATCCCTTTGGAAATCGGGTCTCCCTGATTGATTCAACTCGGGTTTCCTGATAGATAAACCAATTTAGGTGTGCCTTTTCTGAGGCTACCCATCTTTCGGTGGCCAAAGTGCCCCAAGTTGGACAGGGCCATTGGGTGTCCATGCTGTTCGGCCTTGGAGCCGTGCTTCGTTAAGGACAAGATACTGTTGGGTTCTCTTTTGTTGTGTGAGCTTCGGTTTTGTTCCATTTGTGTTTCTTGGGTTTTACTTGGTTTCCCCTTCCCCCTTCCACCCCAACAGGGAATCTCAACAAGTTTGCCCAATTCCCACCAAAAAAGCCGAAGCTTTAGAGGAGTTGTCCCCTTCACCTGGTGTTTTTTTGGTGTGTTTCCCCTTGCCCCTGCGGTTTCCTTCCCTCTGCTTCGCAAAGCAGGTGGGCCCGGCGGAGGAGGAGCAGCAGGGCGGCGCCGTGGTGGCCGGGGACTCCGGCGCCATGCTGGCCATCGCCTCTCAGCTTTGAGAAGAAGCGAGGCCTCGGCGGGTAGCGGTGCGGTTTCCCCCCCTTTTTTCCCACAAGCCGATGTTTTGTACCAACAAATGAGCCTGACTTTCTCACCATGACCTATTTGTTGTATAAACATATTGGAAAAACTGGGTCCCACTGGGTCCCACTGGGTCATTCCAACTCATTCCCGGCTTATGGAGCCGGCAAGGGTAGTAAATGGGGTACTCTCCCACCAATTAACATGGAAGCTGGACGTAAAAGGGGGGTCCTGGTTTGGACCATGTTCCTTTCAAAGGTGCGTGTGAATTGGCGGGAGGGCATGGGTCAAAATGAGTCACCAGCAGTTGGACGGCAGGTTTCTTTTAGTCCATGTTTCCACTTTCCTTTTTGGGGTTACCCTATTTTTGACCCACAGCCATTTAAACATGCTCCGAATCACTCGGGCGCCCATGGGGCGACCGAATGACTCATTGTGTAAGGCGGAACGGACTATGGGTTGTCTCACGGCGCTCAGGCCAACGAAACCGCAACAAGAAACAAGGAAAAGGGAACCTCCCAACAACACCAAAAAAAACCAACGGCAGACCCACAGCCAGGTGTTCGGTCGGTGAAAAACGGGGCTGGTTATGCAGATTAACTGGGGAAACGCATCGTTTGTTGAAGGGAATGGACTGAACAATGTGAGTTGGGAGTAATATTCGGAGGCAAATAATTGAGAATTAGAAGCGCAGCTTGTTCTTAATGTTCAAGAAGATTTCAGCGAACTTGGATGTCCAACCCAGGTCAGGGAAGCAGCTTAGAACCGAGGGTTGGAACTGGTCTAGCTGGGGCCTAGTCCGTCCTCGAAGGAAACCAAGGTCATAATGTGCTCACCTGTCGCAGTCTGAACATCCAAGTAAACTGTACATTGGTGTGTGTCCTAGACCAGGGCAGCGAACCCGCTTTTGGGCGGGTGTTTCAAGGTCAACCAAGAGAAACCCCGCCATTTTGGAGGTTTCCTATGTCACGAAACACAAATTGGTGGTACAAAACAACATATGACTGCGTCCTTCTTTACAACACAAAGCCCCCATGTTTACGGTTCCCCTATTTGGGAACAAACCCATATTCCCGATTGATTCCCGGCTAAAGATGGCGCCCGTAATTCCACATTTGACATGTCTACTGGGCGAATCAAAAGTCATGCAGCAAGACCTAAATTGTTTGGGAGAAGAGGCTATGAGGAGTTCACTGTGTAAGCTTCCACAAGCTGTTGCAATCCGCATTGCTGGTGTGCTGGGGGATGTTGGAGGCATGTGTTGCTGGTGGCTTGGCTTGCTCGCTTAGTACATGTTTATGCATCACGAGTGTGAACATGCATGAGCATGTTATCCACAAAATGAGTCATGTCACATTCATATACGCAGCAAAGCAATCACAATGCTAAGAGCAATTATGATCAACAACATTAATTATCATAGTGATAATGATAGCAACAAAGTTTTGTGTGTGTGTGTGGCAAGGCTGGCAGAGCACTGTCTAAGTCCTTTCCACGTCATATTGAGGCTAGCCACGCGGGCCGCTACCCGGGCTGCCTCACGAACGACGCCAGGGCCTTGGGAAGCGCGAACACGGCATGGCTAGGCTGCTCGAAGCGAGTAAGAAACGGCCATTGTGCGGGCCGAAAAGTTGCAACTGGTTGCCTTGGCCGGACTTCTGATGCCCTCAGCTTTCCGAGTCCCGCTTGGCAAGTTGGGAGGCTGAGCGAGTCGGAGTGGCGGTCAACTAAACTCATCCGCAACTCTTCAGGGAAGTCAATTGCTGGTTTGGATGGGTGGTTTGCAGGATTGAAGCCGTAGTTGTTTCCTAGACTCAAATGTGGGGGGGCCCCAACCAAACCACCGATTCAGGGTAAGATGAGAAGGGAACAACCCACGAGGTTGCCATGCACACTTGAACATTGACATAGCACGGCGTGGTGCACTGTCCGATCTAGTGCACCAAGCCTGGCTGGAGGCGCCGTTTGCCAAACGGTTGCGTGTTCCATGCGCTCAGTTGACTGGACCACTTGGAGCTGGTACGTGTGTGTGTGTGTGTCATTATCCTTTCAAGAGTCCAATGCTTGAACCCCTGGATAAACCCCACAACCTGGTCTCATAGTTATAGATTAAAATGAAAAGGGCGCTAAATATGGGTTAAATTTTGGCGGTCGGTGAAAAGCACTTGGCACGCGAACCGGTTTGCCCTTTGAGAGAATTGACTGCCGCGCAAGTGTGGCTCGATGGAGGCGGTTTGGTATCCGGCCAGAGAAAACTGGCCACTCAGCCATGTGTACATCATTAGCGCTAGCGGGGAACTGCCTTTGGCCTAGCACATGGTGGGATTCGCGTTTGGCAAACGTCTTCAAGCTTTTCGGTGTCAACCTGGGCTGTAAAACTGGGGTTCATACAGGAAACTTGCCACAACATGTGCCCGAAAACCCCTATGAACCCCAAAAATCTGTGGCCGAAATCCCCTATGAACCCCAAAATCTGTGGCCGAAAACCCTATGAACCCCAGCCCGGTGGCTATCTGTGGCTTAAAACCCTATAAACCCAAGCTTGTGAATTGAAGACCGCGCGCCCCTTCAAAAGTTGCCAACACCAACTGTGACTTCGCCATTTTTGCAACATCTGAAGGTGCCCGTTCTGACTGGAAGCCGCTCCAGCGATTGATATCAATCCCAGCGGTGGCTCTGCGGGGGCAATCCGCGTTGCAGGAATTGAGCCTTGAGGGGGGCTCTTGCGATGACAAAAGTGAGCTTCGGAATCAATCAAATCACGTATTTCTCTGTATTATCAGGGGTCCTTGCAAAATGGCCTTTGGAGACAGAAATCGGCGAAATCAAAGGTAAGCCTCAACCAGGTCGTAATTAAGGCCTAGCCAACGATGAACATTCCAGGGGTGTACCCAGGGGTTCAAACATAGTCCTTTTGATCATTGTCATCATGGTCATTATTGTTATCATGATGCTTGAATGGTCTGTCTTCCTCACTTGGGCTTGGTCCATGATGGGACCAGTCTTCTCATGGCATCCTCAGGATATATTTTTGCATTGTATGAAAGCGATGCAAACGATATAATATGAACAGTGCACTCCAATCATGACTGGCCTCCTCCCCGGTTTCTGCACGTGTTTTTTATTCTTCTTTTTTTTGGGGGGGGATAGTTACTTTTTCGACCAGTCTACGGAAGTGAGATGGAATCGGACACGAACCTCAGGTGCAAGAGTACTGGCACAACATGAGCCTGGGGCTCGCCGGCGACTTAGCACCCTTCAGGGTTCCCTAAGGGTCTCTTCAAGAGACTGAACCAATCTGAGAAGGTTGATCGCGGTTCAAAGTGGTTTCAACCACCAATGTTGGCTCATTTGAACAGGAATGACAGCCCTTGTGGTTCCCCTTCCAATGGTCCTGACTCCTTTTTGGAAATCACGGCTCAGCAAGTCACGTCGCCTTCTCCCGAAGCTTGACCAGAGCAAGCGGCCCTGTGCGTGTTTCCATGGAAACACCTACCCAGGTTGAGTTACGGTGATCTTGAAGCCCCAAAGTTTGGGGGAGATATTCCGAGACCCGGGCATGTTTGATTTTGGAGTTTGCCGTTTTGGGACCCTGTGAGTTCTGATTTCTGCATGTGGACTGGTTGGATCTGGCCTGCCCAAAGGGATGTTCCGCCCACTTGCCAAAAAGGCTGCTGAAGTGTTGCTTTGTTCTTCCTTTTAGGAGTTGAGGATTCGTGGGATCACTTGCTTGCCCCTCCAAAGTTACACCCCCTTCTTGCACCCTTTCAGGACACAAGCCTTTCATCCCCCCGTCAGAGTAGTTCAGGGAGTAGTTCAGGATGCTGTGGCCCCACTTCTACAGCCAGAAAGGTTCCGTCTTCTTCCTTTTTCCAAGTTCTCCCCCCAATGAACCGAGAAAAGGGGCGGGCGCATTTAAACTTCAGCCCGGTTTCCCATTAAAAGCTGGTGGGTTGCAGATCATATCTCCCGAAAGGTCAACGGTTTCCTTTTGGCTCATGGTTTTTATCGTCTATTCCAGCCAAAAGAGATCCCCTTCAAAAAAGGGCCAATGTTGGGCGGGGAACGAAGCAGGACACCACGACGGAGCTGCCCCCAGAAAGATGGGACATGGACGCCTACTACGATGCAGATGTGGACGCGCCAGGCGCGCGATGCTAGGGCTTCAGTAACTTTTGGGTTAGGGGAGCTTCAGGCTGGTGCTTGAAAGGAAATGTGGGTGTGTCTCAAAATAGGGTCTTTATGAAATAAATTGGAATGCCTTTGTTGGAGAAGCGGTATACCCAAGGATACCGAAAGCGCCGAAAGGGCGCCAGGTTTTCGGGTGCTCAATGAGTCGTTCGTTGTTTGATTTCCGGCAAAGGAAGCCACAAAGAGATGTTTTTGGCTGGAAAAGAACACACCCTTTTCCTGCCTGCAATTGTCCTTAGATCAAGGTCGGTAGAGTTATTGCAGCACTCCCTTGCGCGAAGCTGACCTTTTGACCTCTTGGTTTTCTGTGTTGAGCCAGTCAGCTCAGGACTCTCAGAAGTAGCTCGGAGAAGGGGGAAGTTGGAAGCCGGAAATGTGTTCTGTTGACAAATGCTGCGACTCAGGCAAGACCTACGTGAGGCTTGGGCACTTCATCCCAGGCGCGACGCGTGTGGATGTGGCTTGATTGATCATGCTGAAGGGATTGAGGGGGGGCAACGGTTTTGGTAATTACTTTGCATGCGCAAATCGCTCAAATCTCGCATGGTTGCTGCACCCGATCAAAAAATGTACTCATCAGGGTCAAAGTAGCCCACTGAGGAAGGAGTGAAGCGAAAGCAACACATCACAAGTTCACTACAAACAAGCCAACCGGAAGCCTCAGGCCTAGCACGGCCTTTGTTGAGCTTCCCCTGTAGTTTCCTATTATGGTTTATGTTGATTTGCTTGCAACATTAAGGAAGTGTCTCGCTTGTTTTTGGGCGTGTATTTTCTTTGGGGTACCCTTTTCAGGCTGGTTGAAAGGGCACCCAAAAGGAAACAGCACTTTGGAGCGTCCCCATATTTTCACACACCTATCTCATTTGGGCCGCGAAACAAACGCCAGGCATCGACCAGTTCGACGGGGACTTCTTCGGGGTCTCCGAGGCGGAGTTGCGCGCTATGGACCCTCACCAGCGACTCGGAAGGGGGTTCGTCAGATGGGCCGTGGCGTGCGTGGCTAAGAAATTTGAGGGGCCACTTTCCCTGCTAGTCGGGAGGTCCCCTGAAAGTGATGCCGTCATTGGGAATGGCCCAATTTGGTATGACCGAAAGCAAGGGTTCACTTGGGGTCTTTCATTGCTGCTTGGCTTCGGGCAGCATGTGAGCCCCAAGCCACAGCTCATTTACCCGCGCAAAAAAGCAATGAGGCATGCTGGAAGGCCGATAGGTGGAAGCCAGGACTCCAGAGCATTGAAGACTCGAGTTATGACTTACGGACCGTACTAATTCAAAGCCAACATGTTGGAATTTTTGGGAACCCTGGGAAAATTGCTTCAATGCGGGGGGTGGGGTGGGGGGGGGGGGGGAAGAAATCTGTGTTTTGTTTCGCGGGGAGTGAAAGACAAGTGTTCAGCTGCATGTCCAGGGGTCAAGTGAGAAATGAAGTATGACTTCAAGCTTGCTGTTTCTCCAGCAGCCGGTCGGTAAGGCGTATCTCCACGTTTCCAAGTATTCTCTACTGAGTTGCTGAGGTCCCGCGAGTTTGTCTTGATGCTCCGAACCTTAAAGCAATCACCAAACATAGACACACAGGTAGAAGGGGCCCTCTTCTTTTCCTTTGACCAACTTTCTACCCAGCAACCCACAGAATCCCAGCCCCAGTTTTCCCATGGCCTCAACGAACCTTCCGAGGTGGCTGGCCTTGGAGATCAGCCTCTCGGAGATCAATCAAGCTCCAACTGGGAGGGAGGGAAGGGGGATTTCTTGTCTGAAAAAGGGGAAACCGGGGACTCACTCCCCTGCTTTGCAGACAAGTTGGCGCAGAGGTACGGGCAAATATGGGGGAGATCTGAGCAAGCTTCTTGCAAGAGCGAAGATTGTGTTGCAGCGAGTTTGGCTGTCTTCTGGGCAATGTTTGGCGATCTTACAGAGTTGGTCCTGATTGTCCTCAAAGTGAAGAATCAAACCTGTTATAGTTTCATGACCGGACAAACAATTCCCTTGAACGGGAGCTAAATATGCAACTCATGTTTTTGAGCGAGCAAAAAGCCACCTCACACAGGCTAATTTATGGGGGGGGGAGGGTATGGAATGTAGATGCCGAACTGTGGTATTGCAGTTGTCGTAAACAATTATTCAGAACCTGACAAGTTCGACGGCAAGCCACCCCTTGAAACAGAACATGAACTCCAGCACTCATTGGGCGGAGTGGCCCAAATCCTTGACCTTAGGTGGAAGACGATGCCTCGTTTGGACGCCAAGTGAGGTGAACATTTTGGTCATATGTGTCCCTTGTGGAAAGATGGAGGGATGGCTTGGTGCTTTTGGAGGTTACCCTAAAGCCACAAGAATGGAAAAGGCGCCTGGTAAGTTGGGGGCCGTTTTTGGGGCTCGAAAAGACATGGGGCCTGGAAGGCCAATGCCCAAGAGGTGTTACGGTGGGTCTGCAAACACTCCCATCCTGTCGTACAGTGTCTTTGGGGCAGGGAAAACGGGCGAATCAGGAGCTGACCTGGAGGTAGAACGAGCTCACCCCTCATTTGCCCCAAAAAGCATCCAAAAAGTTTGGTTACTTGGGCCAATCCACAGAAGTGATGAGCCAGAAGCATCTGTCTCTGGATTTCGCTGACCTGGGATCTTGAGGTTACGAAGCCTTCCACGCCGCTGGCTTGGACAAGGAGAGCTTGGCCCTGTGATGTTGGAGAGGGCTCCAATGTGTGCCGAAGTGCACATAAAACAAACTGGGCCCTCTTGGGCCTCGTGGGGAAGACAACCGGGGAGTGAGAAAATTGAGACCCTGTACTCGGAGGTCAAAACGGAAGACCCGAACAGTTATCCGCCCGTCTCAGCAAGGTCTGGCTGATTAGCCAACTGGATGGGGCCAAAGCTTATCAGTCTACAACTCCGGCATCTTGAGTTATACCCACCTCCTTGAACATGGACTTGTGGAAGGAGTTCGACCCCCGAAATTCCATCTCTGGTTCCACTGAGGCCCTACCCCCCAGGCATCCGGACCGCTTTTACCCATCGGTGCCAGGAAGCCTTGCAGGGCATGGACTGCGGTGTCTACGTTGGCTGCTGCAACCTGGGCGGCAACGATGTGGATCCTGCCGGGCCCCTTGCCTCACAAATCGAAGACGGATCCACTTAGCTCCCCATTTGACGCATACCCTTTGCAGAGATGGGGAAATCGGGTACCCTTTGTCCAACGGAAGTGGACTGGAGGCATTTTATTTGCAAAACTCGGCTTCGCACTTCTATGCTTGTTGGAACGCGGGTAGCAACTGGGGGCTCTTAAGTGGTCCACCCGGGGCAACAAAAATCCGCTCGTCGACCCTTTGTCTCCCCGTTGAGGTGCCAGAACCAGATCTTTGGAAATATTCACAGGCCTTGCATGGTATTGTCACCGGAACTAGGGATGCCTTTCTGCGTGTAAGGGGACCAAGGCTTGCTACCTCATAGCGTTTGACACATGTCCACTTTCCGGGTTTCTTGGCAAGGTTGTTTGCACGCTTCCGCCATCTTGCTGAAAACCAAAGCACCCTCAATTTGCCTGAGCCACGGGAATTTGTTCGCTGACACCACCAGGGTTTTGGGAACCAGGGGCATCTTCCCGCTATAAGGGAACACATTTTGCCCCGTATCACTACTGGTGGCAAGGCAATGTCCAGTGAAACCAAGTGGCTGTGTCTTGGGGGGACCACCTTTTGGCTTGCTAAGGGAAACTGAAAAGACCAAACCTTTTTTTGCGGGGGCACCAAATCCTGCGACAGACCCATCAGCTGTGTTTCCTTGCTGACTTGATGCGCGCAAATGGCCGTGGCAACAGGCTGGGGCCGTTCTCCAACATCGGCTTCGCCTACTCTGGTCTCTCAGGCCGGCACAATTCGGTCGAGCGATTTGATGCTCAATGGTTGGACCCCTGCGACACCCTCCTCAGTGGACATGCGTCCCTGTGCATGATGTCCACCAAGAGTCTAAGAGGTTCCACAGGAATCACACCATGGTGAGAGTTTTCGCTGAGAGTTACGACGCTAAACGAACCCACAAGCTTTAGTTTGAGCTAGGCCCATGGTCTGTTGCATGTCGGAGGAGGCCCCCTCAGCTTGAATCACCCTCCCAAAGAGGTCTCCAAGCAAACAAACAAACAAACAGACAGACAAACAAACAACCAACCAACCAACCAACCAACCAGACAAGCAACCAGACAAGCAAACAAACACAGAGAAAACACAAGAAGCCGAACACACAAAACCACTTCAAAAGTCGTTCAGTCTGTCAGGCCGCATCTCCCACGTCTTCTCCCTGCGTGGCCCGTGCTTCACCATCGACACGGCCTGCTCATCGACCATCGTGGCCTTGGACTCCGCTTCCTCCTCGTTGAAGCTCGGGAGGCTCCTCGGGGCACTCGGAAGCGCCAAACGCCAAGACGGGTGGAGGGGGGTGGCTCGGGTTTTGGAGTTGGCGTGTACCCTTTCACCTTGGGTGAAAGTGAAACTACAAGGAACACCAAACTGCATGTTGGGCCGAAATCCCCAAATTTGATACATGGAGGTGGTGTGGGTCCTCAACACGCAGGCAATGGCCCACTCCCCTGATTGCGGTCTTATCGGGCTCCAGGTAGATTTGGAGGATGCTGTGAAAGGGCCGCAAATTTTGAGATACCCTTTTGCCTGTCATGTCAGTGGCTACTCAACCAGAGTGGCGTCTAAGTGTGGACACAAGCATAAAACCGTAATCGCGGGTACTCCTGCACATGTTGCTTGCTTCGGCGCTCTGACGCAGAGTTCACCTGAGGTGTCTACCACCGCCCACCCAGGCTCACAGAGCTGGTATGTCTTTGGTTTCGGGGATGCGACCAGCAGGCCACTACCAAACCGGAACCGGTTCCTGCCTAGTGTGGTTGAAAGGGGCGCACCAAAAGCAGCCAGCAGATGAATCCTAATTTCAAAGATACCACGTAAGTAGAACCAAAAGCGCGAGGCCTGTCAGGTCAATCAGGGGGACCTTCCCAGCCCAAACGAAAGAGGTTGTCCGCCTTTGTGGATCCTTGTGGGTTTTGCAGAGGTCCCTATGCCAGTTTCATTGGAGCACCGGTAATCTGATCTCAACTTTCGACACCCTGGGAAGGATAGTTTGATATACAGGGTCCAAAAGTTTGAGCAGTTCTTTCCGAGGGTTTGAAGACAAAGGTTGAGACACTTCCGGCCTGTGTTATTTTCCTGGGTAGCAAAGTGTTCCAGTTCCGTTTTCAAGCTCCTAGGTGCCAGAGTGCGGTTGCCACCGGTGCCAACGTCCAGCTGTCGGGGTGCATTTGGGCACCTTGGCCATCTGCTTCTGCTGTCTCACGGACCTGGGGTTGATGCACTGGTTCAGCTGAAAAATACACAGGCGCCAAGCAGGGTCGTATTCTTTTGTGAGAACTTGAGATGTGCCAGTGTCTCCAGACCGCTTGATAACTAACTCACCATGAATGCAACAAGTCAGCATTGGGTGCGGGGTTCTTGATGACCAACTTGCCTCATGCCTGACAGCCCAAGTTCGCTACCAAAGAAGGCGAGGTTTGCTGCCACATGTTACCCCGCCATGCCCACCCCACATTCAAAGTCCTTTTGCGGGAATACAAGACGAATGGATTCGGAGCCTGCAGGGTGGACCCTAAAGTCAGGATAAGCGGATGTAAGCATTCCCGTTCAGAGAACCATGACCATGGCCTGGGTTGTCTCCAACCCCCCCCCAGGAAATGGGCGGTTTCCGTTAAAAGACCCAAAAAAGGCGTCGCCAATAGCTTGCTGGTTCGCAGGGAATGAGGGAAGCACCTAAACTGAACCATCGCTTCCAGTTTACTTTAGTAGATCCCCTTCCGGCTCATTCCCAAAACCCCTTCCCTAGACTTGGTTGCACTTTGGCGGGGTTCCAACGCATATTTGCCACTTTTGCAGGTCCAAACAAGGGGGAAACTGAGGGAGTCGGGGTTTCGGGAATGAACCGGAAGGAGATCTACTAAAGCAAACCAGAAGGGATGGTTTAGTTTAGGTGCAAATCCCTCAATCTCCCCCTTGTTCGGACCTGTAAACGTGGCAAATGTTCGTTGGACCCCGAAAGTGCAACCAGGTCCAGGTTTCCCCAAGCCGATTGATTGAAGAACCTCTGGTTTCCCGCAAGTTTCATTTCCTGAAGCGACCCCAAGTCAGAAAAGCGGCTGCACCACGTGAGGCGGGATCCCGTTTTTCCAGGGTCGACCTCCATTTGGCCCTTTTTCTTTTGTTTCTGGGTCCACAAAAGCCGGGCTGGGGGCCAGAAAAACAAAAACCGGTCGGGGGTCCAAAGAAAAGGGGAAGAGGGCGCCGTGTTCGTTTCGGGTCGAGGTGGGTTTCTCCAAGATGCGCGGCCTGGCCTTCGACGGGCGCTGCAAGACCTTCGACTCCCGCGCGGACGGCTTCGCGCGGGGCGAGGGCCTGGGCTCCGTGCTGCTGCGCAAGGGCTCGGAGAAGGGCGACGAGGATCTGGCGGGGGGCCCTGGGGCTGTTGCGACTTTTGCGGGGGCGGGGGGGGGGGGTGGTAATTATGTGGGTGGGTCATGGTGGGTCTGTGTTTGTTGTTGCTTTTTGAGGGTACCCTGTTTGGGTTGGTTTAAAGGAAACCCAAAGGGAAACCGATGCCATTTTGGAGGGGTCTCCTAAGAAAAGACACTGTGGTGAAAACACGGGTGGCTGGTTCTTTTTTAGGGGGATCCACCAAATTGAAAGGGGGGGGGGGGTTCCTTTGGTTTTTCTTTGAAACCACAAAGGGGTAGCCAAAAAAAGACACACCCATAGTTCAACAGAGGGACTTTGGTTCTTGGGCCCCAAAATGGATTTCGGTGTTCCTTTAACTTGCCAAGGGGGAACCAAGATCCAGAAGAAGGGTGCCCGGAAAGACACACACACACACAGAGACACAGTTGGGTCTTCAAGAAGAGACATCCCCCAATGCCAAAATAAAAAAGCCGATTATTCCATTGTCTAGAGTTGGTGTCGAGACTGCCCCGGGCAAGAGAGGGCATCTTGTTGTGGGTCACCACACGGGACTCGAAAATCCCAATGCCACATAAGTCTCGTATGCCTAAAAACGGGCGACCCTTTCTTTATGTCTGTTTGGTAACGGATCTTTGGTCAACAGCAACCAAGGTTTTTTTGTTGCAATGTCCAAGCAACTATTAGCGGGCGGCCACATGCAACACGAGTGCTACACTCCCTTCCCCAGCTTTTGGACCTGTGGCTGGAGAACCAAGGGGCAAGCAAAAGAGCCGCGGGCAAGCCGGTTTTACCACAAAACAACGAGCAACACGCCAGTTTGGGAGATTCCGAAGCACCAGCCCAGCCAGTGGTACTTTTGGGAAAAACAATTTGAGAGGATACAGAGAGGTTGGACTTGGACCAAGTGACTTGGCATGCCAGGTGCCAAGGTACAGCGACGGGTGAAAAAGTCAATCTTTCCTCCGTCCTCTCAGGTGAGCCACAATCAGTTGACACCCAGACGACTGAAGGTTCGTAAGGGACAGTTCTTCTTTGCATAGTTGCGTGTTGTTGGTTCTTGGCATGTTTTGGACGTTGATTCGTGTTGCAAGGTATGTCGGCCGGCCTTTCCAGCAGTCGCCAGCTGATTCCTCAGGTGAATCTGACGGGTGTGGCCATCAACCACGACGGGCGGGCCGCAACCATCACGGCGCCCAACGGCACGGCGCAGCAGCGGGTGCTGCGCACCGCGCTGGCGGAGCGCCAGACCATGGGGGAGGACAGGGGTGCTGGGAGGACATCTTGGCATTTTGGCCGGATGGAACGTCGCATGTTCCAGCTGATTTGCAAAAAAACCTGCTTGTACAACACGGAAGCCATCGAAAAAAAGGGTGATGAAGGGTAGGAAGGGACAATGCCAAAAAGCCCTCTTGGTTCTTTACATGTTTGTTGTTTGTGGGTAGACCACTCAGGCTGCTCGTGTCCATCGATGTCAGCGGGCAAGCTGCCCGGCTTAGGGCTGGAGTGCGGTAGAACTGTTGGGCGCTTGTTGATGTAAAGACCGCTCAAACACCAGGCGTTGATGACGATTCATGTAACAATTATCCAGTCAGATAGCTAGCGAACCAGCTAAAGAACCAGCTAAGTAGTTGACTAGCTAGCCAGCTAGCTATTGGACTAGCTGCCGAAAGATGGTGTTTTTGGGATGTATCTTTTGGAGAATCCGGAAGGACGTCACCTGCATCGAGTGCCACGGCACTGGTTTCCCGGCTGCATCAGTGGCAGAAGCGTGGCGGGCTGGCAGGGCGCGGTCTAAGTTTGGCCCAAGATGTCTTCCATTTGTTGAAATGAGTATGTCTTATGTTTCCCTCCCTTGTTGGTTTAAAACGAATCTATCACTACTGGAAATATGTTTATATTGTCCACTGGGCTTAAGCAAATGGAAGATGCCTAATAAACCTGGTTGATGAATAGGGAGTTCCATTTTAGCGGGAATCCTTGACTTTTAAGGGAAAACAGCTCCCTCACAATCCATGGTACAGCATTGGATGGGGAGGTTGAAAGGCAGCCTTGTATTTTCCAAGACAGGTTTTTCTTTGAACACTGCTATGTTCGAGCAGCATTTTTGCCGGCAAAATGCGAAGCCCCCTCGGGCAGCTTCTATTGGGCTTACCTTTGAGCTAGCCTTCACGGTACCCCGCGAAAAGCCAGCCCAACAAATCTGAGCCGTCCCAATTTGGCCCAAACCTGGCGGGCAATAAAGCGAAACGCAACTCTTGCTTTGTGCGTGTCCTTTTCGTTTGGGGGCTGTTTGCTGTTTGTTGTTGAAAGGCTGGCCTGTTGGTGTTTCTTTGCTGTACCTGAGGAGCCCTGTTTTGGTTTGGGTCTGAGTGCGAGGTATCACGGCAATCCAACATGATTTATGCTCAGGATTCATAGATAATTCGGCTGTGAGGCAATGCCAACAGGAATGCAAGGAGTTGTTGCATGCCGCCCAACCCGGATTTTCCGGGCTCCCGTACTTCCTGTTTTGGGTGGTTTACACGTCCCCTTCTGGTTGAGTTTCTGGGTGGAGCGATGCTTCAATCGGGAACACCACATTATTGGGGAGCACACGCCTCCTGTGGTGCCCTTTGGTGTGTTTCTTTCTCGGAGGGTTTCTTTCCTTAAACTCAACTACCCAAAAACTAAATACACGGGGCAATATCTTACACCCTTCTGTGACGAAAAGGATGAGCAAAGAAGGCATGTTAGTCTCGGTTTAGGGTTGCAAGAAAAAAAACACGCTGAGAAAAGCCCCTGTCGTGGTGTTGGGACTTGTGGGTGTGTCTTTTTTGAAGCTGCCATTTTCGTTGTTGTTTCCTGGCAACCACATATCACCGTTTTCTTTGCCTCTTTTCTTGTGGCGGGGGGTGGTCCTGTCACTTGAGGCACCGCCTTGGGCGATCCCATCGAGGTCGGCGCCTTGCGTGCCGTGTATGGCAAGGGCCGGAGCGAGACCCAGCCGTTGATCTTGGCGGCGACCAAGAGTAGCTCGCACTCGGCACCCGTGTTTTCCTTTTTGGGCGAAAACCCAGCTTGGCCTGGTACCCCTTTTCTTTTTGGGCGAAAAACCACCTTTATTGGTCTTGTCAACAGGGAAGACAAGTGTTCTGCAGGTCCCGTTGAAAAAATATGGCATCTCGTTACGTGCTGTACGGCTTTACATGTTAAGGTTCACTACGGACTGGAAACAAGGAGGCGATTGGGGGCAGAAGCTGAGGCTTTTCCTTCACCAGTTCAGTGGCACTCTTCAAATCCCGTTTTCTTTGGTGGTTTTGCTGAACTGGTAAACCCAAAAAGAGTTGCCTTCTTCTCACCAGAGAAGAGTCAGGCATTTCCACCCTTGTGCTCGTGGCCTGGTTGTGGCAAATGTGTTTTTGGGTTGCCCTTTCCCCCCATTTAAAGTGATCAGATCATACGGGACGGGCATCAATCGCTTGGTGCAAGGGGAGATTCCTTCCCCAACCATGCTGGGGTGCCTCTCTTCTTGGCGTCTCCTTGGCATCTCTTCGCACCTTTGTGTGGTCCGTCAAAAGATCGCGCAAAAGGCGCTGCATTGCCAGGTGACGAGGTTGCTCCCAGCCGAACGATGAAGCGTCAAGGGTAGAGAATAGGCTTTGTTTTGGGTTCCCTCTTGAGGTACCAGCTTGCTCGCCTTGTTCCTCTGTTCTGTTTTTGGTGGGGGAGGGGACACGGGCGGGGTTGACGCGTTGACGTGAATTTGCAGGGGAGTGGCAACCAAACAGGAGGGCCGCTTTTACCTTTGTTCCCCGGTGGCCAGTGGCCAGTCGCGAGGCAACATCGGGCACTTGGAGGGCTCTGCCGGTGTGGCGGGCATCTCCAAAGTCATCCTGGCCATCACCAAGGCGCCGTTGGGCGCGCGTCGCCCCGGCTCCTTTCACGGGCGCCGTTCGACCTCCCTTTCAAACGGCCCCCGAAAGGTTGATGGCCGCAAAATGTCCCCTGCCATATTTGTGAATGCCACCTTTTGAACAGATCGAGCATCTCAGTTTTATGGATATTTGAATGACTTTCAAAGCAAAGTGGTGAAAGGTTTGTGGGGTAAATAGGAAATAGCCGACTCAGGCGATCTCAGTGAGGGCAGACCGCCTCTCCCAAGGCTCTCCCACTGGCTTTGAGGGGGTGTCGTTGCGGCTCGAGTTGAAGCTAAGCAGCTAGGCGCAGATTACGCCGAATCTGCACCTCGAGACCCTGAACCCCAACATTGACCTGACCGGCTTCCAGGCGTCTTGTGAGGGGTTCATGGTCTTGCCGGGGTGGTCGAGACGCCCAAGGGTCGAGCCATGACTAATGTAGCTCATGGTCTCAAGGCTCGATGTCATTCTCAAGACGGGAATGCCAGAGGTTTGATCTGGATCAGAGGATCAGAGAACGAGAGAGATGCGTTTGTGCGGGGGTGGGGGTGGTGTAAAGTCCTCCGATGGACTGACAAGTTGACATAGAGCTGTAAGCCAGACATCTTCAATCACGAGCTGTAAGTCGCGGGGCAATATGTTCAACTCAGAACAAATCAAGTGTCAGTCGCCCACGGCCTCCGTGTTTCGGGGAGGTATTGATGCCAGACAAGCTCATCGAGTGGAAGAGCGCTTCCCTGCGCTCGGGAGTGTCCTCATTCGGCTTCTCCGGCACCAATGGCCACGGCATCATGGAAGCCACGGCATCCACAGAGCCCAAAGAGCTGCGCAAGCCCGCCAAGTTCGCTCGCAAGGCACGGCTTTGCGGGTCCGCTTTGTCGCGTTTTTTTCGCTGCACAAGGGCTTCAGCAGTGTTGTGCTTATGGTTTCCAGATTCTTGGGAGTGAGAAGGGGATCTCTACTGTACATATGCCGGTGTTTTGATATCGCCGCCCTAGGATAACCTGGGTCTCATGTAGTGCGATTCCCTTTGTGGTCTCATGTGACCACTACAAAGCCTGACTAACACAGAACTTTTGCTTCTGTTCGCAAGGGTCTCCTGTTGGTGTTGGCTAATGTTTCGCTGGACTCAGAAGTGTTTCATCGAACATCCAGTTGGTTGTAGCCCTCCCACCGTATCTGAGAGCCGGTCGTTTCTGCACCAGTCAGCCACGCCCACTACCATGGGGTTGGATTTACCAGCGCAAACTTCCCCCAAGCGAAGCATCAGCCATAGGGAAGGCTTTTCAGTATCGCAGATGTGGCTGCAATGCTCACACCGGGCTTGCAAGGTCCCTTCATTTTCCCGGGGGCAACAGGCAACCCCCCGCTTCCCAAGTTGAAACCGAGGCATGAGTCTGACTTTTTCGGGGGGGGGGGGGAATTATCGAAGTCATCCACCAGGCCCTCCCACCACTTGCCGGGGGGGGGGGGGGGGGGAGGGACTTTGGCCAAAAGTTGAGGTCAGAATCCCCAGCCTAGGTGCTGAAGCCCTGGCGCAATTGGCTGCAGACGGTGCTGTACCTCGAAGAGCGGGGGCTCTCTCAGCGGGGCCCAAAGCGAATCGACATTTTGGACCTTTTGGTTTTCCCCCCATGTTGCTCATGTTTCGTAACCAGCCCCAAAGGTTTAACCTTTGGTTCTGGGTCCTTTGGGCAACTTGAGACAAGCTTCCCATATGGTGGGGTTTATTTCGAGCCTCGCCACGAAGGCCCAAGCTGACGGTGAGGGAAGACCCCAGACTGGCTTCCAGCGTGCGACTGTCCTTTCTCCTGCGTTTGGCCATGGGCTCCACCCACTTTTTCCTTTGTTTGCCCTGTTTGCCTTTTTTTGGGCTCCATATTTCATAGAAATCAAGCAACAAGGGTGAGCCATGGCTCTAAGTGAGTAGAAACTTGCTGGGACTCCCTGCGGAGTGTCTGGTTGACATGGCTTGAGGACAGACCTGCCGGCACAACCAGAGTCCCTATTTATCAGCTGGGCTTTGCCTTCTGTTTCCCTTCAAGACAAGCCACACATTGACAAATGCCACACACACACACACACACCACAAGGGCCCCTTTTTTGAGCACCACCTGCAAAAGAGACACGCAAAAACACACGCATCCTGAATCGCAGGAGTGGCGTGAGGCGGCGCTCGCGCCCAGCGGAACCTTCCCCACGCCTCTTGGGGTCATGGCAGCGCCCAAGCTGGCGGAAGCTGTGCTCGGCGGTACGGAGGGCGTGGCCTGGCGAAGCGCCCAAAGGCTACCCAGACCGGTGCCCTTTTGCCACTTTTTGGGGGTTTCCCTGGCTGTGGTCCCCCCCCCCCACTAATTGGGGATATATGATATAAGGAATCCTTCCACTTTGAAGATTGCCTGGAAAAGGCAGCTTGCTTGTAGTCGGGTTGCTCTTTCTACAGGACTCTGCACCTCAAGTTGTGGGTATGTGTTTGTCAATATGATACCCCGAGATGGTCTTGATGGCAAAGGGAAAGGACACTATCCGGCCGCCCCTAGACCAAATGGCAGGGGGTTCTCAAAATGAGGAAGGTCCTAAAGATGGCTTGAGCGTGTGCGCGTTCTGAACAAAGGCCTCCCTTTTGTGTTATTTTGGGGGGAGGGAAACCAAAGGGAAGGCATTCATTTTGAGGGGTCCGCTCCGTGAGGCGAAGCCAAGTTGCTTTTGACCCAGGCGGCTCTTCCGACCTCGCCGGCGGACATGGCGGCGGCCATGAAATCGACGCAGTGCGCCGTGTTCGCCTTGTCAGAGGCTGAGCCGCTGCCCGGCACAGTGCCGCGGACTAAACTGGGCATGTGTCAAACGGGGGTCCCCCTAAAAAGGGTCCCTCAACAAGAAAGGCACCGCCAAATAGTCCCAAAGGCCTTTGTTATATGTTTTAAACGGAAGCCGAGATGGTGTGACGGTTTTCTTCTTCAGAGCTCCTTTTCCTCATCTTGGCACCCAGTGAGGCCGGTCGAGGGCGGCCTGTTCGAGCTTATTTCACGGATTGACCTGTACAAATGAACTAGACTCACACCCCGAGTTCCTGCACTTCTGCTTGTTTGACCAGTGCATTGACAAAAAAAGGGGACTTTTCAGGGACAATCCTCTCCGGAGGGTCAAGTATTTACCCCCACTACCGGGCTGTTGGGTTCCCGGTGAAAGCCCGCACGTCCAGAGCATTGAATTGCCGGCTTCCAGTGAATGTGGGCTGCCACCGTCAACAGAAGAGAGCGAGAGAGGGCAGAGAGAGAGAGAGAGGGAGAAGAGAGAGAGAGAGAGAGCGAGAGAGAGCGAAGAGAGAGAGAGAAGCGAGAGAGAAGAGAGAGAGCGGGGAATGAATGTGATCCATTAGCGACGCCTGACCGACAATGGAGCCCACAGAAGCAATGCTGACATTCCTTTACAATCGTAGCCCATGTGGCGTTTCGATATGCGCTTTCATTGGTGTCCCATTCCAGGCTTTTATGATGATATGGTTGTGTCTGAAAATAGGCCTCCCCAGCAAATTGTTGGTTTCCTTTTAGCTGCCCAATAAAACACAGATCGCAAAGGATGGAGATATCCAAAAGACACCATTATTGAACATGACCCTGAGGTGTCATGGCTGGATATGGCCCCGGAATAGCACCTCATGGCGCTTTTGCCGGCGTGAAAACCCGTCATGTGGCGGAGGGGGTTCTTCCATTTAAAACAAAAAGCCTTCAGGTTGATCCCGTTGGCGCCTCAAAGTTTGTCACTGATAAACAGTCCTCTTCCAATACAAGGCTATGGTTCCCAGGTGGATGTGGCTCAAAATTAAAAAAGAGGGGTTACGCGGGTGTTGATCCATGTTACCACTTACCAAGGTTCAATTTTGGTACCGGTTTTCTGAGCCACAGCCAGGTATGGCTGTGAAGAATATATCTTTCTGACATGGGGATTCCCCTCTTTTTTGCAATCGAACACCACGCTTTGAGGTGCTCGAGCAGCTGGTCCACTTCCTGCAGTCCGCCAACTTGGCGGAGCAGCCGAAGATGCTGCTGGTGGTCACTCGCGGCGCCCACGACGCCACCCGCGAGAAGTTCGACGCCTCGGCGACCTTGTGGGGCGTGGCGCCTCTGGCGGCATTTTGAAGGTGCAAATTCTGTGGCCCTTCCAGTTACTCCCTGTTAAATTGCAGGACTTGGCTGACTTTTTTGCCCTGTTGGCGCCTTTGCTTACCAGCAACGGGTGTGTGTGTGTGGGTGTACTTTTGTTTGGCCATTTATATCTTCACTTTCCAAACATACAGCTAGATGTCTTCACCATTGTCTTCGCCATATTAGTAGAGGCCCATGTGTTGTTTTCTCTCAATCATCATCCGAGCAGATCAGTTCTATAGGTACTCCCTGCCGTGATTCGCATGAAACCCCCCCAAAAAATGGTCCTTCCCCAAAAGCAAAGCCCGTTTCTAAAGTTTCTGGCTCTGGGGTTCCATGTGAATCTGACATTTGCAAATCCTGCTTGGGCAAGACTTGGGAAGTCGGAAAACAGAGGGAAAAGGAGTTGCCAATTCGAGCCACTATTGGTGAGTCGTCGCCCCCCAATTGAGCAGCTTTGCTTCAAGGATGAAGGCTCGCATCTTTGTGGCGACGTTCTTTGCATGTTGTGTAGGCAGCTGACTGACAGGGCCGCAACCGCGTAGGCATCTCGCGCCAGGCTTGTGTTGCGAAGCCTCGCGTAGGCAGTCGCGTGGGCGAGGGATTCGATAGGTTGAAATGTCACGTGGCATGTGCTTTTATGAAGGGGTGAATGATGTGAAGCGTTGTTGTGGGGATGCTGTGACGGCTTGTGAAGCCCTGCACGTCCAAATTCAGCAAATCAGGCAGATTTGGCTTCGCACAGGCTTCGCGTAGGATCCAACCGGAAGGGGGGGGCTTTCGGGTTCGACCTTCCTTTGTAAGCCCGCTCACTTCTAGAGCTGGAGCTTCCTAAGTGTGCTTATCAAACGACGATTTTCGAGCTGGAGCTGCCAAGGGTTCGATGCTCGAGCTGGAGCCGCCAAAGTGCAAAAGCGCTTGGTACGCTTGTACTGTCAGTTTGTAATTTGTGCGCAGCCCTAAATGCGTTGAGCCGCGTTGTGGCGATGGTTCGGCTGGCAGCTTTCCGTCAACTTGGTCTCGCGCACGTCGGCGTGTTTGTGGCAGGGGCCGCCTTTGGCGTAAGCATGGCGTAGGCGCGAAGCAAGGAAAGAAGGGTGAGGCCCCGCACAGCCAAATAAACACTGACCAATCGGAGTTCTGATTTTTCTGAGTCTTGTCCAAATCACATTCCGGGTAGATTGGTCCTAATTTCCAGCAGAGAGCTAAGTGGCCAGTAAGCCCCGGTCAAGCCCAAGCACAAATGACCTGGACCTTTGACTTTTTGGCAGCTCCCACAAAATCAAAGAGCACTTTAAAAAGGGGGTGTGAAAAGGATGCTCATGCTGTTGGATTTATTTGGATTGCACCCTAACTCACCACAACCCCAGCCAAATTGGCCTGCGATGCCTTGAGTCTCTCAAAGAAGGACATGGGTTCCCTTGTTTGGGCCGGGCTAGAAAAGCATTCGCCCTGTGTCGATCCGAGGTGCGCTCGGCACGCATCGAGATGCCACGGTTCGTGATCAAGGCGGTGGATGTGAGCGCCACAGCCAGCGACCAGGAGGTCGCCAAGGCGCGGATGGGCAGACCTCGCAGTTGTGAGCTTCACAAAGGGGATGTGGTTTCCAATCCAAAACCAAAAGGGCGGCCAAGTATGAGCTTTGGATGTCTCCAAAGGAAACAAAACTGGGATAAGTTTTATGAGCAGAAGTTGGCCCAGGCCCCCCGGTTTCGAACCCGGCGGTTTGCAACCATAAACCACCAGAGAGCCTTTCGCGTTGATTGGTGGATTAGTCTATAAAGGCTAGAAAAACCCCTTAAACCTTTTCGTGAATTCGCATTGATGCATCTGGTGGATACCTGGTGCGAACCAGCCGCGCCTCAGCCCGCGTATTTAGCTCGGTGTTTGGTGATGTCTGGTGGCGAATTGTGTCCCCAGCCACCCACCCCACCCAACATCCAGGTTTCAAAAACAGGCAGCCAAGGGGCAAGTCCTCTAGGGAGCGACAGCCCCTCGTCCACTTAGCGATGCTTGGAAAAGGGGTGACCTTTAACCTGAAAGGTCAGGTCCTTCTTCCCCATGCGAAGCAGCTGGTCAATGAAACTTCATGCAAATGTGTCTGGGTGATCAATGGGCATTTCCCCAGCAAACAGTAAAACTCGCTGGTTGGGAATGAGCGGTGCTCCGCGAGTCGCTTCTGGCAGGTGGTGCAAGCAGAGCTTCAAGGCCCGGAGACGGAGGTGGAGGCCGGATGGGATGCTGTCAAAACTGGGACTCGAGTGACATATTGTTACATTTTGAGAACCGGAATGTAAAAATTGACGTTTTTGGGTTGAGGGCAAAGGCTGAAGATCCCACCAACATGAACAGACACTCCTGACCTTCGAAGGCTGTTGTATGGCCCCAAAAAGCCAGAAGGAGGTCACTTGACGATCTGTCTAAAGCATGGGCCCTGCGATCTGCTTTCGCTAGCCCCCGCTGCCGGGGTGATCAGACCGACGCTTCTGACTTTCAGGCCTTTTCAGCCCTTTGCAGCCTCGCATCTGCCAAAAGCATGCGGGTGTTGTGGGATTTAGCTGTTCAGCCAAAACAACACAGTGGTGGGAATGGGAATCAACCACGTTGGCCCTTATCCACAGAAAGTGGCCCTTTCCCAAACATGGCCAGACCGGGGCAAGCTCTGGATGCGGAACCTCATAGCCCTCACTCACGTCAGCCCACATGCCCTTGTGCATAAAGTTTTTATATATATATATATACCTAATATGAGTGGCTAGATAATTGAAATATTGTGAATAAGATGTTGCTTCTATGGTGATGTTGTTTGAAAGTACTGTACCCGACAACCCCATTCCAGTGATGTAGGCTAAATAGTGTAGTAGAATCACAACCATGGGCCATTGGACGGGCCCGGCCAAATGAAGGAGTTTCTCTCTGAAATGTTCCAATGTTTGGGTGGGGACTCCAATTGACCGGTCTGGGAGGGAAATACAGATTCTGTTTGGTGTAGGTCCTTGCAGGTCCTTTTCATTCATTATGATATTCATTTGCTCAGCCAAACACCCGGGAGGATGAGGTGGTGGACATAAATCCCCGTGCTGTCCGCCAAATTCATGTGCACACCTTCACCCCTATTCCCCGGCAACAAACATGGAAGTCCACACATATTTTTACAAAAGGAAAGCTATCGTCTTCCAAAAGGGGTCTGTGCACGTCAATGTTTGTCGGAAGGCTACCTGATTGTTCAGTTGCACTGTCTCCCCAAACCTCTTTTTGTTTGTTGGGCTCCCGACTAAAATTGGAACCAACCAAGAAGCAAAATGGTGTTCCTTCGTTTTCCGAGGTCACCGATTGCAACTGGGTCTAGATAGGAGGGTGTTGCACCGTGCCCAAAGCCGATTGCCGCTGAAAAAGGGTTGTACCTGGTTTCACGTATAGGGCAGAAACCTTAACACCAAAGCACATTACAGGAGGACATGGCAACTGAGACACACATGTGGTCTCGGTAAGCCTTAACCCTCTTCACCAATGCAAGTTGCAGGAGGATATTGCAACCAAAATCTGGTAAACCTCAACCAAAGTCTTCGCCGACGCATAGAGCAGGAGGATATTGCATCTCTACCAAAGGTCAGCTCGGGTTTTGGGTGTTCGCTCACCAACCCGAGACCGCAGGTGGCATATTTGGGTGGCCAGCGCTGTGTGCCGCGGGTGGTGGAGGCACCGGAGGCTGCGGCCACCAACCTGCAGCGCCAGGAGCGGCGCTAGACTGGAATATGCACGGGTATATTAGAAGGCCCGTCAAAATTGCTTCTGTTGAGTTTAGTCTTCGGTGTTTCATTGATATTGTGAAAATGCACAAAACCATGGCAAACGACAGGGGACTCTCAAAAAAACGATACCCCCGGAAAAGGATGGAAACGCTGGAAAACGATAGGGGACTCTCAAACTAAGTAGCGAGACCGCCGCAGGTAAGTAATTTCGACCGTGCCTAATATACATAGAGATTGGGTTGGTCAAAAGGTCATTTACATGGTATGACCATTGGGGGAAACCGCTAAAAGGATGATATGTCCCACTAAATGGGAAAAGTTGCCCACAATCGTTTGGGGGCCAGGAATGTTGGTGTGTTTGCCTGTTGTGTTTGTTTGCTTCTTTGTTTATGTGTGGCTTTGTTTGTTGATTTGTTTGTTTGTGTGGTTGCTGTTGCTTGTTTATAGGTTAATGAGTTATTTTGTGTGTATATGCATATGTGTGTGCGTGTGTCCATGGATATATTGTGTTATGCGTTTGTGTATTGTATAATACATGTGCGCGTGGTTGAGTATGTGTTTATGATGTGCGTATATGTTTGTACATATATGTTTGTAACTTGTTTATGCATTGTGTACTTATATGTGTGACCATTGATTTATTGATGTCTTTATGCTTATGTATTATGTTGTGTATTGCGATGTTTTGTTATTGTGCAATTATGCATTGCTACCCGCTCACCAAAATCAAGGCCTTCCTCTGACAAGGGCAAATGACGTTGCGACCTCACCAAAGGCTCCACGAGAAAGCCTCGTTTCATAGGGAATGCTTATCTTCGAAGGACTACCTCAGAAATGTTAAAGGAGTGTAAGAAGCATGGGGGCACCCTCAGGATAGTGGCTGGTTCTCCTGTTGAAGACTTCTCAGCTGACTTTCGCGGATGAGCAAATTAGCACGGATTGGCTATGTCCATTTTGGGAGGTTTCCGAGCGCAGCTAAGAAGGTGCCACTAGGTTTTCCAAGAAAGCTGGGCTGGTCAATATCAGAATCCTACCAGATAGTCGTGGTGCCCCCTTGTAGTGGTGCCTTACGGATTGCGGGCTGGGATGGGTGTCAACCCATGCAACCGGAAAGGGCAGGGACGAGATTGCCAGGACGCCATGCGGGACGCCCCAGAGGAGTCCGCGAAGCAGGCCCGGCGACGCGGTGGATCGAGGTCGATGCGGTCAAACCTGGGATTTTACACAGAACTCCAGCGGTGGGTGGATGTTGCCTTTTTGGAGGGAATCCTTTCAGCTTCAAAGTCAACTGTCTGGGTAAAATAGGGGCCAGCTTTAAAGGGATGTCCTTTTTGAACTGATGGCTCAACTGCAAAGCTGGGGTGAAAAACAGCTGAGGTTCGTTGGAACCCCTCAACAAAACATCCCACCCGAACGGGGATTGGGGATGCGCCCGACCCAAAGCGGATGCGTTGTTGACAGCCTGTGTAGTCCCTCGTTTTGTTTGTTTCCAGGGAATGGGAGCTGCGCGCTGATCCTTGGATCGTTTGGGGAGAAGGTTCGATCATCCTCAGGGCAGACATCGACGGAGCATAAGGAATCTGCACTGATGGCCTCCTGCCTAAAAATAAGCTAACATGGCAGGCATGAGCGAGTAGGTTGTATTTAAGGTAACCTTTCCATAAAACCAAGATTTCTCAATCTTAATGCGAGTTCTAATTATAAAAATAAAGACTAGATAATAATGATACAAAGATAGGAGCATCTTCAATAGAATAATTACACCTATTTGAAAAGATGGGATTCCAGAGAGGAAAGGTTTGGTGTCTTACACATGTCTATCTTCCTTACACATGTCTATGTTCCAAAGCATATATATATACAACTAGAACGTACATTCTGGATCTTTGTCAAGCTGTAATGATATGATGCCATTTCCCTTCCTTTGTCTATCTTATGATCATTTTATTTTGTCATCATGCATCTTTGTGAGTGTCTATCTGTTATTATGTTTTACAGTGCAGGCTTGCAGCCATATGCTGCACTTCCACTTCTTGCGTGAAGCACGGACCTGCGCCCAAGTGTACGCTATAAGTTCTAATCTCTGGCGCGCGCGCACACACACACACACCGGGTTTGCGGGTAGATCTACCACCTGGCACTTGCTTGCGCTGTGGGGAATGCGCTCATGGTCTCAGCGAAAGCCCGTGGTCTCACGGTACAAAATCGCACATTTTTTGGGGCTCATTTGAAGGTATCAAGGTGCAAGACGCGATAGCTTACCCAGAGGTAGATTGCATTTCGCATGTGACTGGGAACCAAATAAGTTAGTTTGGTATAGCTCCAATTGTGTTGTGATCAAAGCCAGTGGTTGCCAAAAGCAAATCAGTACTTAGGTCCCCCAGTAGTGCCCTTTTACCCCTTTTTTGGGGCAAGGTTCCCCTACTAAAATAGACTACAGAAAAAAGAGGTACCCTTATTCTAACCTCTCTTCTGGAGGACCTAGGTACAGCTGATATTGTCCGTCCATGAGCAGCAAGTCAAAGATGCGAAAGCAGAACGGACAGCGAGGCTGCTGGTCCCCAAAGGCATCCATACCTTTCACTCAGTTTCTGAAGTTCTCGGAGCAGTTTGTTCGAATTCCAGCAGGGGTCATGGAGGGGCGCAGCCCCAAAGAGACAAGCTAACAGTCAAAAGCTGTGGCCTGGATTGCTGCCAAGAGTTGAACATGCAGCATGATACTGAGCTTCAACCTCCAAATTTATAAAGCAAGACATTTTGTGTTGACTACCTCAAGGTAGACCTAAACTCGAAGGTTGTCCTTTCAGCCACCCCTGGTTTAAGTCTCCCTAGGGGTAGTAACAAAATGGAACCCTGCCTCGAAGTGCTTGGAATCTGCTTACCGGGAGACATCCAGAAAGACCAGAGATACATAAATGATTTTCAGGGACTTCTATGTTTCTTTCCGAGAGAGTGGTCTAAAGCACTAGGGTGTCTAACTGTTTTGGAGGGAGCCCATGGGACGACTTCTTGGCCCAAAGAACGGAAGGAGTCGCTTTGGGCCTCGCGGGCGCGGCAGGTGAAGAAGGGCCTCCAAGTGGTGACTGGCGGCCTCGGCGGCCTCGGCCCCTCGCTGGGATGAGCTTGCGCTTTTCGGGCCGAGCGCTTCAGGGGGCCATGTGAGGGTCCCCTTTGGTTGGGATTTGGAGGTGAACCCAAAGGAAGCCAAGTTGTTTTGTGTTTTTTTTCTCCTGAATTGGCTCCCCCTGCTTTGAGAAGCCAAGGATTGAGAAGGTCAAACCATCCTCGCAAGCTCCCACATCCAGTTGCCGTTCTAGCAAATAGCCAGCATGTTGTCCTGAAGATGCTGCATGATACTTGGCTTTACCTGGTTACGTACTGTACGGGGGGCCTCGTCTTGGTTCAACTATGTTTTACCAAAAAGGCACAGACACATGGATTGCCAGGTGGCTTGCCGAGCCCTTGTTACGTATCGGGCAGTGCCAGGAGACAAACACTGCAGCGTAGAAATAAGCAGCTTTTGGCATGTTTGTGACCATCAATACGTCCGCTGAGTTGTCCTAATGATAGCCCCCCTTGGAGTCCTCATTCGAGTCAAGCCAAGGCCCGGGTGTACATTGTCAGGTTCACAAGATATGGACCAGAAACAAACAAAGTGTTTGCGTAGAGCACGTTGCGCGATTGTTCAAAGCGTAAGTCCTTAAGGTGTTTTTTTTTGTTTCTCTTGAGACAGGTCCAAAACGACACGCGTTCAAACCCTCAACCTGTGAGAAAACAGCAACTGCCTCCAAGGGTCAGACCAAGGAACCGACCAAAAACCCAACAAACCTATGGTGGCACCTCAGGCCTGGTGGCAGCCGAAGAGCTGGCTGCCCTGGGCGCGCCAGGCGAGGGATCGGGGGAAAAGGCCGTGAAAAGTTCAATTTTCAGAGGTGAGCTACTTGCTCAAAAGCGATTTGGGTAGATGAAGGTTAGTAAGGGATAACCCCGGGAAAAAAATACACCAATCAGTTTATTCCGGAGCATGCTTCTCCCTGGGTGAAATGTGGGGAATCAGACCACTTTTGGAAGGGGCCACCCCCCGATTATTGCACTGGGGTTGATTAATATGGGGTCAGCATTAAGGGACAATCCCAACCACCAATGGTTGCAGTTGCAGTCTTAATTATTTGCATGGTTTTGGGTAGTCCTTTGTAGCACCAGGTTTTGATGAATTCACCTTTGGGTTAACCTATGTCTATTTTTAGTGGCCCCAAAAGGTGTTCACCCTTGCTGTTTGCAAATACCTTTGGGCGAGTTCAAGATCAATCACCGAACGAGGATTCTCCGTTTTTTGCGGATTTCACATGCAAGTGTTGCCAATGGCACACCTGGGGCTCTGTGTATACAAATTGTAGCAACCTGACTAACCCCGACCCTCGAATGAGGATGCCTTTGCTTGCGGGCCCTTGCTTCAGGTGCGTGGTTCGTCTAGTTCACCCAGATGTGGACGTCTCAAAACGGAGGACCCCGTTCCTTTTCCGGAGTGTTCCTTCCAAACTGTCGAACAGCTTCGCGTTGGGAGGTGCGACCCCCTTGCCGTTTCTGCTGTGGCATCTTGCAAGACCAGCCAGCCATCTGAAGTTTGAATTTGAGAAGCAGGGAGCCCCCTTGCGATAGCTTGAAAAAACTCGTTTGATTGAACTCATGTTACATGCTGATGTTCAGTAGAGTGGCCAAAATCAGTATGTTGAGCAAAAGCAGAGGTCAAGGGTACAGCAGATTGATTTAAATGGAAGCCCCCTGTGGATGCTCGTGTTGGATTGTTTGAAGCAGCACACCCTGAAGCCGTTTCATGTACATTCGAGTATCTCCAAATTGGGGACCTCCAAAATGGGCGTTGGTTTCCTGGCTTCCTTTCAAAGCGCTTCCCAAAAACATCGCCCATGTCCTTCGGATCAGGTCTCATGCTGACATCTCGGAGCGGTCGAGTTGCTGCGGGCGCGGCGCTCAGAAACTCAGCGGCGGGCGTCGCTTTAGATGAGGCAATTGTAGATAGGGTTCTTAGAGCTTTCTTGGAAGGGGATCACAGATTCTCCGAAGCTTTCCGGAGGGTGGCTAGGGGTGCGGCGAAATGAGCCAATGCGGGACGCATGCCCAGATGCAGGGTGAGCTTGCTCAATATGGTAAGATGGCACGCAGAAAGCACTTTGACAATATGGATAGATGACACAAAGGAGGCTTGCCATTGGTTCCCTATGTCCGCACCCCTGTTGGCAGAAGCTGCAGTATATCAAAACTGGCCACTTTTCCAAGGGGTTGGCGAATTTTGCTCATGTTGGCATCCTCTTGGAAGTGGACAAACAGTTTTTTGTTTTTAATGTTCGACGGATCTGCTGAAAAACTTACAACAAGGCCTCCTAGGGAGTAAAACGAGCTTGCGAATGATGACACGGCCCCTTGGATTCCTAATTTGTAGTTTGGATATTACTGTCATGCGGGACAGGTGAGGCTTTCTTGGCAAGCCCCCTCAAGCCACAACCTTCGTAGCCCCGCGGGCTGAAGCTCCGTTTCCCTCAAATTCCGGGGCGGCCGTCTCGGGTGGTTTTTCCCGTGGCTTGCTCCAATACTTTTGGGCCGCCCGGAAAAACGGCGCGCGGAGGTCAGAAGCGCTTAGAAGAGCAGCTCCGACGGCTGCAGGGCTTGCCTGGATTGATGCTTGGCCGGCACGGCGTGGCGGGTTACGTCTGGGGGCTCGGGCAAGGAGTTTCATAGCCGCATCCAGGATTTGTTCGATGGGAAAGCTTGTGATTTGGCAGGTTGGGCGTGTTTCTTTTCAAAGGGGGGGGTGCAACCAAAGGGCACCAGGCCACTCCAACTGAATCCTAAGTTGATGCAAATCAGCAGGCCAGGCGCTGTTTGGCTGGGCGGCCCTCAAGTGAGGCAACGGCTGAGACGGTTAACCATCAACCATAGGTCCAGTGCTTTATCTTTTTTCGCCGGGAGGTGAGCAGTAGATGGCAAGAGGGATTCTTCACAGAGCTCCGCAGTCTGGGGACGCCCTTGGCGTTGAGATTTGGGAAAAGGAGCAACTTTTACCCAGTTGGCCAGGAAGACTCAGCCATAGGACTTTGCCCGCCCCATCCTCGGTCTTACCCTGCGCCTGCGTTGTTCGTTACCCAAATCGCAAGCCCCACAGATTCGGTGTTCTTTGGGTCTCTTTGGACCCGTTTTTTGTTTGAACGAACTGACGGGGAAGCAGTCCCGGGGCCGTGCGGGTGCTGGGCTGAGGACCGTCCAGCTGAAGGCCTGCGACGTGGGCAAACAGAGCCAAGTGGCGAGCCTCGTGAAGGAGGCCAAAGACGCCATGGATCCGGTGACAGGCGGGGATTGGCCTGCGGCATGCGGCACAATCCCAGTTCTGCGGATCTGTTTCGAAGGGTTCCCCACTGGAAAAATGTCTAGCCCAGCAAGGGGGACCCTTTCTCTACCAGGAATTGGCAAGTGGGTCGTGATATGTCCCTTGAGTTAGCCTTAATCCTGATATGGATCCAAAGTCTGTCTCCAACACTTGGCCAAAAAGGATCAAGATGATGAGGATTAGGACGCTGGTGATGAATCTGCATTTGGTATTTGCTTGATGCTTGTTCCTACCAAGTTGCACTGGTAATCATATTTATGTCGGAGGACTAGTACCCAGAGAGTGTAGTGGTATGCTGTTTGCTCCTTGACTTTAGTCATTTTTTTGCGTGATCATTGGCTATTATCTTTGTGTGCTTGAACCCCCAGGTGTGGTCCTCTCACCAAAAGGCTTTTCAACTTCTTTTGCGCATTCTCACAACTTGTTCTTTGCAGCAAGTCCTCCTGTTCTAGTTTGAGCAGCTGTTGTTTGGGTCTTGTTTGGTTTCAACACTTGAGACGCAGACATCTGTCGATCGTTTCACCGGCATCTTTACGCCACTTGCGTTGGGAATGGGGATTTCCGGCAATGCTTCCCTCGGTTTGGCGTTTTGGACTTAGAGCTGATTGCTTCCTGTCGGCTTAGCTTTCAGGCTGGGTGCGGTGTTCTAACTTGTCTGTCTCTCCTTTGGCCATGTCGAGCTCGATGGCGAAGGACTCTTCTGAGCAGATGGCCGTGGACCGTACTGGACAGCCGGATGACCGACTTGTCCATGTAGCCCTGTTGCTCACTGGCATCCCGCAGATGCAAAACTCCGCTGTGTACGGCTTTGCTCGGCTAATCGACGGTCTCGGAACCCTTTTGAATCCTCGCAATCATCGGCCGAAGCGTTTCCAGACCTGGTTCACTCACTTTCAGCTGTCCCTCAAGTTCGATGGCGATGAGCAGACGTGGCTACTGCATCGCGTCAAGTCCGGTGTAGAGTTCCATCCATGCGAAGAGTTGCGGAGCTTCAGTTTCGGCTTGCATGAGGTGGTGCCGCATGGCGGGTCGTGTTCGCGTGCTTGGACATGTGACACAACCTACCTCGACAAGGAAGTGAGTCGCTCGCATGTGCTTGACTAGCTCGAAAGCCAGGACAAGCTCGGGTACTGTCCTTTGGCAAAGAACTGCCAGCACTTCTGCTACGACTTCTACAAAGACGTCATCGAGCATGAACAGGTTAGGAACGAGACGTTCGAGTCTTTCTCGGAGAGGCTGCAAAAAGTGTTCCATGATCAGGGTGGCTTGATGTGAAGAATTGAGTCCTTCCAGCAAGACGGTTTTGCCAATCAAGACCGTCTTGCCCGAGAAAACCATGCGATGCAATGGAAAAAACAAGACGCTTTTTGGTGATTCTGCTTTGATTAAAAACCCCCGACTTGTGGTGCGCGATTGACAGGCTTTGCAAGGTACCGTCGCTACCAAAGTCAGGGCAATAGCCAGATTTGGACCCCTGCGTCATCGCGCAGGCAGTTCTTTGGTTTGCTGCGAGGGCCCTTCCGGAACCTGGCAGTGCAGACAAAAGCGGCCTGTCAAAGCGGATTGACCTTTCGTGCTTTGCAAGGGGCGGGTCTATTTTTTAGCAAGTGGCAACTCACAGGGTCACCCTTTTTGTTTCAGGTAAGTGATGCCTGTTTCCGTCCATCTCACTTCCCACATTTCTGGACGTACCCAGCAAAGATATTGCATGTGGGAATACACAAAAGCGTGTGTTTTCAAAGAAGTGAGCCCCCTTTTCCTTGTTTCTTTCAACCATCCACAACCTTTCAAGCTCGGCTCGGCGTTGCCGATCTTGAGATGCGCCGAAGTAGTGAACTTGTTGCAGGGTCCTGTTATGTCCTTTTTTGGAAGGATGAAACACTTTCATGGGCCCTTGAACGGGTTGTCCTAGTGCAATGTTTGGGCATTTGCTCACTTCTGTATGGCCACTTTGAGAGGAAACCCTTGAAGGCAACCAAAAGAAACCAGGGGTTGAAGAACCCTTGTAGGTCAGGACCGGGTAATTATGACTGGGGCCATTTTCGGGTTGGCTCCCATGTAACCGTTATAAACACTTGCTCGACACCAGGCGTGGTGCATGCTGCCGGGGTCTTGGAGCGTTGCCCGCTCGCAGAGCTGGATGCTGGGCGCTTGAAGAAGGCCGGGCGTCGGTTGCCATGGAAAAGACGCGTTTATGGGAGGATCCCAAACTCGTCCTTGAACTGGCTATCCCCATTGGCTTGCCTTTGAAACCAAAAGGGGTTCCAAATCCAAGGGAGGGTGCTGAAAGAGTTCATGGGGGTTGATCAAAAGGTCCTTCTACATGATTTCACCATTGGTTGGAAAACCACTAAACAGATATGTTATGTCAACCACATGGCAAAAAGAAGAGCCCTCCTTATTTTAGGGGACCCTTAAAAAACAGAGAGATTCCAAAGCCCCAGATCTGAGCACCTGGAGATCAGCGGCCAGCCCAGGTTTGGGAGCCCAAAGCTGCCGGGGCCTGGTACCTGGGCTCCAATGACCTGGAGACCTTCGTGCTCTTCAGCTCGGTGTCCTCCACCATAGGCGGGGCGTTTTACGCCGCGGACCCGCGGACCCGCGGGCCCGCGGCGTACCAGCCTCCGTGGTTCGTGGATCGGGGGCGTCCCCAAGAGCAAGTGGCTGTGGGTCAAAGCCAATGGTACCAGTTTGGGATAGGTGCACCATCCATTTTAGTCTACAGTATTTTAGTGGGGATGAGGATGTTCACCACGGGTACGGGGTTTTGACCCATGCCATGTGTCCTCCAAGACTCGATCGATCAGCTTCCACGATTCTTGGGTCTTCGAATGGCAGTGGAGGGTTTGGAAGACGTCCCTCCTGAAAGGGCGTCTGGTCCACGTCCGCAATGGTTGGAAAAAGGATAATCAGGGGACCTGCTCAATGGATTCCAAAAAACGCGTTCTGATCGCTTGCACCAAAGACCAAAGGATATGTGGAGCGTCCAAAAGGAACCCCTTTGTCAAAACCCATTTAAGGGTCACCTAATGTAAGGGCCTGAGTTGGTAGGGCAAGTCTGGACACGATTAAAATGTGAGCAACTCCTTTTTTGCCCCTGGTGCCTTAGGTTTGGCGGGGTGACTTTTGGTTTTAGTTCCCTTTCAACCATGCGGGGAAGTCTGGAGATGGTCCAGCGGATTCCCTCGAACGAACTGACGGTTTTGGGGGCCCGCTTCCCTCTACGTGTTGCATGTGAATCTTCCATACAGACGCGTGGTTCAGCGGAGGTTTTTTTCTACAAGTGCGCCACGAAGAAGTATGGAAGCAAAGGCAGTGATATCAAGTAGTTTGTTGAGGCTGTAGGGAATGCGGGTTGGGGTTAGGATGTCTTGGGATTGTGTTGGCCGTGGCGGAGGGAGGGGCAGTGTCAGGAACTTTGTCCCTTGATCAAGCCGACCTTTCTTGGGATTTCTTTGCATGCCAGCCCTAGACTGAGGGCTTCAAAGACCGGATTTTGCGTTTTGGAATGCCAGCTTTGGCGTTTTGCGGCAGCTCAGCTTCAAAAAAGTGTCCACGGACGTTTGACTATGACAAGGGGCGTGCCTTAGGCCGCCGTGGCCTATGAGGCTGAGCAGTTGCGTATGTAGTCGCTTTCAATGGGGTCTAGCGTCATTTGTTTAGAATTGGTTTGGTATTGCCCACGTCTAGCTTAGAATTGGGAGGTTTAGGAGCTTGGAAAGGGTACTTTTTCATAGGGTGCATTTAATGAGTGAAAGATTCACTTACCCGCTGGATAGAGAAAACATCGAGTAGGCCTCTGGTCTGGTGGTAGGAGTTGGGTAGCCTCCTGTCCGCCTATCCATGGTAGACATGTGTGATATTGTCGCCTGTTCAGTCAACCCTTGTCAGGCCAGGTTGCTATTATCGTTTTTCTTGGCAGCCATTGGGCGAACTTCAACCTTTGCTCGCTCTTTGTGCACCAATTCAAGGCCATCTACCCCACCCCTGTGTTTGCCTCATCCCCACCTCAAAAACCATTGAACCTTGAATGGGTCCTGGCCTGGTTCCAAATACTAGCTTGCATCAGAGATCAGAGCCATTCACGTTTGTAGCAAATAGAATCCATTAAGCGGTCACCCCGCCACACCGACCCACCCACCTACCCACTCAACCCTTCCAATTTGGATTTTCGCCTCCACTCTTCCTCAACTCCCTTGCCTTTGTTCAGGCCCCCAAACAGGGAGAGAAACCAAAAGCGCGATTTCCCGGGACTCCGAGTTTAAAAAAAAAAAAAAACAACTGCATATTCCGCGCGGAAAAGTCCGACGAAGAGCGCCTTGGCGGGCGTCGCCTTCAGGTCTGGCGGGCGCGGCGGCCTACGCAGCGGCGAACTGCTACCTCGATGGCCTCGCCGCGTGGCGCCGAGACAAAAACGCGCCCGCGCTGAGCCTCAAGTGGGGCCCGGTGTCGGAGGCGGAATCGAGCGGATCGCGGTTGGCGCGTCTTGGTTGCTGGGAACCAAGAGACCAGGGTCCTTTTAAGACTACCTGATTGGGAAAATGAATGGGGTGTGTAAAATGAATCTGCGCAAAGTATAACGAGCTTACCCAGAGGTAACACGACTCACGCATGATGAATACTTTCTTATTTGGGGGTTTCTCATGTCCAGTTTGTGAATGGTATGTGGCTCAGATGAATGGGTTCCCTTCACTTGGTTTAGGCTTCCCGCGTGAACCACTGTGGGCAGGTGTTTGAAAGTTCTGATATATTTCTGTATTTCTATGGGTACGTCTAGATGGCATGCTTCTGGCATTTCTGTTCAGATGGCCCAGCGTGAGAAAACGAGAACCTGCCAAAAAGAGGGGAAGGAACCGCGATGGATCGCATCCCATCCCAATTCAAGGACCTTTGGCATGGAGCCACCCCGATCTCCAGTGGGGGTCCCTCCCCCCGATCCCCAGCATTGGCAGGGGAAGCAGTCTTCAGCCCTGTCAGCTTCCATTGGAGGGATACCCAAGTAGAAGGAAGCCAAAGGCCATGAAAGATGACTTATGGTCCTCCATGAAAACCCCCTGGTAGGGATACTATGAGTCGGATGTCGCGGCAGGTGGGCTTGACGGCGGATGCCGGCAGCGACAACTTGGAGGCGATGGCGTTGAAGACTCTGTCCCCGGCGCAGGCGCGGTCTTGGGGGGTGTCCGAAGCCCTAGGTGTTGCCAGCAGGTGGCGTTTCTTAAACCGTGTTTGTGAAATTCACGGTGTTTGTTGTCCGGTTGGTCAGACCTGGTCATTTATCCAAGGGAAAGCTCAAATGCTACGGAGGATGGGAAGCAGGCTAGCCTGTTTACATTGATCCCCACTTAGTTCAACGCAGAAACCAGGAAAACGCCGACAAGAGAAGACCTTTTTTTGCAGGGTCAACCTTGGGTGCGGTACTGTCTTGCATGTCAGCCTGTGTCGCGAATGACGGACCAAGGCGAATCCTTGGCAAGTGGCTGAAGACCTCATTTTCATCCAACGTCAACCAAGTCGCCTTTTCGCTCGCACTGTCAGACTATGATATCAACCCATCAGGGGATCACTCTGGAAAGAACAGTGCAGGAAGTGGGTGTCTCAAAATGGCCAACCCCCAGTGTGGTTTGGAGAATCCTATCTGCTGCCGTTGGACAGCCCCCAGGCTTCCTCTTTAAAACAACCCAAACAGGGCAAACTCCCAAACAAACACCCAAATGACAGGGAGGTACTTCGCTTCGGCGCAAGCGCTCTTCTTGACTCCGGTGAATCCTGGAACCGATGGCTCGTATGGGTTCGACCCCTTGGCTTCGGGGACGCGTAGTTCAATCCATCGATGTGATTCCGGATCGCCCTTGGCAGAGAAATGGCTATGCTTAATGGGGGATACCCCAAGCATGCTTGGTGTAAGTGCTGTACATGCGCTCCACCCGCATCGACATTCCTACCCAACTGATTTGAATTTGTCCCCTTGTCAAGGCTCTGAAGATCCGTCCCAATCCCAACCACCCAACCACCCAACCACCCAACCACCCAACCACCCAACCACCCAACCACCCCCCCAACCACCCAACCACCCAACCACCCACCCAACCACGCAACCACCCAACCACCCAACCACCCAACCAACCAACCAATCAACCAACCAACCAATCAACCAACTAACCAACCACCCAACCCAACCAACCAACCAATCAACCAACCAATCAACCAACCAACCAATCAACCAACTAACCAACCACCCAACCACCCAACCAACCAACCAATCAACCAACCAATCAACCAACCAACCCACCCAACCAACCAACCACCCAACCAACCAACCAACCACCCAACCAACCAACCACCCAACCAACCAATCAACCAACCAACCACCCAACCACCCAACCAACCAACCAACCACCCAACCAACCAATCAACCAACCAACCAACCACCCAACCAACCAACCAACCAACCAACCAACCAACCACCCAACCAACCAATCAACCAACCAACCAACCAACCAACCACCCAACCAACCACCCAACCACCCAACCAACCAATCAACCACCCAACCAACCAATCAACCAACCAACCAACCAACCACCCAACCAATCAACCAACCAACCAGCCAACCACCCAACCAACCAACCAACCAACCAACCACGCAACCAACCAATCGACCAACCAACCAACCAACCACCCAACCAGCCAACCACCCAACCAACCAATCAACCAACCAACCAACCAACCACCCAACCAACCAACCAACCAACCACCCAACCAACCAATCAACCAACCAACCAACCACCCAACCAACCAACCAATCAACTAACTAACCAACCACCCAACCAATTAACCAACCAACCAACCACCCAACCAGCCAACCAACCACCCAACCAACCAATCAACCAACCAACCAACCACCCAACCAACCAACCAACCACCCAACCAACCAATCAACCAACCAACCAACCAACCAACCAACCAACCAACCAACCAACCACCCAACCAACCAACCAACCACAAAATTATTTTTACACCCAAACGCACTACCCCTCGGGTGGGGTCCGCTGAGCGGTCACATCAGGTGGGCACGGCTTTGCGGCTCTGCCTGGCCGGGCCCACGCCGAAGCCGGAGATGATGCTGGCCAGGGTGGATTGGCACGCCTTCATGCGCGAGGCCATAGCCTTGAGAGCTTGACTTCACCCGAGGTCCTGGGGAATTGGGTCACTTTTGGGCTTTGGGTTCGGACATGTTTGGACTTTTGGATCCACTCGATCGGAAGTGAGGATAGAAGTACACATGTCCGGTACCCAAGGCAAATTCCGGAGAGTCCTTTCATGAGGTTTCTTAGTGTGAATTGCACTACACTGCAGGTTTGGGCCTCTAGGCGACAAGCACTTCATAGCCCCTCCTAGAAGCGAGTTGGGGCCTTGTCTTGTGCCAGGTCGGAATGGAGATTCCACAGTTCATGGAGCTGCAGTCCAAGACGGCTGGGGCAAAGGCGGCGACGCAAGGTGCCAAAGCTGCAGACGCTATGCGCGATTCACATGAGCTGAGAGCCCTGAGATACTGGACTTGAAACTTTGCGGAAGACCATTCTAGTGGTAAGCAAAAAGCTTCTACTTTTTTGGCCCATTCGCTCAGGAAGCGAGGCTATTCTGGTTCATGCGTTCGTGTCTTGGCTTGTCTATCGAGCATGAATTACCCCTGTTTGTTGGGCATCGCATGCCCCATGACATACAAAAGAATGGTTGGTTGACCAGCGCAAAAATGAATCCTTGTGCCAATTTCCGCCGTGGGCTCGGGCGCGGGGAGCCTTCCACTTGGTGCTCAGGGAATGAGAAATGGAACCCCGACAAAAACCATCCAACTTGTGGTTTCCTTTATTCGGGGACCCCGACTTCCGGTTCATTGAAACAACACCCTGGGTCATTGTTGTTGGGAATGACCCATGTGGGGTCCCCTTAAAGGAAACCACAAGTAGGATGGTTGATAGGTGTCATTCCAATTCTCATTCCCTGAGCACCAAGTCCAAGCACGTTGGTCGGGGCTTTCAAGGTGCTGACAGCACGTTGGCGCTGCTGCCGCTGGAGCAGCGCCGGGACCAGGTGCTCAGCTCCATCCGCTCCGCCGCCGCCACCATGGGCGCCTTGACCCAAAGAAGGGGGGGGGGTTGGGGGTGGGGGGGGGTTGGGGGGATGGGGGGGGGGGGCCAAAACGTTGTGCCACAGTGCCAGCTGGCAAGACGGTGGGGGTCTCAAATTTGGGAGTCCGAAAAGGAGTGGCGACGTCCCTTGAAAACAGCCTCAAAAAGGGAAAAACAAATCTTACCCCACGGACAGGAGTGCTCCAGAGAACTTTGGGCCGTCTAGGGAAGAGGAGAGGCTGACCCTACGGTGAGGGACCCTTGTTCAAACCATTCTTCAATTTCCCCAAAAGGACGCTTCTGAGTGTTTAATCTCATCTTGTGACCAACCCTGCACATGGATATGCGTCAAAATAGAGGGACCCCGACAATGGAATTCGGCCTTCCTGTTGGTGTCTTTCCTGGAGTGCTTCGGGAGAAATCAAACCTCTGACTGCAGAGCCTGAAGTTGCATAACGTCGGATTGATCTCGACAGTTCGCATCGGAGGAGTCCTCAAATGAACTGATCCACCCTTGCCGGACTGGTGATAAGTGTCAAATGGATTCGTCCGAAGTTGAAGTTATGGAAAAAGGTCTCTGTGAGCCATGCCCAGTTCAATCTACCCTTGTCCTTTTGGTTTGAACATGCCACGATGTCATGGGGCATAGGTTCGGGTCCTTTTCCTGCAAATTCTCGAACCTGTGGAGAACAGACCATGTCGGGATGAAGCTCCTGAGCCGCTTTCCGGATGTTCAACTGATCCCCAGTGAGGTCTTGCCGTTTTGTGTCTTGCGATTTCGTCTTCATGGACATTGGGTTGTACCCAGAATGCAAGGTTTGGTTTTTGGCAGTGTCGGTTCCGAATTTGTTTGCATAGATGGCCTGCCACGCAACGGGTCGACTCTGATTGGCAAGTGAGTAAGTTTGCCCAAATGCAGTTGAACATGAAGGGCCCCGGCAAGACATGAATGCAACTCAGAACCCTACCATTTGCCCAAGGAATGCAACGGGCAAACCCTGTGTAGGCGTGCTTGACAGTGAGCAGCCCCTAAATCGGTTACCCGATTTGGCAGCACCAGTTCCAGAGCCCCGGGCCGTACCGGAGCAGTCGTGTGAGCTTTAGAACAACTACCAATCTAACATTTCGGCCATGACTCCAGGACTCGAAATGGACGACAACACGCCCCTGATGGAGGCCGGTATCGATTCCCTTTCCGCGGTGGAGTTCCGCAACAAGGCGCGGAGTTTGGCTGACGCTACACGGATTTCGGGCGCCCCTTGGAAGGTTAGGGAAACGGGACACTTCCATGTGCTTAAGAATATGTTGATTTGCCCGTGCTGGTTTTAAAGGGAATCTATGACTGCTCGAAATAGTTTTTTTCCAGGGGTCTTAAGCAAATGGAAGGACACCGCGAGTCCCCATTCCACAACAAAGCGTTCCAACTGGTGGTTAGTTGGGTTTCTTCTCGGTCCTCTGGGGCACATCCCCAACGGAGAAGAATGTGCGCAGCCACTGTTCTCCCCTAAAGATCGACCTAGTACCCACAAAAGGTCCTTCCAAATGGTTGTTCCTCTACCAAGACCCAAAAAACCTCTAAGAATGTCATACTCCCAAAAAGCACGACGTTTTAGACACAGGGTGTGTGGACCAATTTACAGGGGGGTTGAGTCTTTAGGTAAAATGTGTGTTTTTGTGCAGGCCAATTTTATGGACCCCTGTGCCTCAGGTCTCCAGCGAGTTCCGCTCTGTGCGTCTGCCCAGCACATTGCAGCCTGGAAGCAGTTTACGGAAGTACAACCTTCCATTTGCTGAATATGACTTGCTACGTCCCCTTGTTGGTCTTCTGCAGACATAATAATATCTGATGAATGCATCATTTGTCATGACATGGAAATGGAAGCAACAATTTGCTTCAAAATGTAGATTGACATTGAATGACAGCGGCTGGATACGTGAACCTAGCAGCCATGGCTCCCCTCGGGGGGCTATGTGAGGATGACATGTCACTGAAATGAGGCAAACTAGCACAAGAATACCATTGGAGATCACCTTCACTTAAAGAACGGCAAAACTCCGAGCACATTGGCTGACACCGGGTGCGTCTTAAATGGGGAGGAGCCTAAAAGATAGGCATTTCCAAGTTCTGCTCTGGTTTCCCTTTGTAACGCAAACCAGCTACCCCCAGGCGCATGCATGTCCGAGCTTTAGGATGTTCGACTACCCGACGCTCACGGCTTTGGCCGACTACGTCTCTACGCAGCTGGTGCCGGACACCTCAGTGGCCACTGCCGCGCCAGCCGCGGCCCTGCAGCTGGCGAAGGGCGGCAGCGAGCACATCGCGGTGCTGGGGGGCGCCTGCCATTTGCCAGGAGCCCGGCTAGACCAAGGGAATCTCCTTTCGGTGACAAAGTAGTCATACTGTGGATGGACAAAATCCTGCACCGTGTGGTAGGTGGCTTTTCCAGTATTGTTAGGGTTTCATCTGTTCCAACTGCTGGATGTTGTCAAGCTACAGAGGGATGGCCCACTTGAAAATCTAGTTTGCTTTGGCCCTTGCTTTTTTGAAAGGGAGACTCACCACTCTGCGAGCTGGGAGGGGCCGGAAGAGCCCGGAAATTTTGTGAGGAACTTGTTCCAATGGCTGGCCGGACTGGCCACATGCGTTTCGTAAAATCAGGAGCTCCTGTTAGATGGTTTCTGAAGTGATACTGAAAGACCACATCCCTCTACGCCTATGTTTAGAGGGGGTAGCAAGCCTGGCATGAGCTAGCAGGGAGAGGGATAGAGAAGGGAGGGACAGAGGGAGAGAGGGAGAAGGGGACGGGGTCGCGCTAGGAGACAGCTGGTCCCTTGAGAAGTTTGACTTCATGCTGTCGCAGGGTGTGGATTGCAGCGTCGAGATGCCGCAGAACCGCTGGGATGTGGATGATTACTATGACCCAAATGCAAGCACAGGCAGGCTCCAGGGACTGTTCAAGCACCTGGACGGGGACTGTTCAAGCACCCTGATAGGTGCATTTGTTTGTACCCCGGGAAGTGGGGAGAGACATAGAAGAGGCTCATACGAGCGAGTCCTTGATAGTGCCTAAGTTGAATACCAGAAGGATTGCCACAGCGGTGTTGACTGTCGACATGACAAGTGGGACAAATTTGAAGGGACACCAAAGGGAAAGAGACCAGAGCCACAACCTTTCACGCACCCCCATGTTGTTTGCAGGTTACTCGCATTTGACGTACCCGGACGGCATTCCCCCGGTTTGCCACAGTTTGCGATCCTTACAGTGAGCTTCCCTGGGTGAACAGGTAAGCCCCATTTGATTTCCACTTAGCGGCGTGGTGCAGAATGTGTTTGTGTGTGTGTGTGTGCGTTTGGCTCAAAACGTTGGCGTGTTCAGATGCTGAGTACTCGGCGTCTTTGCGGTCCAGTAGCCGCATGGCCCGTGAGAGTCCTGAGGAAGGGTACGCACTTCGCAGCTCGTCCCGTTTGAACCCGGGAGTCCGGTTGTCAGCACCTGTTCCACCAGGAATGGATGTCGCGCTTTGTTGGTGTGCGCATGGTGAGCGCTGACTTTGTTGGAACAGTAGTCATGTGTATTGCTGTGCTTCTGTCCATTCATCACATGCCGGCACCTCTCCTATGAATTCCAGGTGGCTACGATTTGCGTGAGAAAAGTGGATGGATGTTCGTGAACAAAGGGTCCAACCATTTAAAACTCATCCCCAAGCCAGGTTCTTGTTTAAGCATGTTGAAGCCACTACTACTTGTTTCAACATCCTCCTCTTGGCGTCCCTTTTACGGGGGGTCAGGGGTCGTTAATTTCTGACCCGGTCCCCAAGTGAGCAATGGTGAACGCCCAAGCCCATACCCATCATATCCGATCGCAGGCCTGAAGATGTACGTCCGGCATGCTGCCTTCATCGAGGGCGTGGAGCTCTTCGCGGCCACTGCCTTCAACATCAACAAGGCAGAAGCAGAGACCATGGACCCGCAGCAGCGGCACTTGCCCCTCAGCCTTCTAGCCGCTGGAAGTTTCCCGCTTCCCCTCACCGCAGGGCTCCCGAAGTCAGTGGAAAACTGGTCCTGTCGTTTAAACATATGGCTGTGGGTCAAAATCGCGTACCCCCAGTGAACATCCCAATCCCCAATGAAATAGGTTCTAAAATGGGTGGTGCACCTACCCCAACATGGTACCATGGGTTTTGACCCACAGCCATATCAGTCCTTGGCTTGATGGACCCAAGCTCAAAGGTTGAAGCTTGAGGATCTTGAGGCGTTGGAGCAGTTGGGAGACCTTCACACCCAAGCTTGTAGCAAGACGACGATTGAAAGGAGCCAAAGTCTGAGAGCTTTTGTTTCAGCCACTTGGTTTCTTTGGGGATCTGGTGAATGCCCGGCCTTTCCCAGGTTGGAAGCGGCCTTCGAGGCGTTCACTGCAGGAGGCTTCAGCAAGGGCCAGCTGATGGGAAGCTACGGAGGCGTCTTTGTTGGCCAGGACCGGCGATTCTTCCGGCTTCCTGACAAGCCGATGCCTCGCCCTGTTTGGGGCTTCTCCCTTCAAGTGCGGAACCGGAAAAAAATGGCTCCAAGAACCCATTTGGTCAAGATCATAACCCCCCCCCCCGTTTGTTTTTGGACACTGGCCCCCAAAAATAACCAAATGCCCCTCTTTTGTACAGCCAAATGTGTGACCGCGCGCCCGGCCTTCGTTGACCTCCTCAAACCACCCCAGCACGTGAGCTCAAAGGGGGCCACCTCAGTCCATGAATCGGTCATTGGATGTTGTCTTCCAATGGCGCTTCTGACAAATGATTGCAACCCTTAAGGCGGTGGTGGTCCTTGTCGTTGGCGATTTGGGCTACCCTCTCGTTGATCAGTCTCGCGGGCCCGTTCACGAGAAGTGCAAGGCAATCCGAGTCCTAAACTTTGCCCGTGTGAGGTTTTCATACGAGGTAAGTGTCAAAATAGGGGGGACTCCCCGTAATGGGGGTTGTCCTTTTGGTTTCCCTTTAAACCAAGCACACAACAAGGTGCCCTCAAAAAGACATGCCCATATCCATTCTCAGTGGTCAAGCCGGGCTCTTCCAGTTGACAACCTCCGAATAGCTTTCTTAAAATAAGGCCTTACGAAGGGGATCACGTGTATTTGTTGTCGAACAATTTGAATGCAGTGCCAAAATCCAGCACCTGCTTTCCTCTTTGGACGGGGGTTTCCCTTTGAAGTCAACCCAAAATGCGTGCCCTTTCTCATGGAAATCTGGAGCTTTGGACCTGTTAGGACAAGTGCGACTGGAACCGCATGATCACCGGTGCCCAGAGCGGGCCGTACGCGGCCACTGGAGGTTCGTCCTCCATCAGCGCCAACCGCGGCTTGGCTTGGGTCTGTTTCTTCGGTCGGGATTTGGACCGCTAAAAAGATGAGTTTCCCTTTGATTTCAACCTCAAAACAACACAAACCCAGATGGTTGCATCCTTAAGAGGGGATCCCTATGATTCCCGGATTGAGTCAGCTTTATCATCACTTGTTGGACCAACTGCGGGCGAGGTGCCTTTTGGTGAGCTGATGAGAGGATGGCGAGCCCTGGTTGACCTTTTGACCATTTTGGGAAATCAAGGGGCATTGTAGGTCCCTGTTTTGGTGACTTACACAGCGCCTCCGGGTCCATGTTGATGGAGTCTTTGTGCAAAGGGTGGCGATAAAAGAGGACATAACAGGAACCCTGGACAATCCAAAGATCCTAAACAAGGTTAGACCATGTTGGGATCTTCAACTATTTGGTATGCCACTGTGCCACTTGTCAACATAGCATGAAAGGTATTGATTGAAATTGTTGAAATGTCCCAAGTGCTTAGACTGAAGTGTACTGGACTATAGAGGGAACTGTGAAGCTTGTTGTGCAAGTTCAACTTGTTTGCTTTCTTCTTCCCTCGTACGAGCAAAACATGTGAACTCCATTTCCCTCTTCTTTGCTCCCTTTTCCCCCGGTTCGATCGCGCAGGCATCAGCTACGTGCTGGGGCTGAAGGGCCCTTCAGCCACCATGGACACCGCTTGCTCCTCCTCCCTGGTGGCGGCGGACACCGCGGCGGCGCCTTTGGATGTGTGCGGTGCGATAGGGAAGGACAACGAGTCCGGGTGGTTGAATGAACCGTTTCTGTGGGTAGCGAATGACCCACAGCGTTGGTTGAAAGAACCGTTTCGCGGATTCCTTTGAAGGAAACCTGGATGGATGGAGTGGTCATTCCAACTCATTCCCTGCTCACGAGAAAGCTTGGTCAGATTGGGCCAAGCATGTGTCCTTTTGGACCCGGCCGCCTGGCCGTTGATCAACCTCCAAACCCCGTTCATTACAAGAAGCGGAGTAAGTACACGCGATAAACGATTGACATTGACTTAATTTGGTCTTTGAGCCACCTGTAACCCGATGGCAATGCAGGAAATGTGTCAAAAGAGCACTAAAGAAGCATCAAACAGGGGTAAGAACTGGTGGAGTCCAGACTTCCCCACGACAAGTCCTTGCTTCGTTTCACCTTAAGAAGGCTTATTGAGGCACCAGCTGGGGGGCTGCTTGGGATCGCCTGTGTTTGTGGCATTTGAGAAGTCCTGAACATATCTCAAACTTGAAGTCAAAGGGCGCGAGCCCCTCGTGCTCCAAAACCATGGGCCCTCTCCGTGGCACAGGGCAGGGATTGCCAGGGGTCCTAGAATATTCCTTCTTTGGCGGTTCAAAACTCACCCTTTTCAGCCAAGCTTAGCTGAACTCCTCTTTGGTCTTTGTGTTGATGTTTAGAGGAAGGACATATGCGTGTCTCCCTTTTTGGAGTTGGCCAGAGAAACTTAATTTCAACCACTCATTTTTAAGTTGTCCCTGGCCAAATGTGTTCCGTTTCGGGCTCTAGTCACTCTTTGGGTTTATATAGATCATTTTGGTGGTACCCCAAAAGCTTGGTTCCTTTTTCCGGCCACTCGACTCGATCGGAAGTGAGGTCAGGAACCCATGTCGAGAATGCATTAACCCAACGACACGAGGTGACGCTGCGCCGGCGCCGCAGCGACCTCGCGGTGGTCTGCGGCGTGAACATGCTTCTGCTGCCGCAGACCTTCGTGGCGTGCTGCCAGGCGGTGCGCAGAGAGCGCTCGAGAGATTGTTGCGCGGGGAAAAGGCCACGGAAGCTGTGGCTTAAGTGAACACCGTGTTTTTCTGGCTGGGTTGAAAGAGAATCCCGAAATCCACAATCTGTGGGCTTGTGCTTTGTGTTTTGACACAATGTCCAAATGCCGCAGCCGGTTTCTTCTGGCGATGTTTGTGGATTTGGTCTGTGACTATAATACCTTGCTTGGACGGGTGTTTGCGGGTTTTTTGGTGAGTCGTCCCATAGTCGTCCCATGATCCCAAGTCAAGGGCGGAGGGTATGCAGAGTCTTTGCCAGGGATACACAACACAAACCCTCGCAAAGCATGGCCCCTCTCAGGCGAGCAAACCATGGCCGGTGTCATAAGATGGGTGTGCATCATGAAGCTGAAACAAGGAAGCCTTGCGGAAATGTGAAGCTAGGCGGTAGATATGCCATCACGACCCCATGCTCTTCAAAGATGGTCGACAATCAATTTGACCCTTCCTCAAAACGTGTGCAGACTTCCTTTGTAAAAATGGCTTTCCTCTTGGAAGCGGTTCCTGTGCACTTCCAAGTTCCTTGATGGAATGTGAATCAATCCTCTGGCCATCACCCCTCTGCGTTTCTCGCTTGAAGTGTGCAAAATCGGGACCTCCAAAACTGCGTCACTTCCTTTGGTTTGGTTTCCTCAACATAGACAGTTGATATACGGATTCCCATATCCAGGTTGTTCCCTTTGCCATGAGAACACAAACACACCTGAAAAATGCGGTTTCCCATCTCCACATTTTGCCCTAGCCAAGACTGGGGTCATTATTTTGACGGTTTCTGGGGGTTATCAAAGTCAAGAAAATGGGGTTGTTTCCCTTTAACCCACCACTGAGGGGGTGACTTTGATGATGGTAAAATAATGAAGCCAGCAAGAAAGCAGCAACACGAAGCGCCCCCGCGGCCGCCGGCCCCCGCCAGCTGTCCTTCAGGCGCAGATGCTCTCGAAGCCGGGCCGTTGCCGCACCTTCGATGACTCCGCCAGCGGCTACGCTCGCGGCCGCCCGGACTCGACTCGACTCGACTCGACTCGCGGAGAGACGAAAGCCATGGGTCTGCCCATTTGCGAGCGGCTCCACCGATTCGGGAGGTCCTTGATTTCAGGGTTTGCTTGGGATTAGTGTGGAAAAAGATAGGGAGGGGCAAAGATTGTTGCAAGACAGACCGCGTTAACGCTTTGAAATGGGACACCCTCATTGTTGGTCGTTGGTCCACCACGTGTTTCTAGTCCAGAATCAACTTTTGTTGAAACCCTGAGTTCACAAGCGATGGGCTCCCTGTAATGTTGCCACAGCGGGTGATGAGTCAAGCAAAACGGAGGGGCAAAACACCAGGAGCTCAAAGAGCTGCATGTTGGCACTCAACCAGAGGCAAGTCATAGGAGTCTCAGGCGAGTCCAAAATCCCAGGAAAAGGCCCAACCCTTTCGACCGATTGGGTTGAAAGTAACGCGAAACAGCAAGCCTTGGGACGCCATAAGATGTTATTACCAGTGTTCACCGGCAAACGTTTGGGCAAAGGCAAAAGGACCACTACACTAGGGCCCCAAACAGTACGAAGTGTGGAAACCGTCTTGAACAAGGGGTTCCTCTATCAACTTGAATCTCAAAAGCTCTTGAGGCCGGTCCTTTGTTTCCGCATCCGGCACTTGACACCAGGCTTGGGCCCAAACCCCTGTTTGAACGATCTCTTTTGGTGCGGGCCCGGTGTTGAACATGAAGGGAACCCTGCAGGTTCCCAGCCATCCCCCGCCCGGTGTTTAGCTTTTTAGGGAGTGGTAGAGTCCACAAAGCCGCTAAAACTTCGACTTTCAGGGATCCGAAAGCGGACAGCCCCACAAAACAGCCGGTGCCGCCCAAAAAGCTGAGGCGAGGGCGTGGGCGCCCACGCCCTGGAGCGTAGCGGCAGCCAGCAGAAGGTGGTGGAGTTAAGGGGCTCGGCGCTGAATCAGGACCCCTTCTCCCCGGTGCCGCGCCACCTCGGTTTTGTATGCGCCGTTTCCAGGGTAATTACCCTGTTGGGGCTTCAAGGGAAACACGTCAGGTCCAAAGATGGAGCAGAATCAAAGATATGATGTTTGGTGGGCCAAAGTTGAGGGTCCTTTCTTGAGGGGCCTGGCTGTTCTCCCCAAAATGGAAAGACACCTAGGGATCACCATGGCAAAAGGGAGGCTTCAAATTATGTGGTAAAAGGAAAACGCCAAGCGCATTGAACATATCCCTTAGTCGATTGTCAGTGTCTGAAGAGCTCACAACATCCAGGGCGACTCATTCACAATCCCGCTTGTTCCCCCTCCAATCTATTCATCGGAGGGGTCCCTTGATAGCAAGATTTGATTCTTCCAGGGAGGCCCTCCGGGAAACAAAAGTTTGAGATCCAAAAAGGCCAAGGAGCGACCACGGAAACCCACACTGGAAATATGTACGCTACCACAATGGACATATGTAGCTCAACCGACTGCTTTTTGGACAGCACTTGGGACTTTGGGCATGGGAACGAGCAAAGTCCCCCGCGACAAACAACTGGGTTTTTGTGGCGGCTGAATAGTTCGAAAGACCTACGGAGTGGAAGCTTTGCGCGATAGGACGGCCGAAGCTCGAACCTCACCTCGCCCAACGGCCCGTCACAGCGACTTGGCGAGAAAGCTGAGAATGGGGCTGTGTCGAATGGGGGGACTGAAGGGGATCCATGGCGATTTCCCTTTCGGTTTGCGTTCAAAGTCACCCCGCAAAGAGAAGAGAGCGGGCTGCCAGGAGACCCGCAATTGTGCAAATTATGAAAATGCAGTGTTTTGTGCAAAAACACTGCATGCTGCTATATATTATGTAAGATCACATGCAAAGAAAACATTATTTGCACGGCCTTGAGTTTTTTTTCAGCCACACTTTGTGCCAAGTATAACCAATATCTGCAGGCTAGCCTATCCACCAACCAGCCTTTTTTTACTAATTCAAACAACTCCAACGGCTATGTTTTAACTCCCTTTGACCGAAAGCAATGTCTGGGCGGCTTTGCAGCCGAGTTTGTCTAGCTTATTGGTTGCAAAGTAGATTCTGCCTTGTTTCTCTTTCTTCGTAGCCTAGACACGAATTATCTTAAGAACTTACCAACCGGTATTACAAGTCAAACTTGAAATGTTAAGCAGCTTCTTGTCCTAGAAATTTGCACCTACGCTCTGAGACCTACAAGTCAAGGGATGTGTTGCTTCCTTGCTTCTTTCTATGGTTTCGTTTGCGTCTTGGTTGCTTCCTTTTCAGTCTCTCGTGTTTGTCCTCGTGTTTTTGTCTGGGACCTGGCCGCGGACGTCTTCGAGCCGCTTCGCGCTAGGACGGCGGTGGTGCTGGCGGCCCTGGCGGAGGCGCAGGTGCAGGCGGCGCGGCACATTTGCCTCGAGACGCACGGCACCGGCACCGCCCTGGGCCACACGACGCAAGCAGATTTCGACTCAGCTCAAGCGAATCGACCTTTTGAACTTTGGTTCTTCCCATGTTGGTTGGTGCATTTTCAGTCAAGGTTCCAAAGGGTTAACCTTTTAATTCCAGATCCTTTGGGCAACTGAGTTTCAGGTACCCCGCAATTGGTTGTTCAAAGGCGTTGTTGAGAACCAATGCTCAAGTTACGACGTTGCTTTGCCCTTGACTATGAAAGAAAATATTTAAACCCTGGGTTTAGGGTTGAATGGTGGCCAAGATTCCCGCAAAACAGGTGTCACCTCTCGGGGGGGCATCTCAATATTTGTCTTGTCAGATCCAAAGAATTCACCTTGGCCTTGCTGGGATCTCTCTTGAAGTTGCTTTACATTTGCAGATTTACAAAGTAAGGACCAACATATAGCAAATGGACTAATGGAGGCAAGAACTGAAGTATCAATGGGAACCCAGCTGATTTGATGAACAACAACACACCTTGAATTAGTATGCGGGCGTCGCTCTTCAGAGAGGAAACTCCTTCTATTTAGGGAGTTGCACTCCGGTAGAGATCCACCAGGCTGACTAAAACATGTCTGCTCTCGTTCTGCAAACAAGCACCCAGGGTTGGTCAGGGCCCCGTTTTGAGAGGCACCGCCTAGAGACAACACCCTTCGGAAGCACCTCTATGAGGAATACATATAGACAGTTACTGTATCGTATGCATATATATATATACATATATATATATATATAGATAGATAGGATAGGGTGTTTTTAGCGCCTGTTTCGGTGTTTCTGTGGACAGGAGTGCTTTTCGGGATGGTTTGGGTGTTTTGGGGGTCTGGCGGATGTTTTGGGTGCCCTTCGGAAACACCTCTATGAGAAATACATATAGACAGTTACTGTATCGTATACATATATATATATATATATGGTACCCCCCCCCCCCCCATGGACCCTGGTTTGGTGCGGTTGACCTGTATTTTCCAGTGTTTTATGCTTCTTTTTGCTTCTTGGATTTGTGTCAAAATTGGGGGGAGGGTCGTACATGTATATGATACGCATGCATGCATACAGATGTGATAAAAGCAATGACATCAGCACCTGCAATCTGAAAGAGTTTGAATGCATCCAAGAATACAAGAACAACTCAGACATTTTTAAAAATTATTAAAAATTATGGGATTCAAGATTCAAGATTCAAGAATGTGAGAAAATATGTTCTGGGAATCTTGAATCTTGAATCTTGAATCCCATATTTTTTAAAAATTATTAAAAATTATGGATTCAAGATTCAAGATTCAAGAATCTGAGAAAATATTTTCTGGGAATCTTGAATCTTGAATCTTGAATCCCATAATTTTTAAAAAGTTTCAAAAAATTCCAGCGTTGTCCCAATACTCTCGGTGTTCAATAAGATTATCGGAAAAGTTTTCTGTGAAATAGTTCAATCCAGTGGTAACGGATGTTCGAGGTGATAGAACAACTTGAACATTTTAGGGGTTGACCAGGATGGATGATTCTCAGGAAAGTGGTGGTTTGTGGGCTCCTCAATATTGAATCCCCAATCCAGTGGTAAAGCACTTTCAAGTGTTAGAAGAACTTGGATGCTATTTGGGTTTGGCCAGGATTGACAATTCTCAGGAAAGTGTTCTGTGTAATCTTCAATATTGAATCTTCCATCCGATAGTAGCAAATTTTCAAGTGCTTAGCGATCCAGTGGACACAGTTTCAAGTTATTGGTTAGACAAACTTTCAAGTGCTTTTGGTGAGCTTCATGTCAGCTATGCTCATGTTGACCCCTTTCCAGGAGGTAAACAAAGGCAGGTGCAACGCTCAAAAATACTGCATTTTCCAGTATTTTATGAGGAGGCGCAGGATCATTGGGGGTACTATATATGTGTGTATGTATGTGTTGTTTGATATACATATGTACGTTCACACACCGTCCCCCACCCTCTTCAACTACCTGTTCACATTTGCTCATCTACTACCTCCACCTTTTGACATAGAATTAACTTTCCTGCGCAAATAGAACTTTAAATACAACGGTTTAGCTAGAATCCCTGTTTCCCTTGAAATGTCCCTTTGGAACACCGTCTAACAAGTTCAATGTCGGACCTTTCTTATGCTACACAAGGGCCAGAATGTAAACAACACAAATCCTATTTTTAATTTCCAAATGTTTAGCCATATTTAATATGAATTATATTTGAGATGTAGTCTCTATTCACTTGATATTATCAAAAGCAAATTGAGTTGTGCTCGTCTTAGATTACACTTACCACTTGGATTATATTTGGGAAAACACTTCCATCTAACTTCTTGTGTTATAGATTAGTTGGAGTTTAGCCGAAAATATATATTTACATGTTCATGTAGCTGCTATTTGGAAAGGATTTGCTTGTTTAAGCTGTAATTGAACACAAACACATTTTTGAAAACTATATCCATACTAAACTATATTCAAAATTCCAATTCTAGTTGAAGTAACATCTTATGTGCAAAGGGTATCATACTGGGACATTGTGGAGGACTCCGGGCTCCAAATTATCACGCTTTGGGGACCCACAATTTGAAATTTCGAGAATATAAATTTGGAAATTCTAGATTTGCCATCCCCAAAAGGCAGTAAAACCAGGGTCCATGGGGGGGGTTGCATATATATATATATATATATACATATATATATATATATGCATTAGAACATATATATATATATATACACACGTACGTACGTACCTACATACATACATGCCTGCCTGCCTGCCTGCCTGCCTGCCTGCCTACCTGCCTACCTACCTACCTACATACATACGTACGTGCATACATACATACATACATATACATATACATACATATACATACATACATATACATACATATACATACATAATATAGTGTGCCCGTGTCTACCACATGTATCGATTGGTACGAAAGGACGTGGTCCTGAAGGGCCCGTCGATTCCCATATCTTTGGGTTCAATAAGGCGACATCCTCAAAATGTTCTCAGGTGGCTTAAGCGGTTAGTTAATTTGAGCACCTTGCAAAAAGCAACCAGTTGGTTTGGGTTGGCTTGAAGATAAGCACCCTCGCAGGGTGCAAGTAGGTACCACGCAGCTCCCTTTATGTGCAGGTGATCAAACCATGGGATTGGGCCATTTGTTTGGGCCAATTCCGAGGTGACCCCATGGAAGTTGGCGCCCTGCAAGCCGCGCTTGGCGGGAGTGGGCGAACCGCGCCACTGCAGCTGGGGGCGGCCAAGACCAACGTGGGGCACTTGGAGGGCGGCGCAGGCAGGGGCTGAGGTTTGATCAAATGCAATGGTCCATTTGCTGAAATGAATACGTGTTTGTTTCCAAAGGGAAGCTATCACTACTGAAAATATGTTTATTTTTTCCAGGGGGCTTAAACAAATGGAAGCAGTCTATAGCGTCCAAAGCCAGGGGACTCGAATTGCATGTCGGAGAGTATCGCCAGTTTACTGTGTGGTGCCTTTTTTGGAGTTGGCTTCAAGGAGAAACCCAGGGGAGCTACCCATTTTGAGCTTTGAGGGTAACCGTTCGGGGCTTTGGTTCAAGGCGACACCCATTTTGGCCCATCCCCTGGTTTCAACACTGTGCCATAATATGTACACCAATCAATTTCGACCAGTCCATCAGTCCTTGCTGCTTCTGTATTTGTCGATTTTGTTTCCCACTGTGGCAGGTATGGTGGGCCTGCTGAAGCTTGCCTCGCTGCTCTCCTGCGACTGCATGCCTTCGAATCTGCACCTGCACGACCTCAACCAGCACATTGCTGAAGACATCGGGGACTTCGCGGTGCAGTTCCCCTCAGAAGCTTGCATCTTGGACAGCTTGCGACGCCACCCTTCTTACTCCTTTAAATCCTAAACTTATGGACTGCTTGAGGGAGCCCTGCAAAAGACCACTGTTTCTCAGAAACTTGGATGGACAGCCTTTGGACTGACAATAAAGGGCCTGAAAAGAACTTACATTGTAGGATACATTTGGGTTAAGACATAGGACATTTCTGTCAAGGAGAGGCGGTCGAGAATTCCAATTCAAGGCCGCAGGCTGACAGCAATGCCAACCACGGCTGCCAACACCCCCTCCCGGAGGACTTACACATGGGAGGACCAACCACCTGAGGTGAATGGGCCAAGGTTCCGTTGCTTGCGGTGCTTGTAGGGTAGGCAGCATCCACGAAGACAGGGGCTGAGTTGCATCCGAGGCACCAGCAAGTCGTTCCCCTGCGCTTCGGTGAGTTCCTTTGGCTTTGGCGGCACCAATGGCCATGTGCTGCTGGCCAGGGTTCCGAAGACGGCGGAGAAGGGAGGCGAGGGAGCGCTGAGGTGCTAGGCAAACAGCGGGCCAACAGCGGGCCTTGGGGCGCGGCACAGGCCCAAGATCTTGGGGCGCTTCTTCTATCATTGTGAACATACTTGACCCAGACCAGTCAATATTGATCCTGCTATGCTGTAAAGGAGAAGAGAAACCTGGGGCCGAAAGTGTCACTTGACAGAGTTTAGAAGGAAGTGTCTTGGTTGCTCACAGGATTCGTGAGGATGTAATCAACTGTTGAGTGATTAAATTAGATTGACATTGCCGTAGGATTCTTCTGGACATTCCCCGCACGAGCAGCTTCGACAATGGCTCACATTCGCTGGATAAGCTCTGCGTCGTTTGAATCAAACAACATGGAGAGCCAGGCATAGTCTCTGATACCTTTCCCATGGGACTCGAATTAAGAACTTGCCCAATACAAAGGGGGGACGACACCAGGCGCTATGTCTGTGGGGGGTCCCACAACCCGCAACCGTCAGAGGGCATCTCTTTTTGGGTCACTTGCTAGTGCCATTGCTTTCTTCACAAAACAAAAGCTTGGATGTCTGCCATGTGGATTCTTATCGAGCCGTTCCGAGCAGGTGAGCGCAAAAGCCTGCCGCAACCCCATGCGAAGAAGAAGGTCGCCTTCCTCTTCACAGGCCCGATGCTCAGTGGGGGCAAAATCGGGGTGGTTGCAGAACCTGCTTGACAACCAGACACAGGCCTTCAAAGCAAAAGGAGGTCCTTTGAACACTGGGTCAGCATGTTTGATTCGGGGATTTGCCCACCCCTGGATAGGGGGTGTCTCCCTTCTGTTGCTTTTAACATCTTTTAACCACTCAGCAGGGTACCACTCAGAGGCTCTATGGCCATCTGGTTGTGTATTATATATAAATAGTTATTGTGTGTGTGTGTTTTTGGTATTTGACAAACAACTATATTGAGTTATGTAAGTATTTGTCTTGCTATGTGTTATTTATTGATTTATGCATGGGTGTTATTTATTTGTACAGGTGCTATTTGTTTGTTGACTTTATTGTTTTTGTTGTGGTTACTTCTTTTTATTTATCGGTGTGCATGTTTAATCATGTGTTCACCTGTTTATTTACGTGTAAATATGTATATATATATATATATATGGTATGTACTGTTATATCTATATTCTATACATACAGCGATATAATGCGATATGCATGTGTGTGTGTGCGTCAAAGAAGGAGCCTAACATGTATGCCATACTCAAATGGAAAGCTGAAGCGCGAGCTTAATGTTTCTGGCAATATTAAATGGAACATTGTCAATGAACTCTTAGTTGGTTGACCATACATGCACTCTTTACTTAATGAAGGGAGCTGGTGACTTTCCGTGAATATTGTTGGCAACATGCTGATGGTCCTTGCGTCCAGTCGCGGCAGTTGAAGATTAGATTGGCTGAGACAGTGCAGTAGCCTACCTCTCCAAATCCAAGCATTTTAAATGGGGCCATCTGAAGCTCACTTTGAAGAGGGGCCAAACACAAGCCAACTGTCATTTCCGCTACCGACTTGAAAGCGACAGGCAAAGCAACGAAGAGATTCTATCACCCCCATCCCACTTTGATTCGATGCGGGGATGGCAAGCCGACCTCAAGACACTCCTGGGGCGGAAGGATTGCAACAAGGGGAACCCTGTGATTTGCCGCAATTTGCCAGTGACTTGGTGGTTAGATGTGGGTGGTTCACTCGCAACATATAGTGGTTTGGGCAAATTGAAGGATCGCCACAATGCGGCCAAGTCACCTGTGGACATGTGAAGTTGGGCCAGCGTGAGTCTCTGGCTCAGCAGTATCTGGGTGGCTACATATTTCTCGCTCCCAAAGTTCCCCGAATCCAAAAGCTCACTTCCTGAGTTCCTGAACTTCCAACTTTTGGGGAAGACCATTTTTCTCGGTACATCGAAACTTCACTTACTTTTCTTGGCCCCTCGACGCGATCGGAAGTGAGTTGTTGGTGTCCAAACCCTTCCCAGAGGTTTTTGCCAGAGTGATTCCAAAAATAATCTTCGGTTTTCAATCCCCAATCCGAGGTTTCTGCCAGAATGATTCCAAAATTCATGGGTTTTCATTCTGGCAGGTCAAGCCGTCAGGTCTTCAGATTGAAACAGGTCGTCATCGGTTTTCGGTCCAAGCCGTCAGGTCAGGGCTCTCAGTACGTGGGCATGGGCAAGCAGCTCTATGGCTCCGAGCCCGTGTTCCGCGAGGCCATCGACCGCTGCGCCCAGCTGCTGGACATGCCGCTGCTCGAGGCGCGTGCGCTGGGAGGCGGTTTCGGCCGCTTCCGGGCGCGAAACGTGGCTGGAAGGAACGTCCCATGGGAGTTGGAAATGAAGAGAAGACCCAACAAAAAGGACTCCCAGCCCCAAAACTGGGATCTCTGTTGAAATCACAGCTTAAGGTTCGCTCGGTAATGTTCGGTGGCGGGTTCCCCACCCCAAGAATGGTTCCAATTCTGGTTCTACCAGGGCAACTGAGAAGGGCTCCCTTCAGGCGGAGGGTACAAGTGCTTCTGGCTTTGGAATCCCTTTGAACTCTGTGATACAGGAGAACCTCCCTTTGTGAGTAGCCCAGAAGTAAAGATGTTAAGCATGGCTTAAAAGGCTTAAATGAAGCAAATATGATTCCAAGGTTCCTCGCTTGTCCCCAAACCTGACCTTTTGGAATCCGCCGATCTATTTCAAGTCAAAGTTCCGCAAGGTCAATATGTTGTGTCCAAGGCCTTCGGCCGGTAGCACTAACTATGGACAAATCCCATAGTGCACCTGCGCAGGCTGTCTGACAATGCAGCTTTCTTAGCCGGGATAGTCCCAACCAGAAATTGACCCACTACCTTTGGGTTTTGGGATGCAACAGTTGGGTAGCCGCTTTGAAAGCGGCAGGTCATGCACACGGAGAATGACGAGGGGCTGCTGAACCAGTGCTCTGGAAGCGCTTGGTGGCACCTATCTTCTAAGTCCTCAACCGCAAATATATGCGCGATGCATACCCACTCCCTTAGACGATCTGTGGCTTAACAACCCTTTTGATTTGAACCAGTACCCAAACACGCAACGCCAGGGCCCCCTTTCCGCTGAGACAATGCTGACCCAATTTGGGTCCCACCGGCGGCACACAATGATATCGAATGAGTTTCGAAAGGGGCTCTACCTTTTGCAACCTCCTAAACAAATAGCACTGAACAACTGAACGCCCAGAGATACAAAGACCCGCCGCTGCGTCGCCTTCACAGTTAAGTTGGCCCTGGCAAGCTGAGTTTGCGACGCCAGAAGCAGGCAAGAGACGAAACCCCCAAAAAAAGGTCGGTGTCCTTTTGGTTTCCCCTTAGAACCCCCACCTTCAAAAAGATAGACGCATACTGGCCTTTGCCTTCAGGGTTACCATCCCGAGGGGCAACCCCCCAAAGTTGAAACAACAGTTGTGAATACATTTGGAAACAGGTGGCCCACTCTGCTCAGTTGCACAAAACAACTAGAAACATATGTTTCAGATTTGAAAGCAAAGGACAAACTGTAGACCAACGACCCCAAGATTTTGACCGTTTCTGCTGGGGGCCTTGAAAATCGCACGTGTCATGACGAGAAGGCTGACCCCTGTGACTGCGCTACACCCCAAGCAGATGCGGCAAAGCGTCGCAACGACTTGGCAAGAGGGATATCTAATTCCCCTTCCAGGGTCTTCGGAGCAAGCTGCAGCTTTCCTGTGCCTTGGGTTTCTTCTCTAAGGACCCAATTCTCGCAGCCCGCCATCTTTGCGATCGAGTATGCGCTCAGTGAGCTCTGGCGCTCCCGCGACCTGGAGCCCAGCTGCGCCCCTCGGAAGTTGTTCTCAAAACGCCTGAGTTCCTGGACTTGAAAAACTTTTTGGGACGACCAGTTGAGTGGTAAACCACGAGTGGTTGGTTTTTTTTCGGCCCATCCACTCAGGAAGCGAGGACAGTGAAAGGGACACCAAGCGTGTTTGCATTTTGAGCAGCGCCGGCTTCTGCATTTCATGGCTTCAGGCCCGGGTTTTCCTGTACTGGTGGAGCGGCTCAATATCTCGGCCGATCCTTGGAAAGGTTTCTTTCTGCAAGGCTACGGGCTGCAACCCAATGTTACGGTAGAGTTGCATGCCCTTCTCCTTTGAGTTGCAGGGGATGCTCCAGCTGAGTGTATTTCATGTTTTCGATGGGAACTCAGATCATTTTGTTGGTGGGTTGATGGCGGGCGATCCACCAGGTTGATTGAGCGAGGACGGCATCCACTTTGAGACACCTCCTAGTAACGTCAACCCCAAATTGTGAAACCTTGCAGCAACAGGTGCGGTGAAAGTGCAGGACCCCCTTTTTTAAGGGATTGTCCTGTTTATCAACCAGGGGCTTATCCCGGGTTCCCATACCGGGCGTGTGGATCATCCCCCGTGCCCAACCTCATGCAGGCCTTATCATCCCTCGATTTGTGTGGGTGACCTTTGGATTCAGGGCTTGCCATGTCTTCCCTATATTTCAGGCAAAGGGTTGTCTCAAAATGCCAGGAACCACCAAAATGGTTGGTCTCCTTTTGGTTTCCTGTTAGACCCACACCAAAAAGCGGTTCCTCAAGCACAAGACAACGCCAAATACATGTCCGCCCGTGGTCCAGCGGATCTGGGTAGCAATGCAGGGGCCCTTGCTGTTTCCATGAGTTCGCTGCCTGCTGTCCGGTAAATTTCTCAGGTCCTGGGCCACAGTGTGGGCGAGTATGCCGCTGCAGTGGTTGCAGGGGTGCTGTGCTCAGCATCGAGGGTCGCTTTGGCGCCGAATAGAAAGGGCTCCCTCATAGGTCGGGGTGTTCATTTTAGGTGGTCCTTCAAGGGAGTCAAAGTTAGGCTCTGTGTGCTGCGCCTTGAAACCCCCGCTTGAAGGGATATCGGAGACGCAGCTGTAGGATTTCGCATGTATCTAGCGGGATAAATTGTAATGATAAAGTAAGCCCGCCCATTATACCAGGTTGCCAGATCAATACAGAGAGCTTCTGAAACATAGGGTATCGTGGCTATGAGCTCCGTAGATGTTTGGATTTGGCACTTACAACACTTACAATAAACAACCAGGCACCAACTCAGAAAGACTTACAACCGGAGCTCCACAGGTGTCCTCTTGGTGTTTGTTTGGGACAAGTTACTAGGGCATCTCCAAACCTGGCCCCAGCTGGTTGCCTACGGAAAGTAGCAGAAATCCAAAAGCACTCCCCACATGCGTCCACTCCTCCCACAAGTCCCAAGTCTCCCAGTACCGTCCTGCATGGACAACCAACATACATGACACACGGGTCCGTTGGGGCGAGAAAGACACTTGCCCCAGTTGTGGGCATTTGCGATGCAACCAGGCTTGGTGCTCTTTTAGCAAGTTGTCGCTTTTTAACAGGTGGCCAAGGTTCAAACTGCTTTACCTGTTGAAGCTTCAGCTGGGACAGTTGAAGCAGTTTGTTCAGTTGACCTGCACACAAGATTGGGATCCTCGGAGGCCATATTTCCAGATGTCCGCGGACTCAAACAAGGATCATCCTTGGGGTGGCTTCGTTTTGGGTGGCCTCTTGTACGTTTGCGTGTTTTGCTTTTTGACAACTGCAACTGTTTGGGGTTCCTACGTACCTGAAGGGTTTGATGTGGGAGTTGCAAAAGGAAATGCGGAATTTCATAGGCGGCCCGCTTTAGCCATGCTTCCCTCATCAGAATCAAACTGTTTGTTGGGCTGGGTGTTTGTTTTACTCCAACTGAACTCTAGCCCGATGAAACACTGATCTGCCTACGGCTCACCTTCAAAAGCTGAGGTTGCCAGACCCAAATGACTACGAACTTCAGCAGGGAAGCCTCAACATGAAATTCACCGAAGTGTTCTGTCCAACAAAGGGTCCCCAACCAAAAAATAATCACACCCAAAGCTCGGCCCAACGGGGTTTGGTTTACGTCAGGTGCTGTCCCTGGAAGACGCCGTGCGCCTCATCGCGGCCCGGGGCCGCCTCATCGCGGAGAAGTGCGAGCCGGAGGCCGGGGAGGGGGGGAAGCCCGAGGGAAACCATGGGGGTCGTGAGGGTTTTGCCCCCAACCCTCCCTCCCCCCCCCAGAAACCGCATGACTGTGGGTCAAAGCCAATGGTACCGGTACATTTTGGGGTAGGTGCACCACCCATTTTAGAACCTATTCTAGTGGGGATTGGGATGTTCAGTGGGGGTGCGGGGTTTTGACCCATGGCCATATGGGTCACGATGATTGTTGCCCCAACCCCCCCCCCCCCCAACCCATATGTTGCGGGCCCCAATCCAAAGGTTCCCTATGTTTTCCTGGAAAACAACGCCCTTACCAAGGGAAGCTCACCTGCGGGGCAACAAGGGATGTCTAAAACCAAAGAGGGAAATATGGCTGGACCGTTCCAACCTTGGGTGCGGCAAGAAGCCTTTGTCTTTTCTGTTTTTCGGTAGACCACTTCAGCACCAGGTTTTGATGGTGACTGGCCCCTGGATTCACCCCGAAGACTGCTCCAACCCCAAGCGACCAAACCAGAAGGGCAGAAGATTTTTTTTACACACCTGAGTCAAAGAGCATTGCTGGTACTTCTAGTGGCACCTTAGCTCTGGGGTGGTTTGGGCAATTTGCAAGAAGGGTTGCGGAGGGTTGCGGAGGGTTCCAGGGTTTCGGGGCTGTTGGGGATACCACCTGGGCTTACTGGGGGATAAAAGCATCACATGTTGTGCCATGAAATATGAATCTCCTTTTGGTGGCGTGATGTAAGGAGACAGACACGGAACCCTGTGTTCAAACAGGGTGGGAATAGGGGGGTTGTAAGACTCACATCCCAAAGCGAATCGGCTGGTCACACCGGTTTCCCCTTGTACTCTGAGTAGCGGCAGGTCGAAGAACCAAAGGCAAACCACTCTGGGATCCCCGATTTGGTCACATGCCCACATGTTGTCGGGTTAGGTACCTTTGCATCCATTCAGAACCCACCAAAATCGGAAGGGCTCCCGATCCTTCCGCTTTCTTGGGCGGTTATGGTGGTCCAAACATCACCTTGGGCCATGTTGGGGTGAGGCTTATGGAAATCTTCATCTTTTCTGGGAGCTCCCTTTTTCAGTTGCAAGGATCAAATTCCGTTTAACCTAAGGAACCTGGTCAAACCGCCCCTTTTACTTGGGTAGGAATGCTTGTGAGGGAACCACAACCCATGGCCCACACGGGTTTTGCTCATGGCACCATAAGCCTTGGCGCCAGGTGGGCACGATGTCGGCCCTCTTTGCGCCTGAGAAGGCGGATGGGAGGGCTCAAATCAAAAATATATGGCCCACTTTGGAGGAGGGGGAGGGGTGTACTAAATCTCCCCACAAAAAGCAGACAACTGGGTGGCTCCATATCCTTTCAGCACATTCTGATGGCTCATGTGGGGTCCAACCAGTGTTGGCTGAAAAAGAGAAGCATAATAGAGTCACACCCCAACCAGCCAACCAACCAACCAACCGAGTCATGGGTGTTCATCATTTGGTTGGTTCCGCCCCAAACTTTTGGAGATCGGATATTGCTGATGCCTCCAATTGGCATGGAAATAACTCATTGGAAGAACCCTTTTGAAGCCTCTGTTTGGGGTTCCATGTCACTTCGCAGTGTGGTTGGCTCAGGTCAAGGGAATGTTCAGGTACTCAGGAAACGGGGGAAGGCGGGGCATGCCCTGAAAGGTCGTGCCCCTAATCATGCACCATATATGCCACCCATGTAGCCCTCTGTGAGACTAACTTCTCCAGGGAAGACTTGTTAGGGGACCCCAAACGGGTTCTAATCGGCTGGTTCCACTAGCATCCAAAAGGAACCCCTTCTCAGGTCCAGTTTTTGTGGAGCAGGAAAAGAACCCACCCACATGCTTGAAGGGCCCATACCCAGCTCCTTCGCTGAGGACGTGAAGGCTGCCATTGCCAAGGCCAAGGTTTCTGACTCAGAGGTGTCCGTGGCTGCGATCAACGGGCCCAAGATGACCGTCATCAGCGGTCGCAAGGACGCGGTTCAGAAGGCCGACCGACATCTTCCTTATGAGCGGACAAACAAGAGTCGAACGGATTAGGCGCTTGCAGTGGGCGTTTCCTCTGAAATTTGGACCCGACCACTTGGATATGCCCTTTGTCCAAAAGGGGAATCCCCGCAGGGCTTGCATTGTGACATCTGTTGACGAAGAAGAAGAAACCGGCAAATTTGCGCCTCACCAATGGCTTTCCAAGTTGAAGACTGCATGCGTTCAGTAGAGAATTGGCAAATTGAGATGCAGGAACCAAAACGAGATCATACACAGAACTAGCCTCTGTGTGGTCAGATTCAACTTCTGCAGCTTTTGCGTGACTTGTGCTTGAGCATCTTGGATCCCTCTGATTTCACAAACCAACCCGAAAGCTGTTGCTTTCCGGTGTGTGCAAGTGGCCTTCAAACAGACTTTCTCCAAATCCAAAGTGTCCAGGGCTTTTCTGGGAAGATCACCGACCACTTGGGTTCTTCCCGCAGCTTTGGAGACTCGCTGCTTCAGGTGGGAGAGGTGTCGGGGGTCACTAGCCGGCCACTGACGGTGTCCCACGCCTTCCACTCCGCGCTCATGCAACCCATGCTGGAAGACTTCCGGCAAGAGGTGACGAAGGCGCCTTCTGATCAACTCGCGACACTCGCGGGCCGGCGCGTGTGCCTTGAGGCCGTGAAACACCAGAACTCCGGTGCCCCTTTCTGTCCTTTCGCAGACCCCGTTTTCCCACGGCCACTGGACGTCAGGATGTTCAGACGAACCAAGCTACACAGTGATGGAGTTCAAGGGGGGTTGCTGCTGGTTCCCCTCACCTTGAATTTCTGGCCGGGTTCCCTCTAGCAAACATGCTTCTTTCCCATGCCTCTTCAAAACCCGTGTGCTAAATATCTCCAGGCAAATCGCTATGGCCATAGAAAGTAGTGACATGTATTGTTTCTTGCACAAAGCACAGCGGGCTTACGGCGGAGGAGAGAACTCTACCTTTCCGTGGATCCTTGAGAAGAAAAAATGCCTTGGAATCCCAGGCAGCGGTTTTCGTGTTTTCGGTACGTAGGCCAAGAAGTCATTCACAGCTCTGCTTGTAATGAGTGAAAACGCAAGTAGACATAGTTGCGCAGACCTCACTTCCTGAGTGCCGTTTGGGACTGTAGTCACTTTTTGGCGTTGGACAATTTGTGTGGGAATGTTAACCCCGGATTAATAAACCCCTGGTTGATTAATGGGGGGTGTCCCCTTTTATTGGGGATTCATCACTTTTGGAGGGAACACGCCTTGATAATGGGACGGGTTTATTAATCCTGGGTCAGCATTAAACAAAAACGTGGTTCCTTGCTTTGGCCCATCCACTCAGGAAGTGAGAGACTGGTTGACAGACTGGGGGAAGAATGAGGTAAACACCGATGAAATTGTGAGAAGAATGGATATTTGGGCGTTCCCAATACTAGGGGGTCCGGATGCTTTGAAGGGAGACAGTAGGAGAACAGCCACTTGTTGTGTGGTTCCCTTATTTTTGGAAATGCCTATGTGCAATATCCAAGATAATTCCACTACCCGCAAACCACCACTGAGTAAAGTGAGGAGGGCTATACATCTACCGTAAAGGCAATATGTCCAGTTGTCCTTTGAGATGTTGTTTGGGGTAGTGGAAATCCTCTTCAAACAAGTATTCTTAGGGTAAAAAGTGAGTACGAAACCTTTTGTTGTCTTTCGTTGGTTCCCATATTCTTAGAACTGAGTTCGCCGAGTTCCTGGAGTTTAAACTTTTGGGAAGATCATTTTAGCGGTAAATAAGAAGTTCGGCCTTTTGTTTTGTTAATCCACTCGGTCAGAAGTGACTTACTTGACGGTTTGGTGGATTTATTTTTCTTCCTTCTCTTTCCCCATGATAAATGCTCCAAACAGCAGAAAGAGGGACCAAGGGCGGCGGCTTGGAGCGGACAGGTGGCCTTCTCAGATCTGACGCTGCCCTTCTTTTCCACGCTGCTGGGCCGCGAAGCGAAGGCTGACGACCTGGCCAAGGCGCTGTGGGCCGTCGGGCCGCGGGCCGTGGGACCGTCGGGCCGTATCGTCGGACCAGGGGCGCCGGGCGCCGCGGGTTCCTCAGTTAGGGTGGACCCACCAAGCGTGGGTTGGTGCACTTGGTGTTTTGATTCATTGGATCTTTAGACCTTAGCTTTGTGGGTTGAAGTCTTGTGGGGCGTCCATTAAACCCAGAAGAAGTTAAACTTGTTGCAGGGGTCAGCAGCAACCAAGGCCCCTTTGGGAAGACGGAAGCTTTCTTGGAACGGGTGGCTGCACGCTTCGAACGGTCAAGCGTCATATCGGCGCTCGCCACTTCCCTTTGCAAAAGACGGGAGGCCGCGCCAGATATCTCTGTAAACCTCCATTTTCCTTTGACACTGAACGGCGATGTTCACGGTCAAAAACATATCAGCCTCACAAAGGGGTTGCAACCTCACACCAGCAGTTCTTGACGTGGCACTCGCGCCCTGTCCGGCCGAGGCAAGCCCCAAAGACCTTCATCCTTGGGGCCCCAGGGGTCCCGGGATTGGTTCGAATGGGCAGACTCTCCAAGGAGTTGAGCGATCCCGCAACCTTTTGGCTGGCCAGGGTAGTGCCAGGTGTTCTGAACTGTGACACAGTGGTTGGGCTTGGAAGATGTGGAAGCTTGTTTTGCCAGCTTTTCTCAGATCTGCCAGCTCCAGTGCAGACTTGCACTGCTGCTTTGCACCGCTCAATCAGCCTGTTGTGTTGGCATGTGATCAGTTCAGTGGCGACTTCATCAGCGACGTGCCCTTTGCCTTCTTTGGCAACGTGTTGCCGGAGAACCGTGTTTGTGGCGCAGATAATGTGACGACTGGCGGAGTGCAAATTGAGGGTCACTTGTCGACTGCTTGCACGGGCAAGCGTGTTTGCACGATTCAGTGGTCAGAGTTCTCCTCGCTCTGCTCCAGTTGTTCTGAATTGTTGTTGAGATGGGTGTGTCACTCCGACTCTGCACGTCACAAGTCCATGTCCGTCTCAGCATTGCGGGGGCCACTGCGAGCTCAGGGCAATGTATTGGTGAACACACTGGGCCAAAGAGTCCGGCTTCAGGGATTGAACTGGCCAGGGATGCACATTACGCATGTGCCCTTTGGCCTGGACAGGTCTCCACTCCTGTCCATCGCCTTGCGAATCAGGTCCTTGGGCTTCAATGTGGTGCGACTCACCTGGGATGTGAACACGGTCCTCTCCAATCCAGTGGTTTCCACTCGTTTGGTGGCTGCAAACCCTCGCTTGGTGGGTATGCGCGCGCTGGAGGTCATGGAAGAAGTCTTTAAGGCGCTGGAGCAAGTGGGCCTGGCAGTTTGGCTGGACAACCACATGCTGGAGACCGATTGGTGTTGCTCGTCCAACGATTGCAACGGCCTGTGGTTCAACCAGGACTTCTCAGAAGAGGACTGGTTGGAGGCTTGGCGCACCATGGCCCGGCGCAGCCGGCCCTACCCAGCTGTGGTGGGTGCAGGCCTGAAGAACGAGGTGCGTGCGGTGACCACGGGACTAAGCTGGGGCCAAGGCGCCTTTTGCAACGCCAGTGCCTTGGACCCTCGCAGCCCCTCAGAGCTCCAGAACGCGGTGGCACCCAGCTGGGACTCGGGGCCTGCCCAGCTGCAGTGGCTCAAGGCCGCGGAGCGCGCGGGCCACGCGGTGCTGTCGGAGAACCCCAGCCTGGTGGTGTCCATAAGCGGCCTAGACTTCGCCACGGACCTGCGGGAGGCCAAAAACCACCTCCCCAACCTTCCAAGGGACAAGTTCGCCTTTGAAGGCCATTCCTATTCCTGGCAGTACTTCACCCGGGTGGACAATGTTGCCATACCGGGCCAGCTGTCCGGACCCTTCCCTGCAGAGGAAGCCAAAAACCGTTGCAAGGACCTCGGCACCAGCTGCGGTGGCGTCACATGCACGTCCGAGGACAGCTGTGAGCTGCGTTCTGGGCAGGGCTCAGGACCCACTCGTGGGGCTACTGAGGCTCGGGGCCAATTCAGCCACGTGAGGCGCTTTGAATGGGACCTCAGTGACTTTGCGAATCGCACTGATCAATGGTGGGGCTACCTCTCCAAGCAGGGTATAGCGCCTGTGCTCGTCTCGGAGTTTGGCATGGCGACAAGCTGGCAGGCAGATGCCTCAGCCAGTCGATGGTTCGAACAGCTCTCCAAGTACATTGCAGATCTGCCTGGCGGCTTTGATTGGATGTACTGGACACTGAATGGCGAGCAGTCGGGAGGAACCTCACGCCATGCAGGGGACACTGAGTCCTTCGGAGTTCTGAACCATTGCATGACGGCACCTGCTGGCGCAGCCCACATAGAGGCTTTGCAATCCTTGATGACCGAGCGAGAACTTTTGATTTGATGATTCTGGATGGGCCAAAAGCGCCCAAGAGTACGATTTGAGTATCAAAGGCAACACACAAATCCGAGGTTTGATGAGGTTGTGTCTAACAGAACCCCAAAGATGGGTGGTGTCCTTTTGATTTTCAAAAAGAAAAAGGGGGTTCCCTCGCTTGTGCTTGAGAACACCCCCTCGTGGCGGGTTCCATGTTTGGGTGCAAGAACCAAGACCCGCCTGGGCATTTCAACTCCAAAGGGCCCGAATTGTGCGGCAGGCAGGTGTTGGATTCGGGGATCATTTCTAGTCAAGGTTCCAAAAGGCATCCACCTTTGATTTGGCCATGCTTTTTTGATAAGGCACCCCTGGAAAGTGGGTGGACCACAAACAATCCAAAATGATGTCCACCAGAGGGTCCCCAGGGGAAAAAGAAGAAAACAAAACGAAACATCATGTCCCATTGCTCCTATTGTGGTGGCATCGAGGTGGAGTACTGGGTGGACCACGTGAGCAACGCCGTGCGCTTCACGGAGGCCATGGAGGCCTTGGATGCCATGAAGCCAGAGGTCTTCCTGGAAATAGGCGCGGGTTTCGCGAACCCCGGGTTTTTTTTGTGGGCAAACGGCCGTTGAAACAGGTGTTCCCCCCGTATTTTCCTGGGGGAACAAACGGGATTCCTGGGGTAGACCCCGGAATGATTGTTTTGTCTGATTGTTTTGCAAAGACTACTTGTAATGTGTTGAAGCAAAATCGTGTCATGATGCCCTTACACGTGTGCCCCAAAAGAGGGAGGCCTCCCCGCTTTTGCGGGGCTCTGAAGGGAAGAAAGGAATCCACGACCCATCATGTGGATCTTATTTGTTGGCAACAGCCAGCATGTTGGCAAATGCTCTTGCCTGGTGTGTCCAGGGTCTACGGCATCCAGGTGTTCCGAATCTCTTGGCCTGCTCTGGGACTTTGGTTAAGCATGTCAAGTTTCCAGTGCTGTTTCATTGGGAATCGCTGTTGCATGAAGTCATCGTTTGATCTTGGTCCCACTTCGAACACGGAGCAACAAGTCAAACCCAACCCTGTACCGCAAAGGGATCTTTGTTTCAACATAAGCCACAAAGTTGAGAATGCGCAAAATTGCTATTTGGGGGGCCAACGGTTCCCATGCTTAAGCAACTAGCTAGGTCATCGTCCCATCAAGTCGCGGTTTATGCACGGGTGGGCACCAACAGAAACTTGGATCTTCACCCCACAGGTCACTCCATGGTTCTCTAACCGGGAGGTATAAGAAGTCATGCAGAGCCTGGGCTCCTTAAAAGGAAACCAAAGGGAGGCCCTCATCCTGTGGATTGTATGACAGCAATCCAGAAGGTATTTTTAACATCTGCAGTGTTTACTATCATTCCACTATCCACCACCTGAAATTTGAAACGGATCCCCGGGTCGTTGCCTAACTGGAGTTCGCTGGTTTCCCAGTGAATCGGTGGCACCGCTTGAGAGTGATGTTCCTTGAAACGATCCAGTCAGTCGCAAAGCTCGCAATCCCATGTCCACGAGAGCTGCATATATTGCCTGGGACGGGACTCACTGCATGGCTCTGGCCATCGGGAGGGTCCTTGGATTCTAGGTTGTTGGCTTCGGCTGCGAAAAGAGGCAGATGCTTTGGGAGCAGGCCATAGGAAGCAAGAACTGATAAGGCTCTGGTTGATTCATAGGGGTTGTGTTTCGAGTGGATCCTTGAAAAGAATAAGAAAGCACACCAGAATAGATTTGAAATAGCTAAGAATAGGTCGAGTATTGTCGTACACGTCGTTATTAGTAGCTTTAACACATCCCATAGCATCTCAAGCACCCCCCCCCCAGCACCCGGCTGTCAATCTCTCCCCTGCTTACTAGAAATTATTAGAAACTAGAACCCCTGTAGTGTTCAGCTATCTGGGAAAAACGCCATCCGACAGATTAATAGACATTGCAAATGACTGGCAGCGGCGTTTCGCAGGTGCCACGCCAACTCTCGTCGGTATGGCCAAGAGGTTCCTCACAAGGCCGGCTGCAATAGCCCCTAACATCCGGATGCCACGAGCATAGCTCTCCGAATAGTTGGCTTGATGCTAAGGAAGAGTTGGGTCCCTGGGTTTTGACACCCGTCTTAAGTTGCAGATGTGCGTTGATGAGCGCAGAGTTAACTCACAAACAATCCAAGAAGTGGACAGGGGGTTCCCCGGAAGGAAAGAGGTCTTCCAAACCTCGTCGACTGTCAGCTTCCATGATTGTTGGAGTTGACGTGGGAGCTGCAGGAAGTTCTTTGTTGGCTGGCCGTCAAAGCTTCTAAAAGCCTGCAAAAAGGACAAATGATGACCCCGGATCAATGGGTTCTCCTGAACAACCAACCGAAAAGAAGTGGCCCTGTGTGCCAACACATCCCTTTACTAACTCGGAGTCGGTCAGGATAATCATCAAGCCCTGGGGGTAAACCAGGACCATGATCCACATAAGGAGTCTGATGGCTGAAATGAGTATTTCTTTTGGAGCAGTTTCAAGAAGCACCTAGGGGACACCATTGGGAGGGCCCCGGTTTTAAGCCACCGCCGAATGGTGTCCTTGTCAGCCTAAGTCGTGTCGCTCGATCAGATTTTCGCAGGAAGGATGCCACCTGGGTGGCCAGCCTGGATCCAAAGGCTACGCCGGATGAGCGAGATGCGATCAAGAAGGCTGGATCTTGGAACCCCCACTTCCCTGGAAGATCATGTTTAGTGGTCCAGGGAAGTTCAACAAGAACTTCCGTAGCACTGGAATGAATTGAAACTATCTCTCTCCAAGAATGCACGCACCTGGGGGTTTTTAAGACTTGTGGGCCGAGAGCGCTGTCTTGGAACAGGGTCGGCGACCCGTGGCAACTGCTTCGCAGCGTTCAATCGGCGAACCCTTTGCGCACTTTCGGTGCGTCGATCTCAAAGAGAGAGAGAGAGAGAGAGAGAGAGAGAGAGAGAGAGAGAGAGAGAGAGAGAGAGAGAGAGAGAGAGAGAGCGAGAGAGCGAGAGAGCGAGAGAGCTAGAGAGCTACAGAGCTAGAGAGCTGGAGAGCTGGAGAGCTAGAGAGCTGGAGAGCTAGAGAGCTAGAGAGCTAGAGAGCTGGAGAGCTGGAGAGAGAGAGAGAACAAAAAAAAGGAAGAAAAAAAGGAAGAAAGAAAGAAAGACAAAAAGAAAGAACGAGGAAAGACAGAGAGAGAGAGAGAGAAGGGATAAAGATGGAAAGATAGAAAGACAGGGGGAGAGAGAGACAAGGAGAAAAGGATAGAAGATGAAAAGGAGCAGGAGACACAGAGACCCAGACAGATAGACAGAGAAAGAGAAAGAGCAAGGGAGAGTGAGAGAGAGAGAGAGAGAGGACAAAGAGAAGACAAAGAGGAAGACAGCGAGGAAGAGAAAGAGAAGAGAGAAAGAGACACAAAAAAATAGAGAGACAAGAAAGAGAGACAAAGATAAGGGAAAAGAAGCGTGCACCAAACTATCGATCTTATATGTTTGAATCTGCCGCCCCCCGGCTTTGCCAACAATTACTGGTAAACAACCCTGACCAGCAAGAAATCTGCCTCCTGTCAAAAAGACATGCGTTTCTGACCAATCCACTCAGAAAGTGAGGACCGCGCAGACAACCCTGTTGGGTGTGAAGATGCTCCGGACATGATCGGGTATGCCTCAAAGTCCGGTTTGGGGGGTTTCCCTTGTTGTGTGTGCGTGTGTGCGTGAGACACATCAAGCCAATGAACTGATCTCCAGGTCTTTCCTGCAACCTTTCCTAAAAATCCATGGCCGGCCTGTAGGAGACTCTTTGCGCAGCGACGTCTCTAGATGCCCTGGTTGAGAAAAGGGGTAGTTCTAGTGTAGACGTTCTCTTGGCGATCCCCCTTTCGGTTGAGGAGTACGGGCCTTTGGGAAAACATACGTCGCAAACGCAGAAGGAGGACGTGGCCAACGGCAAGCCCTCCGAAGGTTTGGCGACAGCCAGGTTGCAATCACCTTCTTCAGGATTTATGATCCTTAGGGGGTCTGAGTTTGCAAACAGCCTCCTAGCGTCCACACGGGTCGCCCAGCAAGATGGTCCTCAGAGAAAGAATGCGAGGACCTCTCCAGTGGCCCCTCCTACTCGTCCGAAAGCCGAGTGGATGATGTGCCAGGCCGCCGATGCGAGTGGCGCCGCTGCGGGCCCCGCAGGCTCTGCGCAGGTTCGTCCGCTGCTGGAGCGGCAGGCCGGGCTTTCCCTGTGAAGAAACCTTGGGAAGGTCCCCTTCCGCCCATATTTTTGGTGCAGGTTCGGCCCCTTTCAAAGAGGAAAGCGTTCAGTCTTCCGAAATGCGTTTGTACACTTCCATGTTCGTGGTAGGGCCTTAGGGTAAGCGTTGTTCGAAAAGAAAGGGTCCGACCAGATTTGGGATCCCGACTTCGCTCTGCCATCCCAGTTGTTCCACATTGGTCTCCCCCCCCCCCCCCACCAAAAAAACACACACACAAAAGCAACAACCAAAAACAGATACAATGCATGTTCCCATCCTGTTGTATAATGGCCAACCCCCACACGTGTGAAGTGCCCAAGGCCTACCCCTGGCGCGAAGCCTCCCACCCGCTGCTGAAGAAGCGTACCGTGCGCGCGGACGGCGCCACGGTCTTCAGCTGTGGCTTTGGGGGCCACGTGCTGCAGTTGCTGTCCCACCACATCGTCCATGGTGAGGCCAACGCGAAAAACGGAGGGCGCTATCTCCCTCTCTTTTCTTGCATTCCAAGGGTTTTGGGAATGACAAGGGATGGATGACTTGGGAGTTTGTCAAGCTAGGGATGCCTAAAAATAGGCTGGTTCCCTTCTGGTTGTCCAATCCATGGAGGGCGCCAGTGTTTTGAGCAGTCACTTGGCGTTCTCTTTTCTTGGTGCTCAGGGAATACCAAGGGCTTTGGGAATGAAGGCTAGGGGGCGAAACCGTGGCTCTTCTCTGTAGGGTACAGATGGGTTCATTCCATCCTTGTTGGTTGATTTCCGACGTCAGCTCCGAGAAAAAATGCACCACTGGACGTCTGGGTCTTCTTGTGTGAGCCCAATGGCCCGCTTGGTCTTTGACTTTGGGTGTGTCCTTTTTGGTGTACCTCCTGTTTGTGGGGTGTCAAGGGAGACCAAAGGGAAGCCACCATAAACCTTGTTCCTTTGAAAAACGGCTCTCTGTGATCCTTGGTTTGCCTGTCAGCTTCCCTTTGAAACCATGCAGCCTCCACTAAAAAATGGCCCCGCGTTGAAACCATGCAAACGGGGGCAACAAGAAGGGAGCTGGATGTGCTATTTGTGTTCCATGTTTCGAGCATTTGGCAAGTGGGGGTTCAATTGAGGTGCCCAACAGCCCCATGGGCCCAAAGCCGTGCAGTAGTGCACGGCTTTGTGAGGTGTCCAAAATTCTTGCAGCGTCTAAACACCCGTCTAAAGCCCCATCTAAACCATGCCCCCATCACTTTAAGTTTGGTGAAACGAGATCCTGCTTGGGCCGCCTTTGGCGTCAGAACTCTGTGAGGTGGTGGTCCCCGGGGCATGCTATTTGGAGATGATCGTTGCGGGCTGCACCACATTCCTTGGCCTCACGGCTGATGGCTTCAGCGAAACCAGCCAGTTGGGTCCCTCGCTGGCTGAAGCGTTCCAACCACGATAGGAGAAGAAAGAACCACGGCAATCAACAGAATGAGAAGGTTGTACCAGTCGGGTCCCTATATTCTTTCTGGAATCTCTGAAAGAGACGATGGGGTGCTGATTCAAAGTCCCTAGAAACGGCGTGGGGTCTGAAGAAGACCTTTCAAAGATGTGCAGAGCGAACTGTCCAGATCCAATCCTTGTAATTCACGGTGGTAATTCACGGTGTAGGGACCCTAGTTGTCGGGGGCCCAAGCAGTTGTCCATAGGTGTTGTGCCGCGCAGGCTCGAGTAGATTCGGATTCCACTGGTTCCAGTTTGGTTCTTACCAGTGCCATTAATTTGTCCCATTTCGGGACCTCCAAGCTGATGGTTTCCTCACTGGATCAGTGGAGACCTGGGAGCAATGAGCTCTACAAGGATCTTGATCATAGGCACGGCATGTGAGGCATGGCACAGTCCAACTGTGGGATTGCCTACGTAAGGTGGTTGATTCTCCTCTAGCCTCCATTTCAAACCCAACAAAGGTACTGCGCCTGCAGGATTGTGCCAGGTATCTCTCCAGCTGGGGAATCGAACTAGAAGGACACCTGTCACAAGGACTTGGACGGATAGTTCTGGACAATTTTGACTAAAACGATCTCACCCTTATTTTGGGTTTGTGAATATGAGTAAGTTGCCCGGATGCTGTGGCCGGCCTCAAGGCCAAACCCAAGGCCCAATTCATTGTTGGCCATCGCGGGAATCTAACCCACTTGGACCTCTTCAAGCGGCTTCCCTCGACGTAACCAATAGGTTTCCACAGATTTCTGCGATTGGTTTCGCGCGGGTTTCGAGAAACGAGTGGACCGGGGAAGTCAAAGGACTGTAAAAAGGTTCCAAAAGATTCCAGCTCAAAAAAAGAGTGTCTAGCACCCTAGAGCCCATCTAGAGCCCACAATCACCTCCAGCACCCTAGAGCCCATCTAGAACCCGCAATCACCTGTGCAGCGTCGAATTCGTTTAGGAACCCTTTGGGTCCCAGGGTGGTTTCCCCCGCCAGCCCGAGGCAACGAAGCCTGGTGCGTGGAGAACTTGGGCTTCGCCAAGCCGTTAGTGCTGCGGAGCCTCGCCGAGCTTTGAGACGGTCGTTGAGGTATGGCGGTGGTAATCCGTGGGAACCCACTGGCTGGGAAGCCAACAGGAAACCGCCCAAAAATGGCTTTGGTCCCCGGAACAAAAATGCAGATGGCCATGAATGTCAAGAGTTGGAAGCGCCTGCGAGGTGGTTCAAAGCCAGATTGAGTCGTAGGGCCTTGTGCGGTTCTCTATGAGTATCACCCCAAAGGGAGCTCATGTCAAATTGGCAGCCAAAAGGTGAGGCTTGATTCGCCCGAAAAGGGATAGGTGTCTCAGAATTGGGCAGCCTAAGGGGTCGCCTCAAAAACGCCAGAAGCGTGGAAGCCCCCACTTCCGCGACGAGGGAGTGCGGGAGCAAGTCATTGAGGCCAAGTGGTTCTAAGGCCATAATTCCGGCTGTTTAAGCTTTTAAGCAGAAAGAACAAGAAACCCTACCTCGGTCCTAGGGTCTTCAAACATTTGATCAAAGCGCAAACTCTGGGCCTATGCGATTCAACTCCCCTTCTGTCTGTGTCAAATGGGGAACTTCCGGCCTTCCGCATGGAAGTGTCCCTAATTTTGGATCACTTGTTGAGCCCGTCCAAATAAATTGTTTGCCACTCAACGATCTGTGCCAAATAGAACCAAAAGAAAACACCGGTATCCCAAACAGCATTGGCCAAAATCATGCCTGCCCCACTTGTGTGACACCACTGAGAAATTGGCCAATGACGAATTCTTCACTTCAAGCCGTTGTGAAGATCGCATCTCTTTTGCGGCCCCTCAAACAAACACCCATCCCTGTGGGCCCATGAGACAGACCTCTCCAGCGGCAACTTCCCCATTATTTGTTTTTACTTCTTTTCAGAAGACCACAAATCTGAAAAGAGGGCTGGTGTGTACAAGCACTGCGCTTGAAAAGAGAACCCTTGAACTGACAAGTTTCCGCCGGGAAAAACCCAACTCAAAAAACGGCAAGGCGGCAAAGGACCATGGAGTCAACTCCTATAACCCCCATCCATCTCCGACCCCCCCACCCACCCACCCACCCACCCACCCACCCACCCACCCACCCACCCACCCACCCACCCACCCACCCACCCACCCACCCACCCACCCACCCACCCCCCCCCACCCACCCACCCACCCACCCACCCACCCACCCACCCACCCACCCACCCACCCACCCACCCACCCACCCACCCACCCACCCACCCACCCACCCACCCCCACCCACCCACCCACCCACCCACCCACCCACCCACCCACCCACCCACCCACCCACCCACCCACCCACCCACCCACCCACCCCTTCACCCCCAGCTTTGCTCCCTGCTCCCAGGCTGTTGGCCGACGGCTCCTTGGAGGAGCCCACGGAGCTTCGTTTGGTGATCCGACCAGATGGGCGCTTGGAGGTGGAGAGCGAAATCGGCGCCACGGAGAGAAAAAAAAAGAGTCTTCGCCTCGACGTGGCTTCGGAGCTGTGGCTCTTCGGTGATCAAGGCTGAGCAAAACTCAAACGAAACGACCCAAATGACTTGGACGGTTCATGGCGTCCTGTCCCGACATCGATCAGAGCAGGATCCCTGCGTCACATTCACCATTGAAGGCAAAAAAAACACCAAAAGCCCAAGGAGATCCGTAACTCGGACTGAGTGCACTTTTGGGGTTTGGTTGCCATAGAGGTATGAAAAGCTTGGTGACTTGTTTTGGCCAATCCACGCAGGAAGCGAGAGAAAGAGTATCAACAAAAAGTGAGCCGCTGTTGCTCCATGGCATTCCACTGGGAAGGAGCAAGAGGAAGTAGACTCTGCGGTTCCTAACACCCTCTAAACGGTTATGTCTTTGTGAACCCCCCATGTCCATTTGTGTCAAACCGTCAAATGGGTTTTTGGTTGCAGCTCGCCTAGAGTTGCTATGAGGCATCCCTTTCGCGTATTTTGTTTGAAAGTTGGCGCTGCGAATCGCCTTCCGCGAACCTAACGAAGGTAAAACACCCAGGGCGCTCCCAAAAAGGAGATGTTGCCATGACCCCAAACCCCAACCCAAAAAGGAGCTAAGCCCGGGAATTTCCCCCCAGCCTGCGCAATGTCTCAAAACTGTTTTTCCCCCGAAAAGGGGCTTGCTCAGGATCAGTCAATTCCGACGGAGCCTGAACAATGCCTAAAAGCCAGTTTTTTTTTCGCTCGACCAGGATCAGGCAATTCCGCCTGAGTGTGATCAAACGGTTTTAAGCCGAATCCGTAAGTGTCACCGGGAGTCGTGGGATTCGGGAATCGTTCCCAATGTGAATACGTCCTTGTCATAGGCTCCGAGGTGTATTCCAAGTGTTTTGTTCCAAGTGAGGCCCAAGCTTCTGAAGGCGGGATGGACCTGGTCAAGGCAAAAGCTGCGGACATATTCCCCCAACCTCGAGTCATGTCACCGGCAAATTGTAGGGCTTCCGAGGGAGAATCCTTCAGAGGGAAATCGCTTTATTCCTGTACATGGGTACTTTGCGGGCGTAAGCAGGGAGCCCTCATTCTGCAACGCTTACAATGCACTGACGCATCCACATTAATCCGTGCCAAAGTAATGTATCGAAGGGATGTTCGCAAGTCGCGCCACTTTCGAGCCTGATGAAGATACGGACTGCGATCCCAAAGGTGGGCCTCTTTTGATTCTTCAGCATGTTACTTTTGGAAGTGCGACTCAGTTGAAGCTTGGCATCCCATTCCTGTTTTCTGGGCAAATAGCCGTGACTTCTCCCAATAATTGCTTTCATGGTGATACAAAAGATGGAAAAATATGTTAATACTATTCACAACAGTTCGTGTTTTGGGGCAAGCTGAGTCCAATTTTTTCTTGGCGCCCAGGCAGCGACCCAGAGGACAGCATCGTGTCCATCCACGTGGAGGCCACTTTGGTCACCAAGACGGGCGGCTGGAGCAAGGTGAACCGGCCAGAGCAGGACGCGCGTTGCTTCGAAACTTTTGAAAATTTCGAAGTAGATGTTCACCGGAAAAGGGGGGGGGGGGGGGGGCGGGTTGCTTGGAGTGACCATTTGCCCCCATGCCCATGCGTTTCACCTAAGTGGGTGGAGAGCTCTTTTGAGGGTAATCGTGGGCATCACTTGGACTCCGATAGTCAGTCTATTAGTTGTGTTTGCTGCACATGACAGTCTACTGTTGGTTTGAGGAGGACAAGGGGGACCACCCAAAGACCCAAAGAAAACACGGGGACCGCCCATTTTGCCGGATAATTCTGCATGTTGCTCAATATGACTGCAGCCCATGTGCTGGCTGATCAGAGCGACGCCAGGACAGCTTCGAGCTGGAGCAGTTGCGGACGCAGTGCTGCAAAGCTGAATTTTGGAAGAGCTGGCTACTTTTGACGCATTGTGTGGGTGTGAACAAGTAAGTTTTGCATGGCCATTCTACCCCAAAGCGCCACAAAGAGGGGTTGCTTTCCAAGATGTGCACAGACGTTGCCACATTGGAAGTCAGGCGAGCTCAGCCGATTCCGGGGAGCCAGGCATTTGCACTGGCTCATGGATCTGCACAGCTTTTCTCGAGCTCACTTGGGAAAGCGAGCACAGATCAAGGTACCATTAGGGTATTCCTTATTTCAAGCCTATGAATGCTAGTACTTTGCCCAAACAGATTGGCATGGCTTGTCCCTTCACACTGCAAATGCCTGTGGTCAACTCTACGGGTACAGTATTGTGGCCCTTGGCATGTCAGGAACCAACTGAACCAACCTGCGACTCACGGGAACAGGTCCTCAGATTCCCCGCTTTGCTGAAAATCGGCCGAAAATCGGCTGCGAGCGCCAGTGCTCCAGCCGCACTCTCCATGGACCTTTTGAAGCGTTTGAACTTGTTGAGGGGTTTACAGTGGGGCCCCAAGCATCAGGTACCCCTGAGTTGGGTTTTTTTGGAGGCTCTGAATTCCCCTGGTAGAGGATTCATGGAAACCCACCTCCAAACCAACGGGGAAGCTGACAGGTCCGGATCCAGTGGACATCGACCTGATGTACTCCTTCGGCCGGAAGAGCGGGCTGCCCTTGCAGACCCGCTTCCGCACGGTGCGCCACGTGCAGAAAGGCCGGAGCCCGGGGAGTTCCGGGGCCATTGTTCAGACCTGGTGTCAAAATGATCTCCAAGAAAACAACTAGATTGTTAGTTGCATTTTTTGGGGGGTTGATCAAAAGGTCTATTACATGGGATGACCATTGGTTGAAGAAGTCACTAAAACGAAGACATGTCCCATTAAATGGGCAAAGTGACCCATGGTCAACACTGGGGATCCTCAATGGAATATTGATCAAGCCCCATGGGCATTTGGGTACCCCTTGCCCACCCAAAAATGTCGGTCCCCTAAAGACGAGCCACCCATATGGGGGTTTCTCGAAAAATCAAGGACTCCTCCAGGTAACGACGGGGTTTCCCTTTTGGTTGCCTCTTGAAGCTACTCCAAGAAGGGGTTCCCTGTTTTGAGAAAGACCCATTTGGTTGATCAAACGGTCCTTTACATGGGATGACCATTGGGGAATACCACTAAAAGGATGGTATCCCCCACTAAATGGGAAAAGTTACCCATGGTTTTTTGGGGGGCCAGCAATATTGATCAACCCCCATATGGCCCCAATAAGACAAGCGCTTTCGTTTCGCAGGCGACAAGGAGTCTTTTGCCCGCCTGGCCATGGAGAAGGACGGCACCCACGCGGGCTTCTGGCTGGGGCCCTCGTTGATCGACGGCTCCTTCCAGGCGTGGGCGCGGGTGTTTGGTTTGTTGGTTCTGTTCATTTTTTGGTAGGGCGCTGCAACAAAAGCAGGTTGATTTGCTGTGCCAAGGGTGGTAAAGTTAAGGAAAAGCTCCAGGGGGGATTCTTGTAGCTGGAGACTCAAAAAAACGACCCTGAATAGTGCAATTAGGGATTGGGGGGGTCCGGGCAAGGGGATGGATGGGTCCAACTTATTCAGGCGCACTCGGCTTTTCATCGGATTCCCTCTTTGCTAAAAGCGTCTTTCAGGCCTCTATGGCTCTGGCAGATGCCGCCACCGGCATCGGTGCCTCGGAGGTGTTCAGCGGCATCCGTCGACATCGTTCGTTTCCTTGTGGGTTCCACTCAAAACGATCAACCCCAAGCTCCGAACGGAAGCGCCATTTCTGTGTACCAGGGTTGGAGGTGACGTGGGATCACCTTTTGGCTGCTTCCTTTTGGGGGATGTGTCAAGGGGATTGAAATGCAGCGAACCCTTCCAGCGACCGTAAGCTGCCGAGGAACCTTGAAGATCCCGCTTTCCATCCGAAGGCTGCAGCCTTGTGGTCGGAAGCACCTTGGTTTGAGAGTTGCATGTGTTTGTCTATTTGTTCATATATACATACATATATAGAGATATTCATATATGAATATATGTATACGTACATGTGTATAGATGTATAGGCAGACAGACAGACTGACACACACATAGAAACATAGACACATAGACACATAGACACATAGACAGCCAGCCAGAGAGCCAAACAAGATAGATAGACAGACAGACAGATAGATAGATAGATACGTGCATACGTGTGTGTGTGTGTGTGTGTGTGGGTGAAGTTGGCCGAGATTGGAAGCCAGCCTCGGAACCATTCGAACGGCTTAGGGTTCGGGTTCTTATTTTTGACTCTTGAAGCATACTTTTGAAGTTGATGAGGGGTGGTTCCACCCAGAATCACCCTCTTCATGTCGAGGCAGAAGGACAGAGAATACTTGCTTGGCATGCAGCATGCTGCCCAGGTTCTCCATTGCGGTTTGGTCATACTTCCAGTTGATCGATTTTACTGACAAGTCCACCGTGTTCCGCTCATGGCTGCTGAACGACGCAGGCACGGATCCCGCTCTTGCCGTCGGAGCGCTTGTCGAATTCTACACGACCCCCAGTGAATGTACGGGAGTTTCTTTCAATGGGGGTATGTATATATTGTTTAGAGCGTGTCTAAATTTTAATGAAAACCCTCTCTCCAATAATTATGGAAGTGGGTTCCTGTAGGGCTTCCCAAAAAGAAGGTAGTCTTCCAAAACCCTCCGGTTAGGTCGCTCCCATGATTGTTGGGGGAGTGTATTGCATACAAGGCCTCCTTGAGCCAGTGCAAGCTGCCGAGCTTTTACCCACGGATGTTGCACTTGGTATGAGGTTGCTAGATCCATTTTTTTTTCCGATCGCCGTTGCGGTCTTTGGACGGCACATGACATTGGCGGCGAGGGGAGGCCCTGCTCTACTTCGACCATGTTCACTTGCAGGAGGTGCGTGCCAGCCTCAGAGGTACAGGTGGGCAGAGATCAAAGTTTGGAAGTTATGACCATTGGATCCAGGCCACACAATCGCCTTAAAACAAGAGGAATGGAAGATCTGCTTGGTTTCGGGCCGTTATGTTCCGGCACTGGCGTAGCAGGCATGCGTGTATTGAAACATATGTTCCCATTGGACGACGGCTCTGGTTCAGCCCGGCAAAGTTGTGCTCCTGGCAACTCCTGAGTTGACTAGTGGTCAACTTGAAACCATCCGAAGCAGGTTCCATTGTTTCGCTGAAGCAGCTGTAAGGGCCGGGAGCTTCAAGCTTTCAGAGAGAATGGTTGGGGCCTTCAAGAGGTAGGGGTTGGGACCTGCACAGAAAGCACCGCAGTTGGTGCGCGAATTAGAAAGTGCTGGCAATTCCAGGCCCATGATAAAGATCCTTAGGTGATCATTCTCATTTTCAGAAGCTGAATAAAACTTCATGCAGATTTATCTTAACTTTCGATTGATTCAAGGAAGGGCGCTTCAGTTTCCCTTTAAAGGCACTCTTGCGACAAGGCAGGGCATGTTTCCTGCAGGGTTCCTATGCGCTCGCATCGACCTTGGCTCAGCTTGTGAGGTGAGGGCCAGATGTACCAAACAAATTGCAGAGAAGCGCCTCTGACCTTTTTGGGTTTGGACACTATTGGGGCCAAGACATAGTTCGGACCTGTTTTGCACAACCCACTCAGGAAGTGGGGAATTGACCTGGAATCAGTCGCCGACTTTAGGAGCCTTTTTGCTACAAGCGATGAGCCGGGGAAATCAGCGGCCAAAACATTGTCTTGTCCCATTTGTTTTCATAGACGACTTGTAGTGTTGCCAAGCAAATTCGTGTGATGCCCCTACACGTGTGCCAAAAAGAGGGAAGCCTCCCCGCTTTTGCTTGTCTTCGAAGGGAAGAAAGGAAACCACGACCCATTATATTGATCTTATTTGTTGGTTGCAACAGCCAACATGCTGCCCCGAGCCGGCCCCATGAAATCCAATTTCGTTTCCCCAGGCCCAAAAAGGACACCAACAAAGAGCTGCCCCCTTGGTGCAGAGAGTCGAATCTTCGACTCCCCTGAGCTGTCTTTTCCCGCGCGAGCGATCCACTGAATCGACGGATTTGTGCCATGGAGCTGCAGCCTTTGCGAGAGGCCGTTGGTTTTTCTGGGGCTGCGTGAAACCCGTCGGCCCGATAAGCAATAATGGAAGTGGGCAGAAGGGCCTTTCCTTTGCTTTCCTTTGAAAGCACCCCCGCGAAGAGTGCCCTCAAAGCATCCACATGCTCCCTTTTGTTCAGTGGCACGGCTTTGCCCTTGTTGTTTGGTGTGTTCCCCTCAAACAATTGGCCAATCCTAAAATTGGTTCCGTTCTAGCAGGGTCAGTCGAGGAGGAGGACGATGAGCGAGAGCCATTGCGTGGTGGCGTGCCCATCTCTGAGGAGGAGCGCACAATGTACTGCTGTGAAACAACCGGGGGTGGACAGAAATGTGGGTACCCTTTTGGGTTGGGTACGCGTTTGGGTACCTTTTTTGTGATACATAGGGTTTTTGGAGGGTGCCCTTTCTGTGGTTGCTTTAAATGGAACCAGAAAGGGAAAAACCATCATTTTGGAGGACCCTTTATTATAACACATGCCCATATGGCCCCGTTTGGTGCTGCCTTATGCCACCCGTTTACTGTGCATGCCAAAAGGGCCCCTGATTCTGACAATGTCAAACGATAACAAGCTCAACTGGGGAGCTCTTGGGGATTCCATTTATTTACGGTGTGTGAGTAGTTTGCCCACAGAAGCTCAGTAAGTGTTCAGTCATGTATGAGTATCACCAAGCGACCTATGGCAGAAATGGCCACCGTCTCCTGTTCTGGTTTAGCGGCTTATACTGATGGGTGTCCAGAGGAGCGAATGGATGGCTTCACGCCATGTGCTATTCCAAAAACGAAAAGTTCTCAGCGACCGAGACGCCCATTGGCTATGTTAGGGGGTTCGACAAAGCCCGGATTAATCGAAAGCTAGGTCTCTCTGTCGATACATATATATATATATATGTATGTGTGAGTGTGTGTTCCTTCCGCAATCATGTCGGTAGAACTAAAAGTCAACTGCACACGCACCAATGTTGTCCAGGAGTGGCGCAATCTGGATTGGTTCATTGGCCAGAGCATGATACGGCCGTTGCGATGTGCAGAGCTGATCTATTTGATTGCTGTCCCGAGCATTGCAACCGTCGGAGGATTCTTCACAACCCAGAAGACGGGGTTTCCAGTGATCTTCTACTTCATGTACTTGCCGCTGCTTTTAGGTAGTAAAATCTTGGAGGTTTATATATTGAAGGGCTGGGGTGACATCGATTGCAACGCTGCAAGCATCCAGAGGGCCCAGTGGGCCAAAATTGGCTTCCGGCATCCAGTGATGCTGCTCATCTTTGGCTCACTGGAGCATGCGGATTTGTTCCTGGATGTCGTCTTTACAGCCACCGCCTTCAGTTCAGGATTCGCCGCCCAGCTGCCCTTCAGCCTGTGTTTGGAAGACGCTTGAAGATACACCAGTCTGTTGGTAGAAGAAACTGAGTGTTTCATTGTTTTCACACGCTGTTTGAACTTGTCGTGGTTAACACGTATGCTATGAATAACAACGTTGAGCATCGACTTTGCTTTGTTGGTTGCTTTGAAAAACAAACCAACCTTCACCGTAAGAACGGACGTGCAGCCGCTGAGTGCCTTCGAACACCGGCTTGACCGATCACATATTGCATGTCGTTGGCCATTGTGGTGAATAGGACTGAAATGTTGCTTTGTAGTCCTTGACCCTACCTTCTGCGCCATGGCCTTCCCTCCTGCCTGGGACGCCAACATCAGGGCAGCCTTCAATTTGCAAGAGATGACCGAATGCAGCGCCGACCTTCCCAGGATGTGGGCTGCCAGACAGCAGCATTTGGACTCGCTGCCCGATGCGCAGAACACCGACGTAGCACCCACCATCGTGCCTGCGAGCCAGATTTGACGAACCTGCTGGAACGCACCAGCTGCCGGCACCGTCGTCCTGGGTCCAGACATCTGTGCGCCTTCTACCACCCGGAATTCTTGGACGACTGGTGGACACCTCGCGATAACATTTGTTACCGCAACCCTCGAGCACAACTGCGGAACCCTCTGTCCAGATGCGACCAGGGACCACACGAGTGCAACCATGTCCATGCCTCGACTGTCGAGGAAGGAGACCTTCTTGCCTGGCTTTGTTCGGCATGCACAGACACCATCTGGCATCGGCGCGCGCTGCAACTCCCGAGCCGGCGTATGGAGGATCCTCATGTCCAACAAGGCCCGGCACATCTTGCTCTACCAGCTCGGCCCTCCTCGCCGGTACCAACCACCTCCGAGGACCGCTACCCCACGCAGACAACACCCGGGCTACGATCAAACGCCACCCACGACGCCGACATCCAGATTCCCACCGACGACTACAGGACCCACGCCTTCTACCCCGACTCCGTGCGGGACAACCTCCCGGACGACTATGAGCCTCATCACGCTGACGCCCGCTCGTCGGACCAACCTGAACCCTCAGCTGCGGCTATCCCACTTCTTGGGACCATATCACCGACCAGGGCAGAACCTCCCGAGATCGAGGTCAATGCGATGCCGAACACCGAGGCAGTGCCGTTATTCAAAGCGGCGCCAACCCACCTTCACAAGGCCCCACTGGTTTTGCACACCATTCAGGGGCACCCTTCACGACCATTCCGTGAAACATCAAAGCACCCACGTCCATCGCGGATCTCTGGCCTCAACTTCCCCTACACCAACAACTGCTGCGGCCCACCTTTGCAGCCGACACGACCTTCACAATCAGGTCCGGCAACCGTCTTACGTTGGGCCGGAATCTGTCTCAACAGATGGACATCGTACAACGTCTCCCGGTACGGGTTGCTCCTTCCAGGCCCTAATGCCAACCTGGTCATAGCACTCAGACCAGACCAACCTCAACCCATTGCGGCCATCTTGTGTTAGGCCATCTTCCTGCACATCCACAAGCTCTTCGACCATCTGAACCACACTCTAGATTTCTGACCAAGTGGCTCAGTCAGCTGTCCCACCGTCACAGCCCGTTGCATTGGTTCCAGCGAACCCTGGCCGTCACCATCCTGGAGGTCGTCTCTAACTCGCTGACTTGAACAACTCTCGATGGCCACGGCATTTCGATGGATGCGAGGGGCCACCTCACCTTCACCCAGTGAGCATACCGTGGAGACCACCCGCAACTACGCGGTGGAGATCTTTCGGCTGCCCCACCGCAGCTAGTTGCATTGGTTCCAGCGAACCCTGGCCGTCACCATCCTGGAGGTCGTCTCTAACTCGCTGACTCGAACAACGCTCGATGGCCACGGCGTTTCGATGGATGTGAAGGGGCACACGGGTCCACGGACAATCCCAACAAACCCACCAAGTCTTCATTGTGGTGCCTGATCTGCCGGGCCGCCCTCGGACAGTCGCACTCATGACCAACCCACAGCAGCTACCAGTCTTTTACACCGACGCCTTCTGCAAAGACGGCAATCGCACGTGGCACGCGCACGGTTTGGAGTCCCACGACAGATACCAACGGTGGGCGGCACTGCTTTTCCCGTGCCGGATCATACCTTACGCCAATTCGCCAGTGGCACATCCGCCATATACATGCTTGAGGCCTGGGCCGCGCTCATAATTAGCGCCCGTTGTTTGCACTCCACGTCTTCAACACGCACACCTCCAACTGTGCGACAACGAAGCTGCCAAGCATGCCATCCATAGGGGTACGGGTAGACATCAACCCATGAACTGCCTGTCGGGAGCTCATTGGACGTGGCACAACCAACATGGACTGCGACATTTCATTCAGCGTGTTCCCAGACATGCCAACATAGCAGATCCGTTTAGTCAGAACGACCTTTCTATTGCCTAGGAGCGACACTCGCAGATCGGGCCATGTACCGACGAACAGACCGAATCAAGCGCGACATTGAGTTCGTGACGATCTCCCTGAACTCCAACAGTTTTGGCAGTCTCTCGGAAGATGACTGCCCCTCAACTCAACAAACTTTCCCTCAAATCAAAAAAAGGTCAGTCGACTTGCTGATACCGCGTTTGGCCTCAGGTGACGACGGGAGTAGACCTTTGACGGGCAGATTCTCCACATCCCGCCTTTTTACCACACGATGCTGGACTTAGCATAAGTTTTGGCATCCACGTTCTTTGAAAAGGATTGACATGGAAACCAACAGCCAAACCGCTGCTGACCCATGCTCAATCCGGCAGGCACAATCCCAAACACTGGAGACCGACCCAGTGCTGAGTAAAACCGATTGTGCGTCTGCACGCTGTCAGTTGCAGGAACTCACATGTCACAGCGGTGTGTTGTTGCGGTTAACACGTGTGTTATGAATAACAACGTTGAGCGTCGACTTTGCTTTGCTGTTTGTTGTGGAAAACAAAGAACGGACGTGCAGCCGTTGAGTGCCTTCGAACATCGGCTTGACCGATCACATATTGCATGTCATTGGTCATTGCGGTGAACTGGACTGAAATTTTGCTCCCACCCTCCACTCCCTGTTACGGTGATGGACTGTTTTCCGCCTGGATGGCGATGATGGCGCCTGCTCAGTCTACGCCAGTGGGGATGGAACCTCGCACTCGAATTTGACGCTTCAACACATTCACTCAACACTGCTCATCTGTGAGCACATTCCCGCGGACGAGAAACGAGATCATGTTGGGTTACCAGGACGGTAGTGTGAGTGGCGCACCACCGGGTGCTGGTCCTGTGACACGATCCGCTTGCCGTCACCCATCTATTGATGGGTCGGCGTTGTTTTGGCCACCGTTTTGGTCATGTGACCGTCGCCCTCTGTGGGGGGGGGGGCAGATTGTCCACCTCCATTTGATGCTGGACTTGTATGAGTTTTGGCATCAACGCTCTTTGAAAAGGATTGACATGGAAACCAAGCCAAACCGCTGCTGACCCATGCTCAATCCGGCAGGCACAATCCCAAACACTGCAGATCGACCTAGTGGTGAGTAAAAGAAAACCGATTGTGCGTCTGCACGCTGCCGGTTGGCGGAACTCACTTGTCAGAGCGGTGTGTTGTTTAAGAAGATATTCGGTTCCCGGAACCTTTCTATGAACCCCCACTCTAAGAAGGTCTTTCCGGAGTCGCTCAGGTTCGTCCCTTGTCACATTGCAAAACCGATGTGGTTTGGCTCTGTGCGCTCTAGCGGACCAGTGATTTGACCATGCCTTTCAGGCTAAAGGCCGCATAAGTCAAAGCAAGATACGACCCTTCTTGAAATCCCCACGCTGACCAACATGGAAGGACCAGAAGGTTGCTTCAAAAGAAACAGTGTAAGCCGAGTATCTCCAGATGAATGTGACGAATATGAGAACAGGTACTTTGATTCAAATTCTTTTTTGGTACGGCCGAAGGATACATGAGCACAAAGCCAAGAGATCATTGCCTCATTGGGTTTTGGCTGGTTTCCCTGCTCACCGCCCAAGAATTACGACGTTTTGCGCAGGTTGTCTTGAAGGGAAACCTAGGGCCAACCTCCCATTCTGGAGCTTCCCCCAGTTGCGCAGATAGAGACAATCCAGAGGTGAAGCTGGGCATTTGCAGCATCCTCTGCCTCGTCGCCAGCTTGGCGGTTCAGTACTTGAATTCTCAACTCTCGGCTTTGGCCATGGTCGTGTCTGGGCGTGACGTGCCTCGGCCCATTAGCGTGCAAACGCTGCCTGATTTGTTTGTTTGCTGAAAGATCACATGTGTTTTTGAGTGTGTCTGTGTGTGTGCTGTGTGTGTTAGTTTGTCTCTGTGTGTCTCTGCTTGTCTCTGCTTGTCTCTGTGTCTCTGTGTCTCTGTGTGTCGTTGTTTGTCTCTCTGTGTCTTTGTGTGTGTGTGTGTGTATGTCTCTGTGTGTGTGTCTCTGTTTGTCTCTCTGTGTCTCTGTGTGTCTTTGTTTCTCTCTTCTTTTTCTGCGTGACTCTGTTTGTTTGTGTGTCTTTGTGTGTGTGTGTGTCTCTGTTTGTCTCCGTGTGCCTTTGTGTGTGTGGCCGCGCGTGTGTGTGTGTGTGTGTCTCTGTCTGGTTCTGTGTGTCTTTGAGTGCGTCTGTGCGTGTGTGTCTGTCGGTGTGTGCGTGTCTCTGCGTGTCTTCGAGTGTGTCTGCGTGTGCAGTGTTTCTCTGTGTGTGTCTGTGTGTCTCGGCGAGTGTCTCTGTGTATCTCTGCGTGCGTCTCTGGGTGTGTGTGTGTTTGTGTCTTTGAGTGTGTCTTTGAGAGTGTCTTTGAGTGTGTTTGTGTGTGTGTCTCTGTGTCTCTGTGTGTGTTTGAGTGTGTTTCTGTGTGTTTGTCTGTCTGTCTGCGTGTGTGTGTGTGTCTGTGTGTGTGTCTCTGTGTCTCTGTGTGTGTTTGAGTGTGTTTCTGTGTGTGTGTGTGTCTGTCTGTCTGTCTGCGTGTGTGTGTGTGTGTGTGTCTGTGTGTATGTCTGTGTGTGTGTCTCTGTCTGTCT